TTTATTTATTTATTTATTTATTTATTTATTTATTTATTTATTTATTTATTTATTTATTTATTTATTTATTTATTTATTTATTTATTTATTTAAGAGTAGCTTTCTACTGCCTGCTTCTGGACGGTTTAGCAGTTGGCTAGTTAGTTAGCTAGGTATAGACGGCAGAAGAAGAAGAAGTTTATCAGCCCCAGCACCGGAGGGAATGGCAACCGCTGCTGCTTCGTTGCGTGCTAGTCCTAAGCCGCAGCGCGTGTCCTCGGCTCCTGCTCTACTCGCCGCTGGACGCTGGACTGCACCAGACGCTGCTACTGCTGCGCGCTTGCGCTTGCTCTTGCGCGTCGAAACTCCACCACCACCACCACCAGTGTGTGGACAGCAGATCCGCGAGCAGCGCCGGCGGGGCGTCGATGGATCTGGTTTGTGGAGGATACAGGTGGAGTATGGGGACTCGTATTTTCAGCCAGTTGAGGGGGACGTGGAGGTGGAAGTGAGGAGGAATAGATATCTGAGGGAAAGGGCTGGGCAGGATGGGCAGGGCTTAGCAGTTGACGTTGTCCTCGCTGGCGGTGCAGTACGTGGAGGATGTCAGGGCTCAGTGCTCGAGGCTGTCGTCGACGCCAACACACAGTCGGCGCAGGACTCCGCCCTCGCTTGGGCAACTTAGCCATACGGGACATACGCCGCTCACCGCAACATGGGAGGAGTGCGTTGACGAGCTTCCGCTGCTCGAGCAACAGGACGACGGCTCGAGTTATGTGCGTGTGCGGATGGATTTCCGTGAGGAATCGGAGGGGGAAGATAGCCCCACACAGCCGCCCTCGACCGCGGCAGGAGAGCAAGAAGCCGAGAGCATGTTCGAGCCGCTAGAACGACAGAGGGGCGTTTCCAACTACATCCCCGCGCATGCGCAGCGCAGTGCTCAAGAGAGCACTACGAGGGCCCGCATACGCACTCCCCCCGCGCCGTCGACCACGCAGCGCCACGGTTCCCCTCCATGCTCGACGCCGCACGTCTACGATTTCAGAGCGGGGAGAGTGCACGCACCGCGTCGCGTCAACGCACCTCGCGGCTCGCGGAGGAGCACGTCAAGGTCCGCCGGGTGGAAACGGAGGCGCTGGAGGGTGCGATCCGGGCAAGAGATGCGATGATTGAGGGGTTGCAGCACAACGTTAGGGCGTTGGAGGCGAGGATTGAGGGACTGCGGGAGGAGGTTAGGATGCTGGAGTATGGGACGGGTTCCTGGGGCTTGTGATGGGGGTGTTCGTTGCGGGTGCGGTGTAGGTAGTTAGGTTGGGTTGGGGAGGTGATTGAGGTGGTTCGTCGGTGGGATGAAGGGGGAGGATGCTATCATGTGGAGATGGCATCCAATACATCGAAAAACATCAGGGTTGGTCGATGGTGCGCCCCCGGAGGGTTCCGCTGCCGTCAGCTTTCATTTCGCGCCGGGCACCCAAACACTCGTATAGATGTTAGAATCCTTTGTCCACGGGGCGATGCGAGGTAGAAGGAAGAGAGGACCCTTCGTACGCCCGACAAGGGCTGCGCGGAGGGAGATGGGCATGGAGGGGAGCTGCGTTGTTGCGGTTGCTAGTTTGGACACCGCGTGGATGTAAGGTTGGACCTGTCCACGGGTAGTAGTAGCATCGATACCCTTCGTAACTCACCAGCACCAACAACTATTACTTTCATCCGAAAATAACCGCATTCAAATCCCCCTCAGTTCGCCCCCTAAAAAAGCATCCCCAAGCGTGCGCCACAGTGGCTTTCCCTCGCATCCTCGCCAATAACCAACCCTTGGCGTGGCGCACCCAGGGCGAACGACTCCCCGCGCTGACGTTTGAGCAAGCGACAAAGGGCGACCCGTGGCGGCTTTCTGCATATGCCTTTCGTGGAAAATGCGATTCCTCCTGCACGAAAGATGAAAGACGTCGTGTTGCGTCTTAGGCCGGGTATTCGGCAGCATTGGCGCGCGCCACGTGGGTAGCGTTGGGGGTAGGAACGCCTTGTGGTGGAAGGAAGGCGCGTTCTGGGCGATGGGTGACGTGGACTGCTGTTTTCGATAGTTCTGCGGCGCTGGAGGGCGCGTTCAATCTGTTGGTAGGGATGCGGATGGGACTCGACGCGTGTGGTCTGAAGCCGTGCTCTCCTGGATGGTTCCAGAGGCGTTCAATTGGCTGGAGAATGCGAGACACGAATTCGACGACAAGATGATAGAACGACGCCGGTACCCACTACTGTGTAGGGAGAGCTGACGGTGCATAGACGCGATGTGAAATGAAGAGGCTCAGAATACGAAGGCTTGTAGGCGGGTACAGTTTGCACAGCCTCAAGCCACAGCGCACAACTGACGCTGAAGCCAGCCGTTGACCGATCTGGAAAAGAAGAAAGGAGAGGATGTATGTAAGGGTCAGGTGAGAAAGGTAGAGAGGGCGAAAGTTCCCGAGACACTCTGCCCTGGTGTTGGCTTAGCTGCAGGTACTCCAGCGGCATGTGGTGGTGATTTGACAGTAGAAAAGTTGTACGTAAGATGCGAATGTTGGAGTAAGCTACTGTACCTGAACATTCTGGATATGCATAGTCCAGGGCGGCGGGTGCCTGAATACGGAGGATGCGAGGATTGCTACCCGGGGCTTTAGGTTGGCGGTGGAAAGGTCGATTGGGCGGAATCCTGTTCCTCCAGTCGCGCCTTCCTGCGGAGTCTACGGCGTTGAAGCTCGGGGTAAGAGGACTTCGACGCCGTGAAAAAGTGCTAGACCTGAACTATTCCAGTGCATGCCCTCGCGTGGCGCATGCAGGTACATGAAACAAACCGAGCGCAAGCTAATTGGGATGCTCAGAATCACGGTTAAGCGACGTTGCGACGGACACCCCAGCAACTGTTCCTTAGGAAAGGATTGTACGGCTTTCGTTCGCACCTGCCGAGGGGAGACAGCGAGAGATGAGGATGTTCGCAGAGCCGCAACGCGGGAGCAGCTTCCGAGGTCTTGAAACAACTGAGCTTGGTGAGTTTACCTCATCGACTTCACTCTTCTTGACACAGTGTCTGCAGTTTGATAGCCCGAAGCTTACGGGCGGACTCCGCCAACAGTCAGCAAAGCTCCTCCGGCAGCGCTCAATGCACCGTCGCGGAGACTCAGCGGCCGTCTCTGCCGGTCACGACACAACTTCCTTGCTCGATAGTCTCTCGTCTCTCGTCTCTAGTCGGTGTCGAGGTGACGTTGCGTCCTATGCTGCATCGGATAGGACGGGCACTGCAGGCGCGGAGGGCTGACTGAAATGCAGACGGACTCTTCGACGGACATGGTGATGGAGCGTTCCTGGCGTGAGCGCACCGCAAGTCCCAAGCGGGCTGGCGGCCGCGTCTCGTTTCGGGCAAGTCAGGGGCAGGCGCTGCGCAGATCAAATGCTGTTTGCTCGCTTTTGGCGCCCCCGGCCGCCGCATTCCCCACCGCGCTCCGCCAGCGCCCAATCACCGCCCGCCCACCCCCAAAACACGATGCAGCCATCAACGCCCGCATCCACCGCCCATCGACGAGAATGGCTGCACCCGTGTCAGCAGCCAGGAATAGGGCTTTATATGACCCTGGGCTCTGCCCGCCCCTGCTCGCTCACCTTGCCAACCCTCTTAATTCTCCACCCGTTTTCATTGACGTCGAGGGTCTGGTTTCCGGGACTTCGTTGTCTCTTTTTCATCATAGACTGAGGATCCCGTTCCGAAGTCGTTACGCTCTTTTGTATAGCATCGTCTTAATTCCTGTTGTTTTATTGGGGTTCTCAGGCTCTCCTTTGGCTTTTCCCCGTCCGATCGCTACCACAACCACAATATTCCTACATAAAAGCAAGCTTGCGATACAGCCGTCTTCACCATGGCCGCCCACAGCAAGCCCGGCGGCATCATGAGCATGCTACTCACCGCTTTCGTCCTCCTCCAGGCCGTCGTGGCCTTCCAGCACGGCGCCAACCACAACCACAAGCACGTAGCCCACCGCTCCGCAGACTCCATGGAGAAGCATTTCCAGGAAACACGGGCGTTGTTGGAGGAGCGCGCCAACAACATTGCCATCAAGGGTGCTCCGGATGGCCAGTACCCGCGTCTGGAGATCCGCGACCTGAAGAAGAAGACCGACCAGTGGAACCTGTACCTCTTGGCGATGGAGAGGTTCATGGCCAAGGACAAGAACGACCGCATGTCCTACTACCAGATTGCCGGTGCGTATTCGAAGTAGTGGAAGATATGTCAGAGACTGATCGTTCGCAGGTGTCCATGGTCGTCCCTTCATTACATGGAACAACTTTGGCCCGCTGCTCAACAGCGCCGGTTTCTGCCCTCACGCCAACACCCTCTTCGGCCCCTGGCACAGGCCCTACCTCGCCGTATACGAGCAAGCCGTGTACCAATGCGCCAAGGAGGTCATCGCCACCTTCCCGTCCTCGCAGCAGCAGCGCTGGAATAATGCTCTCGTCGGTCTCCGCGTCCCGTTCTTCGACTGGGCTAGAGATCCCCCCTCTGGCGAGCCCGCCGTTCCTACCGCAATCCGTGACCAGACTGTGACGGTTACCAAACCCAGCGGCCAGGTCTCGATCAAGAACCCACTGTACTCGTACACCTGGGGCAACTCTCTTCCCAGCGAGATGGGCTGGGGCCCGAAGAACGGCTTCCCGACCACGATCCGCCGCCCCGTTGACAACCCAACGCGCAGCAACAACAACGAGATGAATGCTCTGTTTGGCCAGGCCCGCGTCGGCTGGCGCCAGCGCGTCTTCGCTCTCTTTGCCAGCAAGAAGTCCTGGGGCTACGCTTCTACGTCGCAATATGGCGTCCAGACCGCGCGCCGCAACTCCGACAGCTTCGAGGCCATCCACGACGAGATCCACGGCACTGCCGGCGGCACCGACGGCCACATGTCGTACCTTGACGTCGCTGCCTTCGACCCCATCTTCTGGCTGCACCACGTCAACGTCGACCGCCTCCTCGCCATGTACCAGCTCATCGTGCCCAACACCTACGTCGCCAACGGCAACATCAACCGCCCCATGGCGCAGTGGAACCAGGGCGAGGGCAAGAACGGCAATTCCCCCCTGAAGCCCTTCACCAAGGACACGAGCGGCAACTACTTCACCTCCAACGACGTCAAGGAGACGCGTGCCCTCGGCTACTACTACCCGGAGACGTCGTCCAGGACGTACAAGCAGGTCGTCGACGCAGTGAACAACCTCTACCGCAAGTCTGGCGAGAGCACACTCACCCGCAAGCGCGCCGACGGCGAGTACATCCCGATCTACCCCGGCCGCGCCTTCAAGGACGGCGACTACGACACCGTTCTCTCCGTCGTCGGCGACAAGTACGCCATGCCCGGCTCCTACCAGGTGCACTGCTTCCTCGGCAAGCCGTCGGACAACTCGACCACCAACGGCACCGCGCCCTACGTCAACGGCACCACCCCCGCGGCCCCCTCCTCCAACTCGTCCAGCTACTCAGCCCCAGGCGACTACGGCTTCCCATCCAACTACGTCGGCTCGCACGCCTTCATGGGTGGCTCCGTCGCCGGCGGCAACTCCAGCACGCCCGTCATAGTCGAAGGCTGCATCCCGCTAACCGCGGCACTCCAAGGCAAAGAAGCCTCCGGCGAGCTCGCCTCGCTGCACCCGGACGACGTCGAGCCCTACCTCAAGCAGCACCTGTACTACAAAGTGATCGGGCCCAACGGTGCCGAGTTCGCCCCCGAGTCCATCCCCAACTTCCACGTCAAGGTCAAGAGCTGCCCCGTCACGCCGGCGGGCGACGACGAGCTGCCGACCTTCGACGACTACGTCGAGCTGCCGCGCGTTAGTCTGCCTGCTAGCGCGCCCTGGACGTATGTCCCGGGCCCGCTGGATACGCTGCCGAGTGGCGTGCCTGGGTACGAAGTGCCGTCGCCGTCGGAGGGCGCGCCGGTTAGCTATCCCACGGGCGCGGCGCCGATGCCCTGGGATGAGGAGGGGTATTGTGTTAGCAGGCAGACGATTGAGTATGTGGATCCGGCGGGGAATATGCTGTACTCGGAGGAGTCGTAAGTGTGGCTTCGTGCTAGGGAGGGGGTGGAGAGGCGAGGGTGTAATTGTATGGTGTGGATGTTGATAGATGAAGAGACAAGGGGCGTGTGTGCATTTTGAGTGTATGTATTGTACATTGGGATGCGCATTTCTTCTGAACTGAACTGAACTGGACTTAGAACCCCGGGTCGAATGTCTCATATCATACCCTTAGGTTTATGGGGAGGCTCGTTTTTCACATGTACGGTACGGTATGGTATATGGTATTGCCATAGCTATTCTTAGGGCATTACTCCGGCGTTGGTTGCATACCAGGTGATTCTATCTTTCCCTTTGACTCCTTCGGTAAAACATATCTAATCGCATCGTTTTGTCTTCCATCTGCTTCACTTCCCCCTCTCGCTCTATAGCCTAGCATCTCAATCTCAACCGTGCTGCCCTGCCCGGCATTCAACAACGAACGGACAGTTGGTGCATTGAGTTAGGTAGACAAGTGCCGTCTAAACACCCCCCCCCTCTCCGCCTTAGTCACCATCCCCTACCCTTCCCCTACCCCCTCCACTACCAACCACCGCTACCACCAGCCCTCCCATCCCCCTCATCATCTCACCTTCCTGCACCGGTATCTCACTCTCTCACCCCCTCTGCAGCGCGCCGCTCCCTCCCGCTCTAAAGTGCAGTCAGAATACACGCAACGCAGCGACACGTGCTGCGTAAGAAGGGAACGGCCCGCGTGCGGCGCGGGTGGCACAGCAACCCTGTTGTCGACCTGTGGTCTGGGTTCCAGGGCTGATTACTGCCAATGCGGCGCGGTGGTACAGAGTATTGGCACGTGGAGTAAGTGGAGACGCCCATGTAGCAGTCCCGGCCATGTGTTACTGCACGTGCTGCACGTGCGGCACGTGGCAGAAAGCACATATCTTCGTTCAAAGTGACAGGATCCCGCAGCCAAGGCGCCGCGCAAGAGGCAGAGACAGCAAGGGGGGGAATGTAGATCGAGTTCAAGGACGCAACAGATCAGGGTAGTCGATCACTCGCAGAAAAATCCAGCAGTGCGGGATTCGGATTGTTAGTATTTAGCGTAGCGCACCTCTCTTCGAACTCCCGGCACTCCCGCTCTCCAACACCTCCATCTTCATCTCCACCGTCCTGTGCACGTTAATCGCTATATCCCTTGGCCCCGCAGTGCCCTTGCGGTGCTGCTGCGCGTCGCTCCTATGAAGCACAGCTACAGATCCGCTACCCGGCGCACGGCGACCCCAGTCTTCTCTGCTGTTGTACTCTTCATCGACCTTCCCGCCCGCACTCCCCGTCGACCCGCCGCAGTCCGCGTAAATAGTCGTCGACAGCTCGATGCCCTGCTCCGGCTGCAGCCGCAGCGGGCTCTCCGAGATGCTGCCTTCCTTCGCCGCGTCGCCGCCGCCGCTGCGGTCCAGGTTCAGCATCCTGAGCACCTTTCTCCGCGAGAGGCTGCCGTGCGGCTTCCAGCGGGCGCTGCGGTCGCGGGTTCCGGTTCCGCTCAGCGGGACGGCGTCGTCCGCGTCGCCGGCGTCGCCGGAGCGCTTGCTCCCTTTCGACCGCGTGGCTGTCGGCGCCGCGGTCGTGAGCTGCGTCACGAGCAGCCCGGTCTGCAGGTTGCTGAGGAAGACGTGGACGCGGGGGAGGGTGGCGTGGTTGATGGAGAGGTGGACGATGACTTGGTCGAGGATGGCCCAGGGGAGCTGGGTCCCTGGGATAAGTATCAGCGCGGTCTGTTCTACTCTACGTTTTGCCAAGGGCTGGGTGGGGGAGTGAGGGAGTGCGTGCTGCCTACATGTCTGGTCCGCGGAGCGCAGGGCGCGCCGCACGAGCACGAATCTGCCAACGTCGACGGCGCACACGGCGGCGCGCGAGCCGAACAGCGTCATCACGAGCAGCTTCAGGTCTTGCTTCATCTGCAGCGCCCAGATGGCGGGCAGGATCCAGACGGCGAGGAGCAGGTCGGTGGCGATGTTGAGCGCGGTGGTGGCGTAGTAGATGGTGCCGTGGGAGGAGCATGTTTTTGGGTCTAGGATCCAGGGGGTTGGGGGCTGGCATTGGAAGCCGATTAGGAGCATGCAGATGATGGCGTAGGCGGCGGTGACGGGGAGGAGGATCTTGAGCGTGAGCGGGGCTAGGGCCGCGGGCAGGATGCGCCGGAACATGAGGACGATGGAGAGTTTGGCGCTTGTGAGGGCAATGATTGCGAGGAACTGCGAGGCCCAGTGGAGCTGGATGGGCGCTTGTCAGTCGGGCTTGACGGCGCTATGAGAGAGGTTGTGTTCTGTACCTTGAAGTATCGCTCCACCTGCTCTGGGCTCAGGGCATCCTGGTGTTGGCCGAGCCCGGCACTGACTGACAGGTTCGACACGACTGACATTGTGATGCCGAAGCACTGGTGCACGGTGAGCCAATGTCATTGCCCCGTAAACGGCAGACGTACCAGAGCGATCCCAAAGGTAGCGTCATCGCTGTCGAACTGAAGGAGCTTCTGCCGCCCAATGGCATACCGGACGGAAGAAAAGAGCACTGAGGTCGCGCAGAGCACGATGGCGACTATGGTGTTCGCGGGACCTTGGTTGTCGGGCGATAGGGCAGCCAGGGGTGGATAAGTTCCCGACATGACGAAGATCTGGTGTCGGCAAAGAGTCGTTCGTGCTGTACCTGCGCAATGCTGTCAATCAGGGACACGACGAAGCTATATCGGTGCGATGCAGCACCCGCCGAGGAGCGTGCGGCACAGCAAGGCATCCTGTCGCCGCTCCCTTGGGACTCGAGTGATTGCTTCTGTGTCGCTCCCCCGGATGCTGACGAGCCTCTGGGTATCTTGATTTGACCGACGGCTCATCCGCTACCACGCCCTCGGTTCCCTATCGCGGCTGAGACACGGGCAGGGCGTCGGAGCGCAAAGTGTTCAGCTCGAGTAAATCCCACATGCCCCCCACACGGAACGTCGCTTGGTCCGCGCCTTGCGAATCCCGCGCTTGAATTTGGAAAAGCCAGCAACTGATTTGCTTTTTGGCTCCATTTGCGAAGTCTGGTGGCCCGTGGTTCGAGATATGCGGGTCCGACAGGCCCGCTCGTTCGGGGCCCCGGCTTCAAGGCCTGCGGCGACGCTCCCGGTGCCGCGGCCATGCTTAGCGCCTGCTGCAAGGTGCCAAAGCGGCCAAACGCAGGAGGGCTCGTAGATAAGAGCGTTCGGACGCGAGCCGAATCACATCGCACCGAGGCGGTGAGCGTGGTGGCGTCCCGGCTATCTTGTGCGACGCAGCGGCTCTGGGTCTGGACGCTTCTCCCCGCGCCTCGCCCTTGCTGGGGAGAGCGAGGACAAGCGTCGTCAAGCTCTTCTCGGCGTCTAGCGCGGGAGCGAAGACGCGGGAGCCAACGGCACGCTCCGCAGTTGTAGTGGGCTCGCTTCAGCGCTACCGTCTGATGTCGGTTAATACGCTGAGCTGTGCCGCGCCCTCTTTACCCTCGTCTCCCGCTGAATCCTCCAGCTTGCCAGCATTCTCATTCAGCTCTCTCGAAAGACCCGCCGAGGAGCACGACCAACAACATGGCTGACAAGGACGGTGCTATTGGCACCCTGGTGGAGGAATACCAGGATAGAAACGGTGCTCGCAAAGACAAGATGCAGCCGAACGACTTCCCCTCTGGCTCCCATTCGGCAAACGTCTTCGAGGTATGAATGCCGCGACTGATAGCTCACATCCCCTACAGAAGGGCTGACAATGGTTTCAGCGCTACATCAACCTCGTTGCCATTGTCAATTTTGGATTCACCCTGCAGGCTGGATGGGAGACTGTGGGCCTCACGTTGCAGTATGTCCTGTACAACGGCGGCCCGGCTTCGCTCGTCTACGGATCCATCCTCGCGGGCATTGGGTCCACTGCCATTGCTACTTCGTTGGGAGAGATGGCCTCCATGTCAGTCTGGCCCGCATACTTAGACTCCCCAAAACTTTATCCCACGACACTGACACAAACTGCCGCAGCGATCCGACAGTTGGCGCTCAATATAGATGGTCCGCACGCTTTGCGCAGCGCTGGCCCGAGTTCTGGGGTTTGATGCAGGGTATGTCCGTCTCACACTTTGCTGGTCCCTGATGTGACAGAGACGGCGCCTGACATCCAAGCCTAGGTTGGGTAACCGTATTCGCCTGGATTTTCAACGTCGGCGCCAGCTTGTCCATCCTGGCGAACATGGTGCAAGGCCTGATCCTCTTCCACAAGCCGAGCTACGAACCCAAGCAATGGCACGGCACGCTGTTCATGTACGCCTTCATCGTCGTGCCGGTGCTTTGCAACTTCGCCCTGCGACGGACGCTCAATACGCTCGAGACGATTGGCGGCATCTGCCACGTTCTGTTCTTTATTACTGTCATCGCCGTCCTGGCTGTGACGGCGGAGCGCAGCACCACCGACTTCGTCTTCAAGACGCTCACTCATGATGTGAGCGGCTGGACCAATCCGGGTGTTGCGTGGTGTCTGGGCCTTCTGACGACTGTGTTTCCCATCACCAGCTTCGATGGTGTTCTTCACATGAGTAGGTTTTCTACTAGACATTCGAGCATTAGACATGCTAAGAGGCCATGCAGTTGACGAAACCAAGGAACCGCGAAAGCGCGTTCCAAAGTCCATGATCACGTCCGTCGTGCTAAACGCCATCATGCAGTTTGCCTTTGGCGTCTGCATACTCTTCTGCCTCGGCGATTACGACACCGTGACTGCTTCCGGGCTGCCTCTGCTCGAGATCTACTACGGAGCGTAAGTACCCACCAATTCTACACATCAAACCAAGGCTCTAACGAGAAGTTCCCAGCACCAAGTCCAAGGCCGGCGCAACCATCCTGGTCCTCATGCACGCCATCATCTTCCTGATTTCGCTCTTCAACATATTCGCCTCCGTGTCGCGCCTCGTATGGGCCTTCGCCCGGGACAAAGGCCTCCCCTTCTCCAAGACCTTCACATATGTACGCCCCCCTCCCCTCACTTCATACCATCCTTCCAGAGCAGAGCAGTCTAACAACCCACGCAGGTCCACCCAACCCTCCAAATCCCCATCCCCGCCCTCCTCCTCGTAGCCTTCATCTGCGCGCTCCTGGCCCTCATCAACATCGGCTCGACCGTCGCCTTCACAGCGCTTGTCTCGCTCCCCACCGTCGCGCTCTACATATCCTACTTCATCCCCATTACGCTGCTCACTCTGCGCAAGCTATCCGGCAAGCACCCTCGATACGGGCCGTTCAAGCTAGGCCGCTGGGGGCTGCCCATCAACCTCTTCTCGCTAGCTTATATCGTCTTCGTGCTGATCTGGATCCCGTTCCCGCCGGGGCGGCCCGTGACGGCGCAGACGATGAACTATGCGGGCCCGCTGTTTCTGGCGGTGATTGTGTTTGCGCTGCTAGATTGGTGTACGACGGGCAGGAAGAGGTTTGTGGTGCCGACGGGCGCGGTGGCGCTGCCGGAGGATGATAAGGAGATTGAGGATGCTGCAGATTCGTGAGGGTACAGTACAGTACATAGTTGTAGCGCTGGGACTAGACTCTGTTTCCTCGCAGCTTCGCCAGCCAGTGTATAGCAAAACCCCGCGTATTCCCGCACACAAACGCAGCAATAGAGTACACTACCCTACCTAGATAGCCTTGCCTTGCCCCGCCCTATCCATTCAAGACACCCACCATCGCCCTCGACCCTAATCCCCCCATACCCTCCCTCGAACCCACTCCTCCTTACGTAAAACAAACAGATTCCACACCTCAAAACTGCATGCACGCCTCGCTTCTTCTCCTCAACCCTTCCCAACTCCCCCATCCTTGCAGCACAAGCGTGTGCCGACCTGCACCACCCTGCAGCGTGCCAATCCTTGCATCTGCATCCGCCCAATCAATCCCCAACCCGCCCGTTCCCCGCGCCCGCGCGGCTGTCGGCGATAAACACGATTCCCCCCAAGCGAGCGGAGCTCGTGCATCGACTCGAAGCGAAGCCTGCGCGATAGTTTAGTGCTGCGGGGCTTTTCCGGCCTCCCCGTCGTTTGGCGCAGTGTTGGTGTACGGTATGAAGCGGAGACTTCCCGTGGACCCCGAGTTCGACTATCGGATCGGGCGATCTAGTTCCCGTCCCGCGTGAGGTAGCTCGTGGAGTGGGGTATTTGTGTCGATTAATTACTTGCTCTACTCTACTCTTCTTCCGCGCTATCGAGGACTGGTCGACAACCGACGTCCTTGCTTCACAGCACAGCGAAAAGTTCGAGAGAATTGGATTGCATCAGCGCGCGAAAATGCACGCCACGTTCCTGCCCTCGGTGCAGGGCGTGTTGGCGAGATGTTCAAGCAGCGAGCTCGTGCTGCTGTGTGTGCTTGCGCTGCTTGTTTGGGTGAGTGGGCGATGTTTTCCTAGCTAAGTCGGGCGGTCGGTTCGATTCGTTTCGTTGCACAGTGATGCGGAGTAATCCGTCCGAAAGAAAGGAAGAAAGGAAGGAAAGGAGAGGGAAGCGCAGCAAGCAAGACCCATAGAAACTAAGACATCTATCCAGTACCTCCTCATCCTCATCTACCGCCTCACACTGCACCCTCTATCCCGCTACCCAGGGCGTCTCTCAGAAAGACTCACAGACTGGCCCCTGGTATTCTCCTGCATCAGAGGAAACCGGCACATCAAGCAACTGCTCGCGCATGAGAAATACGGTATACAAACTCCCCTCCCCCTCTTCTCCCTCGCCCATCCTCCAATGCCCACGCTAACCCCACATCCAGGCCCCATCGTCCGCGACGGCCCCAACAGCCTCTCCTTCCGCTCCCCGCAGGCGCTAAAAGCCATCTACGGCGCGGGCGCGCACGTAAAAAAAGGCGCCTGGTACCTAACCCTCGACATCTCCGCAGGCGCGCCGTCCGTGCAGATGGTGATCGACCAGCAGCAGCACGCGCAGCGGCGGCGCGTGATGGCGCCCGCCTTCTCGGAGAAGGCGCTGCGCGACGCAGAGCCGCTGATCGGCGCGACGGCGCGTAAGCTGTGCGGCAAGCTAACTTCTGACGTGCTGGCCGGCTGCGAGACGGGCGAGTGGAGCCGCGGGGTTGATCTGCAGCAGTGGATTGCGTACTACGGGTATGATTTCATCTCCGATCTGGCGTTTGGGAGGAGCCTCGAGCTGCTGGAGCTAGAAGAGCATCGCTTTGTGCCGGGGACGCTGAGGAGCGCGAGCCAGTTTTTGTATTATGTGGGCTATCTGCCGTTTGCGGCGCTGGTAAGGCCGCTGATGGGGACGAGTGTGCAGGATCACTTCCCGGGGCAGTCGGCGCGGGACTCGCTGCGGTATACGAATCTGGCGAATTCGAGGCTGGCGGAGCGGATTGAGCGGGAGAAGAGGCGGAAGGAAGGTGGTGGTGGTGGTGATGATGATAGTGGTGAAGGGGCAGAGAGAAAAGACACCTTCCACTATCTGCTCAACAGCAAGGATCCGATGACGGGGAGGGAGTTCACAGTCGAGGAGTTGCAGGCCGACACGTCTCTGCTCATTGCGGCGGGCAGCGACGGCGTCACCCTCGCCGTGTGCGCGCTGCTCTTCTACGCGCTGCAGCAGCCGCTGATTCTGCACACGCTGGCCACCGAGATCCGCGAGGCGTTCGCGACACCAGACGAGATCCGGACCCCGAAGCTGAACAGCCTGCGCTATCTGCACGCCTGCATAGAAGAGAGTCTGCGCCTGGCGCCGCCCAAACCAGGGAGCTTGCCGCGCATCGTGCTGCCCGGCGGCACGGAGATCGAGGGCCAGCACATCCCCGCCGGAACCACAGTCGGCGTGTCACACTACGTGATCCATCGCAACGCGGACATATTTCCCGAGCCCAGCATGTTCCGGCCCGAGCGGTGGATAGTCGGAGGCGACGGCGAAGGCGGCGTCAGTGCCGAGCAGCTCGCGGCGCAGAAACGAGCGTTTTGCCCCTTCGGCATTGGGCCGATGAACTGCATCGGGCGCAACACGGCGTATCTTGCAATCAAGCTGGCCCTTGCCCACTTGCTGTGGCAGTTCGATGTCAGAGTTGACGGGAACTTGACTGGAGGCGGGGGCAAGGACTTGGAGGAGGGGAGGAGGGATGAGACGGAGTACCAGATGTACGATTGGATTATTGGATTTCCGAATGGGCCTATGGTGCAGATACGGTCACGGGTCTAGAAGGGCGACGCTTCTGATGGAGGGCGAGTATGAGACTGGCGAAGGGTGTATGTATGTATCCGTCATGGCGGGAGGGACGCCACGTGCTTGTCGTCTTACCCACGTGGCGGGTGGCGGACAGAAGCGTGCCAGAGATGTAAGGGAGCGAGGATGGAGCGGATTTCGGAACTCGTAGAAAAGTGTGGCAAGATCTTGGTCTGTTGGGTATTGACGCGATATCCTTTGCATCCAGACCATGGCCATCTGTCTGAAATTATCTTATATCAGCTCAGAAGGAGCCAAAGACCACGAGGGTGCCGTTGCAACATACTAGTCCTCTCGGAGCGCACAAGATGCGATATATCTATCCTGCTTTTTGAAACAGACAAACGCCGGTGCTATGCAAAGTGACCCATCCATCTATGCTCATGTCGTAACCGCAGCTCGTGCAATGCGATATCCATCCAGCGTTCACTTCTTTTTTGCCTTCTTTCCTCCCTGGGGCACCTGTTTCAGCGCCGCATGCTTAGGGAAATCCTTCAGATGTTGGAACAGCTGGTTCTTTGTAGCAAAGCCCTTACCGCACCCAATACACTTGCTCTTTAGATCTTCTTGCTCCGTCGCCTGCTTCGCGGCTTTCTTCGCGCGTTTTTGTGCAGCTTTGCCGAGCTTCTTGCCGGCTGGGGTAGCATTTTCGGAATCGGGAGTGTCGTCGAGGTGTAAAGGGTCGTCGACGATTTCTACAGTAGGACGTTGGGGTTCGTTGTGGATGTCAGGGGCATCGGCAGCCTTGCGGAAGCCGGCGAGTCGAGCTTCGACGTCGGAGCGTGAGGCGTATTCGTCATCGTCATTTTCTTCGTCCTCGCCGGTTGAGGCGCTATCGGTAGGTGCGCGTGGTTTACGCTGCGTCACGTCCTCTGCTTCCGAGCCATTCAACTGCGGCCCTTCGCCGTCGTCCACTTTGAGGTCTTCAACTCCGTCTACGATGTCCATAGAGTCATCAAGTACTCCTGGTTCCGAGCCTGCGACTTCCACAGGAATTTCGTCCTCGGCTGAGGCGGGCGTCATGACACCGCTGCTGGTGACCTCTTCGTCGAGATGCAGATGCGCGTTATCCTTCTGCATCTTCCTCTTCAGTGCCTGGACCGCTTTTTGATGCTTCTTGCTTCTCTCATGCGCATCGTACTGCTGCTCGCTCTTGAACGTCTTCCGACATGCCACGCATTCGTAGTGGTCCTCCTCAATCTCTTCCTCCGTCTCCTCTTCCACCTCATCTGGATCTCTTGCCCTCGCCCACTCGGGGACGGCATCCTCTTGTAACCCTGCCTTTGCTGCATACGCAGCTCTTGACCGGGCAGCTTGTGCCTTTCTCGCCTCGCGTTGTGCCTTAGCCGCCTCCTCGGCTGTCTGCGTGTACGGTGTGTACCGTGGGTCGCGCTTGCGTACGAAGGCTACTAGTGTGCGCACAGCGTCGTTGAACTGCCGTATGCCTTCATCCCGGAACTTCTTGTTCTCCTTCTCCATGAGCCGGCGCACGCGACGGTCGGGCGCGTCGGAGAGCCGGTAGACGTCCAGGAACGCGAATGTCTTCACAGTGGCAAATCCATTCCAGGCTGAGTAGAAGTCGCGCACCACATCTTCGTACGTGTCATCCTTGTGCCCAAACGACGGGTAGTCTGGCACTTTGAGCCCCGCATGCTCCGCTGCGTTCTCCTCCTCGCGTGCCAGCTGCTCGAACGTTTCCCGCACGAAGCCGAAGAAGCCATTCGGCGAGTCCGAGAAGTCGACGTTCCCTCTGAACTTGCCCATCAGCCGCGAGATATCGTCCACGGTCGTAGACCGCATGTTGAACTCATAATGCGCCTCGCCTCCACCCTCGCCACCCCGCAGTATGTCTCCTTCGTGCGCATCGTACCAGGCGCGCTCCTGCGGATCGGACAGGACCTCGTAGGCGGACTGGACTTCGGCGAAGAGGGCGGTGGTGCGCTCGGCGTCGCCATAGTTGCGGTCGGGGTGGAGCTCGAGGGCTTTTCGGCGGTATGCTTTCTTGATCCTAGGCTAGTTAGTCAGGTACTTAGCATGCATACGGCGCAACGCACTCTTCATCCGTGGCAGTCCTCTCAAGGCCCAGCAGCTCGTAGTAGCTCGTCTTGATCTCTCCGCTATCGCCAGCGCCAGGCGCACCCGGTCCGCCAGTCGACTGCGACGCGCCCATCGCGATGGGCCAGGGCGGGCAAGAGTTGAGGCGCTACCATGCAGCGGGCATGCAGATTCTGCGTCTAGAAGAAAACTTGGTGTCGGCGGCGGCGGCTGTTTGTGGGTGTGAAAGTTTGGGATGACTGTTCGCGTCGCGCTGATTGGATCGCACGCGAGGTCCGGTGACTGTGAGGAAGGCGTGCCTTGGAAACTAGCCACAGGCCCTGAATGCCATCGCTGTCACTTGGACAGTACAAATGCGCCAGTATGCCTTTGTTTTTCTCCCCTGCAACCGTTCACCATCCTTGTAACAGTAGGCTCAGAGCCCCGCGTCGTGCCCCGCCAGAAGAGTCTAGCACGGTCCCGCCAGTGGCGAGCAAACTTCGAACCACGCAATTCAGGGTCCGAGGAGAAGAGCGCAAACCGCGGCTTGATACTTCAGCCTCATCTGCTCAGGCGACCCCAGCATCACCGCTGCGAGGCTTCGAGTTGCGTCTCTTCTGGCTGGCTGCGTAGTGCAGTTCCTGGGGCCCAGGTGACCGGTTCGCAGCCTGAGCATCACCCCAGCGCCGACGTCAGACGTCAGTCGACGGAACCACATCGGAAGAGCTCCGGAACGGCGCCACCAATCTGGACTGGATATAACCCCACGTGCGAAAATTTGCGCGTCTCAGAGGCTACCACGGTACCAGCCTAACCCCCGAGATGAAGTTCGGCCACGTCTTTAAAGAGTGCCTTCGGAATGAGGGCTTTCCGCCGGAATGGGTCGACTCGGCCATCTCCTACTCACAGCTCAAGAAGTGCATCAACAAGCTAACCAGCGAGCTCGCGCAAGTGGGCCTCGATCCGGCGACCCTGGGGAAGCTGCTCAAGCACGTCGAGGACTACAATGCTTCAACAGACCAGAATGACGATCAGGACCGTCCTTTCGAGTATATACTCTCCGGGGACGACACCCCGGGCTTGACAAAAGAGCGGAAGCCGTTCCAGCCGAAGCTGCTATTCTATGTCAATGAGGCGACCGGCGCACTGCACAGCGCCAAGCTCGATGCGGAGACCAAGAGGAAGCTTCAAATGCTCGCCGTAGAGATGGGCATGACTGACCTGAGAGTCTTCGAAGAGCCGGACCACGACTCTCTGACCTCCCTGGACTCAAATCCCGACCCGACATCACCCACAAACGACTTACCTCACACGAACGGGCCAAGAAAGCGACCAGGCTACCGGACGGTAGAGATTCCCCTAACATCAGACACCGAGTTCTTTACAAAGCTATCGACTGAGCTTTCAGGCCTAGAGGCTCTACAAGAGAAGGAAAAGCAGAAGATGCATGCCGAAATCGACGACCTGGGGAAGCAAATGGCCAAGCTGACCGACCCGGACCGCCGCGCCAACAAGAAGCTCCTCTCTGTATGGCGGCAGATCTTCCAGCTGTACCTAGAAGAGGGCGTCTTTTTCGGGACCACGGAGACGGATCATACCGCGCACGATGCGGACAAAGCCGCAAAAAGGTTTCAAGAGTTCTGCAACAAGATCGCACAAGCCGGGCTGGTGGATAAGTTCAAGAAGAAGGAGAATATCCAGGCTTTGAATACTTTTATACACATCAACCAGGAGCTATTGCAGGGCCTTCGATTTGGCGAGATCAACCGTACCGCTATGTTAAAGATATTAAAGAGTACGTACTCTCAATCTTCCCATCTCATCCCACGTCTGATGCGCGCTTCCTCGCCCTACTAGTGCTACTCTAACCCAACCCCCCAGAATTCGACAAGCAAACCGCTCTCGGCGTAAAAGCCGCTTTCCCCAAACGCATTGAATACCCCGAGTTCTCCGAGCACCTCGCCAAAGCCGTCTGCGCAGAAGTAACCACCCAGGTCCTCAGCCACGTCCCGCAGCTAGACGACTACAGCTGCCCGATGTGCATGGACCTCAAGTGGCGGCCCGTCAGGCTCAGCTGCGGCCACGTCTTCTGCATCCGCTGCTTGATCGTCATGCAGACGAATAAGCAACATAATTGCCCGCTGTGCCGCGAGAAGACGGTCGTCGACGCGAATTCTGGTAAGCGCTTATTTGTACTGCGGCTCGGAGAGTGTTTTGGCTAATGCTGGAGCAGAGAATTTGGACCTTGAACTTGCGGATTTCCTCAAGAAGTGGTTCCCGGATGAGGTTAAGGCGAAGCAGAAGTATAACGAGCTCATGGCTGGCATCGACCAGTACGGCGAGGTGTATGCGGAGAAATGCACTGTCATGTAGGCAGGAGGCGCGTCTTCAATCACGCCACTTACGCAACGACTCCGATCGCGGACTCCACGTGTGCGTCTTCATGTTTCTTTTGTAAGTTCAGACGCCCAATCATTGCAGCGACGCTGACACGCCGAAGGCGCGCTCGCGAATAAGGCGTTACCTTTGAAATGGGCCTTTGGAACCTTGGGTATTTCGGTCACATTCCTAGTAGACCTTTGGCCCCTGTGATACCCCGGTGGAAACAATGCTTATATTTGTATTTCCCTCTGCTCAGATCACTTGAGTTAGTAAATCTCTGTTGCATATTGGAGTGCTGCCGGTAGAGGTCGGTGACCATACGTTCAAACGAGGAAGAATCTTCTTCCAAACATGGGACGAGAGACGATGCAGTTCGAACAGAGGAGTATTTCCATCCTCCGATTAGGAGTACGGGCGGCGATGCAACGAGGCTCAGCCAGCAAGTGGCTGCATGAGCTGGTCCCAAGGTCTTGTAGCAACCTTCCTTCCCCTCACGTCTATCTCACCATGCCGACTCCGGTTCTCCAACATCTCGGAATTCCCTCCGCCCGCAGATCTGGTCCGTCGATCTCTACGACTGTCGGCGGTTCGGGTCGCAAATCCGTTTCGAAACACACGGCCACCGAGTACCTGGCACGCACACGTCTCCGCTCTTTAAGCATCCACATAACCTTAAGCCCGACCACAAATCACAGCCCCAGAAAACGACTGTGCCGCTAAATATAGGCGTAGATCACATAAGCCAAGCCCGAATTTGGATCCCGCAGCTCCAGCGAATCAGCGCGCGTCGAAGTTGCACCAGCCACACTCGCTATCTCGTTTACGGAAAGTCTAATAGCAGCCACCTGCTGGCTTCAGCTTTGTCATCGCTTTCAACGTCTACTCCGGGCAAGGTTTGCATGAGCTGGGCTGGCGGCGGTCTGCGTGATTGGGGAAGAGTTTGGAGACTCGACATCCGGAAGCCGGCATGCATGAGGCTGAGGACTGGAAAGGTCGGGGCCACCGTCCATCAGCTTTCTCAACGCTCGTATACATAAGATGATGGCGCCAGAGGCGGTTCACTCCAGGCCGCCACTGCGTGGAATCATATCTTGGAGCCCCCCTCAGCTTTCTTGGGCGCGGGCATTTAAACGAGCAGCACAGGGGCTGAGGAATTCGTCGTCGTGGAAAAGATGGCTGCGAACGCTTATTACGACTCGCGTCCTCTCCTTGCGGAGCAACAGCAGCAACATCTTCTTCTTTCCCCGCCATTGTCGTCGCCGGGCATGTCTCCTGGACGCTCCTCGGGGCATTCGTCGCCTTTGAAGCCGCTTCATCTGGTCACCGATATGGATGGCAGACCGCACCACCAGAGCAGGCAAGGCCTCGTAGACTTCGACGAAATAAAGCGAGCCCACGAGGAAGACGCAGTAAGCCCCACTCTCCCAGACCGTCATCGACGCAACACTAACGCACCCCAGGCCCTCAAAGCGCGAATCCGCCGCCTACGCGTCATATCCCGCGTCCTCGCCTTCCTAATCTCCATCGCAGTCTTCATCCCCATCACTTTAACGCTGCACAAATTCCTCACCACGCAGAACACCTACCACGACGTCGCGGGCCCCGACGGCAGCACGACGCGCCGCACCGCCTGGGCCAAGGACTCCAAGGTCTGGCCCACGTGGATGTACTTCCTGATCGCGGGCGTCTCGCTGCTGCTCAACTTCGTCATCCTGTTCAGCTACAAGTTCGGCATCGAGACCGCGAACAAGGCGGCCATGGTCGCGACGACGTTCACCTGGGTCGTCATGCTGGGGAACCTGGTCGTGTGGAGCGTTGCGGCGAGCTTGTATCGCACGGAGAAGGATAAGGATGGCAAGAGTAATGATCTGTGGGGCTGGACGTGTAGTGCGGCAGCGAGGGCGATTCAGAAGGAGTTTGCGAAGGAGGTGGATTTCGATCGGTTTTGCAGCGTGCAGGTGAGTTTCCGCCCATTTGGGGGATGAATGAGCGAGCTGACGAGTCGATAGAGCATCTCCTGGTACATCGGGCTCGTGCAGGTTGCTGCTGCGGTGCTGACGGTGGTTATCTACGTGTTTGTCCTGATGCGGCGGCGGAGCAAGAAGAAGCTCAAGCGGCAATCCAAAATACTCTCGCAGTATCCGGATAACTACTGAAGCGACGGCCGCGGCACCGCACGACGGGACGACGCCCAGCGCAACATGGCGGCCTTAGCACAGAACCACTCCGTTCTCCCAGCTCAAAAACTCCCCAACCCACCTCGGCCGCCATACCCGTGACATCGAGCAGCATCTCCTTCCCCACGCCAAAGCGGAGCAGTGTACACTTCTCCCGAAGCTCCCTCAGTACTTCCGGGTCCGTCAGCTCCGTCGTACCGCTGCATCTCCGTTCCGGCATAGCCACTCTCCTTCTATTCCCCCCAATCCCGTAGACCAGAACAACAAGAATGAACAGCCAGCAACTCTTGCGCCACGCTTCGCCCAAGGTCGTCCGTGCCCTGGCAGTCAGTCAATATCACGACACGACACGGCCTCTCATACGCGCGGGCTTGATGTACGTTCTCAACGTCCAGTCCCGCTCAGCCCTGCGATGCACCTGGTACTCTGGATGGTCCACCGGGTCGATGAGCTGATGGCGATTAATCAGTATCGGCGGCCTAGAGCAGAGGGGAGACAGGACAGTGAGAAGGTGGCGCGCGATGGTTTAGTTTGCCGGTGCCGGGTAGGCGTTGATGTAGATTACGGATGCTGGGTGCATGATGACGCGGGATTTTGGTGCAAAAACTTCGTGGAAAGAGTAGGGGGAGGGCTGGAGATTGCGAAAGATATGTTGAGAATATTATGCATGGTAGGATATGTGAAGATTTCGGTGCCTTGTGCTTGAATGTGAGTCAAGGGGAGGAGAATGAAGTGGCACGGAGATGCGTCGAGCTTTCGTGATCGCTGATATGAGAGCGCAATTCATGTGTATTTAAGTTCGGCTTCGGAATTTACATGTCGGACGTTAATTTGTTGCAAGTGTTTGATGAAGCATAAAATAACTAATCCGACGACGTTCGGGGGATTGAAGATCGTCAGGATCAGTTATCGCAAGCCGATCCGTTATTTAATACCAGCTTGAATGCTGTAAGCCTGAGGGAAGCACATCTTCGAAATATTTTGCCGGACTGGGAAAGCCGGCAGGGCTGTCATCCATCGTTAGATAAAAAGATGGCAGAAAAAAAAAAGTAGACTCTCCGACGGGGAATCGAACCCCGGTCTCCCGCGCTCGTAGCTCTTGCGAGATGACAAGCGGAAATCATGACCACTAGACCATCGAAGATTGATCGCTTGTAAGCGGATGGCTGGTTATTGATGGGTGAGTTAAATTTTAAGTAGTATATATAGTGCTGGGGAAGCAGTCAAGAACTTGCAGTTAATAGCTGGCAGGAACGTCAAATTTTGGAGCGTTGTGCGCTATTAGAGAGAGAGGGGGTTTGAAGCCTGAGTGGATTCGTGAAGCGAACGAATCGGAGTTCGGCGATTAGGATGTTGAGATAAGAAGTTGGGCTGGCGCGGACGTCCCTCAACAACAGACATCGAGATGTGCAAATTTCAAGGTACGGACTCTCTAAGAGAATCGCACATGCATCAGGAACTACGAAAACGATAGGAGACACCCATTAAACAGGGCGACTGGATCCCGTTGCCCCCGGAGCGAACATCGACTATGCCACACATGAAATCTCTGGACCTGGACCGCGACGAGACGGCGCAATCGGGAAGTTTCGCCCCTATACCGAAAACGGAATTCCTACGAAGGCATAATTATCAGACCTCTAATGGCCTATACATCGAACCTCGAGAACGCCAATCCAGCGCCTCCCCGTTGGCCAGTCCGCCTTTCACGGCCTCAATCCAACCGATCTCACTCGTCTCAACCGCCACAATCCTACTTCTGCGAAAGTCTCATGTCTTGCGCTATTGAAGAGATCGGACGTGTATCGCGAAAGGCGAAACGGTAAAGCGCTACAAGTCTCCTGAAGACGAATAGGGCGACTCTTCTATTACGGTCATTCTCGTCGATTACACTCTTAAGCTAGGCTAAGTGGCCTCCTCTGAACCTCCACGCTTCAGGAGACGGCGCATCCCGAGGTCCCGGATGCCCGTACTAAAGATTCCAAAATTCTCTAAGTGCACCTCTAGTCTCGGAATAAAAACTCAGCAGCGGATTACCCAGCCTAACGGCCTTCGGGGAGTTCCGCATAACAAATCTATCCCATTTTCACTATCTTACTCGAACACGGTTTAACCAGTCCTCTACCTATCAGCGGCCTCCTCGTTACCAACCCCAAAGGCTCTCACCGGCCTATGCATCAGCCCTCGAGGCTCTCAATGCGCATCGCGGATTCTCATCTTAATACCCCGGAGACTGGATGATAGCTCTATTCAAGATGTCGCACCTGAGCGGGGTGTGGAGCCTGGGAAGGCATAAGAAGGCATCTGCACTTTCGCCATCCCGAAGGCAGTCAGAAGGTCTTGAATATCGTCTGTCTCCATATCCGCTGCTCTGCTCGAACACACGTCATACGGAACCTCTGCCCATCAATGTGGTCGCCATCGCCTGGCATGAAGGCCTTCGATCGCCAATATTTCAAATGTCAGTCTGGCGTCGTCCCTCTCAGCCGATCAGCCCTTGGCACGGTCTACCCAACATCAGTTATATTATCTAGCGCAAAGATGTAACCTACGCCCGCAATCATCTCAGATTGCGCAAACGAGCGCACGAGAATTCCACTGCACATCAGTCAGCCTGGGGGGCTTTAACATAGGTTTTAGTAGGAGACCTATCGCTTCACGAGAGCGAAGTTCATGGAGAACATCAAGTTAGCGCCTCCGCATTTACCTTGAAACTCTCCACCACGGATCGTAACCCGAAGCCCTTCTGGCCGGCATCTTCCTGAGTCGGATCCAACCTCTAATCTAGTATCGGTCTACTCAGTCAGTCTACCACCCGCATTCTCCACCAAACAGTCGTCTCATCTACCACGAATACAACCCTATCTCCTCCAGCATGGCAAACTCTCCCGCGCCGGCCGTAAATGTAAAAGGCAGCCTGAGGTCATTTAGCACACTTTACACACACGATTTTTCCTATAACCCTAATGCAAGAGAGAGGTAGGGTTCTCCTATACTATTGATGTTATTTTCTGTGGTGCTGAGGGCCTCCAGACGAGCATTTCCCAAGACCAGTTACGCCCAACCTTTCGACCTCTGGCCTAACCTCCCAAACTCACATCTAGCTGTACATTCGCCTTCCTGGAGGCCTTCAGTGGATAATTCTGAACAGACTACCTTCTACTTGTACCAGTGTATTCAGAAATTCTTTATGCTGAACCTCTACCCAATAGACCAATGCCGCAACATTCATCCTGCAACTCCGTCGCGAAGGATAACCACCGGAAAGTCTTCCGGCTGGCTCTTCCGCATACCGATACTTTTACATTCACCCCTCTAACCCCCATATAACACCACCACTCTAAGGCCTCCAAGCCCTCTTTTCCCTACTCAAACTCTAATCCAACATCGCAGCCGCCCCCCAGTCCGCCCTCCTCAGCCGCCAGCCCACCTCCGTCGACTCATCAGCCACAAAGACGAACCCCACGCCCTCGAAGAAGAACCGCTCATTGAGCGCCCTCATCGCGTCGTCGAACCAGTCCCGCACCGCCTCCCGCCCATACAAGCACCCATGTATCTCACTCACGCTGCGCATCAGGTCGCCCGAGCGGCGCAACCGCAGTTCCAGCTCGCCCTGCTCTTCCCTCTCTGCGAGCGAACGCCGTACGGGCCGACGCGGGCGTCGCGCACACTGCGGCGTCCGGCAGTGAGGACACAGGTTAGCATTCCTCGCCGTGCTGTTCAGCCAGTTCGCCATGCACGGCTTGCCGACGATGTGACCGCAGCGCGTAAGGAAGAACGCCGGATGCTCGGGCCCGTGGTACGCCTCGAGGCAGATGCAGCAGCGGCGCGTGTGATCGTGTTCGTCCACCTCCTGGCCCAGTGCATTTCCCTCCTGCAGCTTCGCATCCGCAGCCGAGAGCTGGATCTCGCGGCCGAAGTCGTCGATGTCGTGGTCCGGCCCGATGTTCTCCATCTCCACGGGCTCCGCGAGGTGCGGCAACAGCGTGTCCATGCGCAGCAGGATGCGGATCGTTTCGTCCTGCAGGGCCGCGCCGAGCTCGCGGATCTCGCGCTCGAACTGGCCTTGCGCGCGCATGCGCTGCCAGGCGTGCGGCGACCGCGTCTCGGTGATGATGTTCAGCGAGTAGACGTTGCGCAGGTTGACCAGTCGCCTGTCGACGCGTGTCAGCAGATCCATGTCCGGCGACGCGATGTTTGCTGCATGCCGGCTGCGCACCGCGCAGCGATACATGTTGTCGTGGTCGCGGAGGAAGTTGATGAGGCCTGTGGTGAGGTGGGACAGGGACAGCGCCTCTGCTAGCCGCAGGTGGCCGGCATATGTGTCGCCGGTGCGGATCAGATTGTCGACGTTGGTTAGAGAGCGCTCGATCAGGGTTATGTCGTCGCTGGGCGAGTGGGAGGCTATTCGGTTTTCGAAATTGAGGACCGCTTGTTGGACGATGCCGGTGGGGATGGCGGTTTGCGCTTCTGCGAGGGAGGGGGGTTCTGGATGTAAGCGCGTGAGAGAGTCCTCGGGGGAGGCACGCGGCTCTGCCATCTTGTATCGGTGTTAGCTCAGTTTGGTGCGTGGTGTGGAGGGGAAGAGGGGCCAGTGGTGGAGAAGTGGCGGGAAGATTTTTTGTGGACTGTGGGTCTCTGAACCTCCTAAGTCGTTCACTCCGCACGCCATTATTTACACTTTGGACAAACGCTTACCAGTCTCAGCGTTCAAACTCTCAAACCCTCTCTTCCGATTTTGCTCTGCGGAATGCCTGGTTGCAGTTGCGTGTAGTAGATATTGCGAGAACGGTCTTGATCCGAGTCGCCAAACGTTATGAATTCTGAGAAAAGGTGCGTCAGTATATAGACTTCTATGATCAAGGCGACCGCACGGATTGTTGGCGTGTTGTTGTGTGCCTGGTATTGGGTAATAGATATGTGTCTGCCTAACCGCCGGAAAGCGCTAAGTCAACTCGAGGTGAATTGGACTTGACGCCAACACCCCACTTCACCTCGTCTTTTAAATATTTGCCACCAAACGCGCGTGACCGCGTTCATGTGCGTATACTCCATCCGGAAGTGATTCAAACTCTCGAACTTGGTTTATGCTGTTTGTTGCTGGATATGGCTACTGGTTCACGTGATCTTATATCTATATAGTTATTTTCTCCAGTCTCAATCAATCAACTCATGCCTTAATACTTGCCACCTGCCCGATATTGTTCTATTAGCTGCGAGAATACCTTGTACACCCGCACCATCTCACTCGCATAGCGACCGTCCCTTACCCTCTATCACGCCCCTCAAACAGCACCTACGCACTCCGCATCACGCCACTCCTCACCATACACGCTCATCTCCCCCTACCCCAAACGTCAAAAACCCAAGCCTGAACGCCTTCAAAGTCAAGAGAAGACCACGCCATCCGTGCATATTTCCTCACCTCTAGCTCTCCTCCCAAGGCACACTTGCTTATAAAGTGATGTTATACTCTTACATGAGTTTATATATGCAAGTAAGAGGGGACCATATGTTTACTTACGAGCAATCGCTACCTACGCGGAGACAAGGCTCCCGTAGTATAGCAAGTAATTTTTGACCGTGGCGGCGACGAGGAGATAGTCCTCTGAAGCTCTCCAGGGTCCGCGGAACCGAGTAGCATAGCACAGCCTCAGTACCCGACGATATTAAAACGCGAGTTCAATAAAGTGAGGAATAGCACCGGTATCCGAAGTTAAAGAATTCTAATTCTAAATGCAGCTAAGACATGCATATCCATCTTCACTGCTCCTCCTCCTAATCATACAAAACCCTCCCATCCTCATCCGTGACCACCCTCTCAAACCCCCAACAACCCTACTCCTCGTCCCACACAGCAGCAAACCCTCATCTCCCCTCCCTCAACCTCTTGAAAAAACACGTAATCACCTCTACCAGGTTCCGCTTTTCATGTCGGCCCTGGGTCTCCTCAGTCAAGTGGAAGAGCGCGCCAAACCCACGCTGCACACGCTGATGGCGAGCATCCAGCTCGTCCATGCGGCGCGTTTGGGCCTCTGTTTGCCCTGCTGGGCGGCGCGGGCGACGTGCACATAGGACGGCGCGGCAGTGCGGGCAGGTGGTGGCTTGCTCGTGGGTCGAGTTGAGCCAAGAGGCTATGCAGCCCTGGCCGATCAGGTGGTTGCATGCGGACAGCTGGAATGGTAGATGGTCCTCGATATCGTAGCCGTCAAGGCAGATAGCGCAACGCATGCGGTGGTCTCGATCTACGTTGGCAAGCTGAGCTTCGCGTAACGCAGCTTGAAGGGTTTCGAGATGCGGTTGCAGGATCGGATGGCCGAGCGTCACGAGGTCGTGATCTGGTCCGACGTTCACGTAATCAACAGCTTCGTTGATGCTTGGTAGCAGAGCATCGTACTCGATTAGAATCCGCACTGTGTCCCACCTCAAGAGCCCCATGACTTGAGTAAGGTCTTGGCAGAAGACTGCTTCGACTTACAGCTTCTTGCACAGATCATCGTCCCAAGCATAGTAATTGCCGTGCCGATTGAGTAAGGAACGGCAGTACTTGATCTGCGCTTCAGCTTGAACGAGTGCGTCAGCATCTCGAGGGCATGTGTCTGCGTCCTTGCGTAGTTTCAGCTGATCCTTGACCAAAGTATCGTGCGCTTTGAGGAAGTCACTAACAGAGATCGAACGCTCCGCCGGGGTCAGAGCCTCTGCGATACACAGCTATTCGCTGTACCGCCGGTGCTCCAGAAGTTCACGTATGAGAAGCGCAGAATAACGCAAGTCGAATGTTGAATGAAAGGGTCTGGCACACGCTGGCCGAGTCAACGTCTCGTAGAGCTCGACTTTGATATCGTATTCCCATGAGCGGAAAGATCTTCCGCTGCTTGTGTAGCTCAACCCGATAAGCACCAGAGCGCAGCGCGTGGAAAAACTCAATCTTAGTGGCGGTATTGCCTGGGGACGGGCGGGTATCCGGAGCCAAGTCAGAGAAACGACATAGCGGGGGTTGTTGTGGAGACATCCTTGAGCTATGTTGCGGTTGTGGAGGGGGTCACTCTTGGCTGGCAAGAGGAGCAGTTTATTTATACTCGACGCCGCTGGCTAGCTGTGAATGAAGCCTGATATCCCCCGATATATTCGAAAGCAGCGAAGTAGAATGACTTTTCTTATCAACGCAATGTGCATAGTCCCTTGGAAGCTCTCCTTTCACGTGAGAGATGGATGGCGCGCCACGGTCGATCTGTTTGGAGGAGCACCGAAATTGTGCGCAAAAGTAGCATAACGTCGGTGGATCGACCATCGGGAAGGGCCCGATAGAGTGTTGTGCACTGCATGTATAAGCACACAATGCTGGGGAGTGTATAGTGTGGCGTAGGTGCTGTTGTCCAGTCCATGCGGTTGCAGGAGGCAGCGTAGAAGTTAATCGGTTCTGCAGACTTATTATCACCATTGACAGCATAGGAAAGAAGATATTGCGGAAATGACATAATTAAAGGTTGATGGGATATTAGAGCGGAAGTACTGATAATGAGGGAAGCGAAGTAGAAGTCGTATCAGCGTAAGACTGGAGAAGAATGGACAATAAGAGATCGGGCGGCTGATATGATATTCTATATTAATGGGCCCTCTAGGCCCTGTGTTTTGGTTTTCTATCTCAAACCTGCTTACGGTGTTTGCCTTGAAGACGACGGGTCCAAGTTCTGCGTTGCCTCGGAGCATTGTTGCGAAGTCATCTGAGTCTAGCTAAGCTTGCTGGGCCATGACTCATCCTTGAGCCTTCAGCCCTGGGCCGTAAGATTCGATACCTGGAGGCTTCGATGTTCTCCGAGGCGTGGCCTGGAGGGAAGGCATGTGTTGCGTCGGATCATTTCGCGCCGCCTGGCATTTCTATTAGCTTTTGTTTAACGAGTGAACGCGCTATGCCTTACGCTGGCACTCATTTGCCCAAAGACATATACAATGCCTGCATGCAATCCGAGACAGGGCCTAAAGGTGATCAATGACGGCCTGTACCACGTCTCACCCCGTCATACTCTGGTCGCCGTCTTCCGCCTCCTTGGGTGGCTGCCCCAATTGTTGCAGAGAAGCCTTCAGCCTCGCGATCCTCATCTCTAGGTCGTCTATCTCCTCCTGCTGGTCCTCGCACGTCCGATCGATATCCGGCAGCGCCATGACGGCCTTTCGCGCGTTCTGTAGCTTCAGCTTGATTTCGGTAGCTGCGGTCCCGACTTGCTGGATGTCGAGCGGGCCATCGGCGGGCGGCTGGCCTGGAGTCAGCGTTGGAGCCGGCGCCGGGGCAGAGGGGCTGAGGAGGAGGCGGCTGAGGAGCCCGTGGAGGTCGGGGAGGATGTCGAACGTGGACGGCGGAGGGAGGCTGGGGGTCGTCGGCTGCGGAGGCAGACTGGGCTCGACGGAGCCTGCGGGCGGCATTGAGGCTCTCGCGGAGACTGGCGCGTGGGGTGTCGCGGCGCGGGACATGGTGCGCGGTTTTCAGAGGGCTTATATAGCTGGGCTGGTGTTGAGCTCAGCGCGGGATGCCACGCCTTTCTTCTCCGACGCGCTCCGATCGAGGGCAGGCGCAGCCGAGTGCGTTTTAGTCGCGCTGTAACAAGCCGGGGCTGCGGTCGTGCGGGTTTGGGGTTTTTGCGGTCAATTGGATCACGAGATGGGGTCGGATGTTCTTTTGGGGCGTTATCTGTCGGCCGCGGGTTGCGAGTGGGTGGTGAGAAAGGGTGACGTCTGAAGGTTTTATTTTTGCTGAACCCGGGCCCCGCCAACAACCCAAGCTGCCCCTCCAACAGTTCACGCCCCGGGGTCCTCCAGGCTGACGCTTCGCTCCTCCGACTTTTCCTCCTTTCCCTGCCCTCTCTATCCAATTCTCCACCTTATTTCTGCCATTGGGTCTGCACAATGGTGAGCATCGACAAAAAGACGTGCCTCATCGTGATAGACGGATGGGGCATCCCAGGCGAGAACTCGCCCAAGGAGGGCGATGCCATCCTCGCCGCCGATACGCCGTGTATGGATGAGTTTGCGAAGGAGGGCTCGACGACCGCGCAGGGATACACCGAGCTCGAGGCGTCGTCCCTCGCTGTCGGCCTTCCGGAGGGCCTGATGGGCAACAGCGAGGTCGGCCACTTGAACATTGGCGCAGGCAGAGTCGTCTGGCAAGACGTGGTCAAAATCGACCTGACCATCAAGAAGGACACCTTCAAGGACACCAAGGCGATCCAGGACTCCTTCAACCGCGCCAAGAACGGCAATGGCAGGCTCCACCTTCTGGGTCTGGTTTCGGACGGCGGCGTCCACTCGCACATCAACCACCTCATTGCCCTCCTCAAAGTCGCCAAGGACATTGGCGTTCCTAAGGTCTACATCCACTTCTTCGGCGACGGCCGTGATACCGATCCCAAGTCCGGCGCAAGATACATGGAGGACCTGCTCAAGGCTGCGAAGGAGGTTGGAGTCGGAGAGATTGCGACTGTTGTCGGGCGCTACTACATCATGGACCGCGATAAGAGGTGGGACAGAGTCGAAGTCGGCATGAAGGGCCTGGTTCTGGGAGAGGGCGAGGACAGCGATGATCCGGTGGCCACCATCAAGGAGAGGTACGAGAAGGGAGAGACAGACGAGTTCCTAAAGCCCATCATTGTTGGAGGAAAGGAGCGAAGAGTCCAAGGTCAGTGATTGAATCCCTGAGCACCTAGATGTCCAGGCTGATGCACGCAGACGGCGACACCTTGTTCTTCTTCAACTATCGCTCTGACCGTGTCCGCGAGGTCACGCAGCTTCTGGGCGACTTCGATCGCTCTCCGAAACCCGACTTCCCGTACCCCAAGGACATCCATCTGACTACCATGACACGCTACAATGTGAAGTATACCTTCCCCATTGCTTTCCCTCCACAGAAGATGAACGATGTCCTCGCCGAGTGGCTGGCGAAGCAGGGCTGCAAGCAGTGCCACGTCGCCGAGACGGAAAAGTACGCGCACGTTACTTTCTTCTTCAACGGGGGCATCGAGAAGCAGTTTGACATGGAAGAGCGCGACATGATCCCGTCGCCAAAAGTGGCTACTTATGACAAGGAGCCCAAGATGAGTGCCATGGCGGTAGCAGACAAGATGTGCGAGAGGATCAAGGAGGGCAACTTCGAATTCGTCATGAACAACTTCGCTCCGCCAGACATGGTCGGTCACACTGGCGTGTACGAAGCCGCTATCGAAGGCTGCACAGAGACGGATAAGGCCATAAAGAAGGTCTACGATCAATGCAAAGAGAGCGGATACGTGCTATTTGTCACTGCAGATCACGGGTAAGTCGCTTTTAGTATTGCCCCGGGCGAAGCACTCCAGACGGTGAAACGGGCGCTGACGCAACGATGTAGCAACGCGGAAGAGATGCTCAATGAAGAGGGCAAGCCCAAGACGTCACACACGACGAACAAGGTGCCCTTCGTGATGGCGAACGCTCCAGAAGGCTGGAGTCTGAAGAAGCACGACGGTGTTCTCGGCGACGTTGCACCCACCATCCTCGAAGCTATGGGTCTGTCGCAGCCGGAAGATATGGAGGGCCACAGCTTGCTTATCAAGTCGTGAGAGGGCCCGAAGGCCTTCAACCTCCTTTTCCTCCCTTAATCGCTTCCTCTGGTCTTTGAAACTCTGGGGATGATTGAACGCGATGTAAGCATAGAAAATGACATAGAGCAATGGATTGATAGAGACGAACGACCTCTGCCAAAGTTAGCTGCGGTGTAGATGAGGTAGCACGCTGAATTAAGCTCTGCCCCGTTCAAGATGATATCCAGCTGGCGGGTAATATGGTATTGCCCGTTATCGAACGTTAAACTTTACTCACGCCTCTTCGTGCTTGACCAGTGGATGGCTAGCGAGTAGTCGCGGTAATGGTTGAGCTAAAGGAGGCCAACGAGTGCTAGTGTTCATTAGGGGCCGAAGTCTCTCAGCCAGAGTGACGGGCATGCACGAAGATAACCCCGGGAGGAGAACGATGCTGATGATGGGCGCATTGCAGACGTCGTCAGCTCCATCTTCAGACGGCCTCAGTGGTGATCGTATCCAGGGATGTGGATCGCGCCTGCCCCGCCGTTCTTACGCCAAGACGGGATGACCCTTGATTGGTGAGACAGCGAGCAGGGGTCTTTCACCGGCGCGCGCAGCACCCCACCACCTCTGACAAGTGACGGCGCCCCAGACCGAGTTTCGTTTCAGCTGTCGCTCCATCCTTCGCACGCTACACGCTTCTTTGTTCACCGTCTTCGCTGCGAGCAGCGCACGCTTCAGAATCTATCATTATCGTGGAATTGACCCATTACAGCCTCGGCGCGGGGTGAGGGGCACTCTTACGGACACGGCGACAAGCTGACAGGAGATCTCCAACGCCTCCAGGGGGCCTAGATTCCGCCTGTGCGACTTGGAGATCCTTCCTCCCGTGTAGGGACGTCTACGGTACACCTCCAACGCCGACTCACGAACTCTCCATACCTCGAATCGGCCGCGCTCCGCCTCTCGAGCTGGGCTGAGACACCAGGCTTAGTTGCAGCCTTCGACGTCTTCCTTACGCCCTTTCATACCCCTCCGGTAGCCCGCAGAGACGCTATCTCTTGACCTCTTCCCTCCGCGCATTCCTCCTACTTCGAACATACAAGATGGCCTCGAACGGCGGGTCCGGATCGCATACGCCCCAAACTCAGGCACAAGTACAGCCATGCCGATACAAGACGGGGAAGACGCTCGGCGCAGGCAGTTACTCGGTTGTCAAAGAGTGCGTGCACATTGACACAGGACGATACTACGCGGCGAAGGTCATCAACAAGAGGCTGATGGCCGGACGCGAACACATGGTGAGCCCTGGCCCCGGATACGCCGTAATATTCGGACCTAATGCTTGGGCAGGTCAGGAACGAAATCGCCGTTTTGAAGAGGGTCTCCATGGGTCACAGGAACATCCTGACGCTGGTGGACTATTTTGAGACGATGAACAACCGTACGCCGCTCGGCTCTTGTATTTGAGCAGCAGCGCTGATATCCACCCAGTATACCTCGTTACCGATCTCGCTCTTGGAGGCGAGCTCTTCGACCGCATCTGCCGTAAGGGCAATTACTACGAGTCTGACGCTGCCGACCTCATTCGCGCCACTCTCTCGGCTGTCGCATACCTACACGACCATGGCATCGTACATCGCGATCTAAAACCCGAGAATTTACTTTTCCGGACGCCAGAAGACAATGCGGATCTTTTGATTGCTGACTTTGGACTGTCGCGCATCATGGACGAAGAGCAGTTCCACGTGCTGACTACCACCTGCGGCACTCCTGGCTACATGGCGCCGGAGATCTTCAGGAAGACGGGACACGGAAAGCCTGTGTAAGATATGAGACACTACACGCTCTGGGCAGCGCTGACCTTCTACAGTGACATCTGGGCGATTGGCGTGATAACTTACTTCCTGCTCTGCGGCTATACCCCGTTTGATCGCGACTCCAACCTCGAAGAAATGCAAGCCATCCTCGTCGCCGACTACTCCTTCACTCCCCTCGAATACTGGCGCGGTGTCTCCCTCAATGCGCGCGAGTTTATCCGCCGCTGTCTCACCGTCGATCCCGCTGCGCGCATGACCGCCCACGAAGCCCTCTCTCATCCATGGATCGCCGACCTAGGCAAGACGTCCGCAGAAGGCGAGCAGGATCTGCTGCCTACTGTCAAGAAGAACTTCAATGCCAGACGTACCCTCCATGCTGCCATTGATACGATTCGTGCTATTAACCAGTTGAGAGCAGGTGGCGGTGCGGCGGGCATGATGGACGGCATAAAGTCCGGCGAACCGAGACGCGGCGCTCCGCCCTTCGACGTGCCGCAGCCGGCTGATGAGGACCCAATGGAGATTGACAGTAGGGGAAACGGCCACGGGCAAACGGAGGAAATGATTAGAGAGCAGGAGCGTAGAATTCGTGAGACGCAGCAGGGGCTGTGGGGAAAGAGATGATCTCGAATGGCCGATTCCTCATCATCAAGGTGAAAAGACGGAATTATATGATGGTTTCCACGGCTGGGCCTGGATTTGTACAGGTTGGGTATCTGGGGACTGATCTTGGCTAGAACGCAACCATCTCGACTGCCAGATGGCTGGACTAAAGCGGTAAATTTTCAACTGTGAGCGCAACGCCACTATTTCATAGATACCACTTTGTTAGCAAACAAGCTTTTCTTTCTCACGAATTCGGTGCTGTGGCGTTGGAAGTGCTCCAATCCGCTTGCTCGGGAACTACGGACGGCCAGTGCAAAAAAGAACAACCAACATAACCTCAATTTTACCCAATCATTTCCTATTCAGAATAGCACTCACTCGGTGTCCCACAATCTGCAAACCCCCTTCCCTAAGCACCATCTCCTCCTTCTTCCGCACCATCCCCACCCCTAATCTTCGGCCATCCTCCACACCACCCACTCAACCTCCTCCCTCCACGTCTCATAACAATACGCTACCTCGCACTCCCCGCACCAGTCTCTTAGCGCCTGCAAATCCCTGCTTGCTAACTCTGTGCACGTGCGATCGCCCAGCCGCGCAAAGCGCGGGCTGTCTGTCAGACTGTAGGACGGCTAACGGAAAGTATTATAGTCTGGTCGAAATAGCCCGACGGCTCTGTAAAACTTCAGCGTTGCGAACCTCGAGCATGTTTATTCAAACTGAGCAATCTCTTTCTTTCTCCGTTATTAAAGCCGTAATCATACATACTAGTAATGCCATGTACAACCCGTGTCCAGACTCCCAAACCCTATATATCCTTATCATGATCACTCCCATAACCGCCGATGATATGTACTCGTACACAATCTCTTAAGCCCTCTTCTTACGCAAAATTTACATCCGTCCCCGCTCTTTCTCCTCGCATCTCATCACTCTTAACAACCCTCTCGACGCCATCGGTAACGCCCACGTGCCTCCTACTTTCAACCAGCGCCATGATAAGCGCCACCGCGACTTTCCTCCCCACCGCCAGCTGCTCCTCGCTCTGGCTGAGATCGGGTACGTGCAGAAAGGCAACCGGTCTCTCGTCTTCCTTGAGAGAAAAGTAATGCGCAAGCGAATTGTAGTATATAAACCCACACAGAAAGTTCCCCGCATCAGGACTCAGCCGCACATCCGGCAGCCTCTCTCTCCTCTTCTTAACCTCGTCGTCCTCGTCAGCTGCCGCATACCCCAAATTCGCCCTCCACCGCCCCAGCACATCCCCTGCATCCAGCGACGTCGTCAACACCGGCGGAAACAGCTCGGGCGGAAACTTCGCATCCGCGACATCGTCCGGAAACCGGTCGCCGTCGACATCCGGGATCGCGCCGTAGCCGCGTCCATGCGCGCCCCGTTCCAGCGTGTAGAAGTTGCGGCCCGCGGCGAGTCCGATGTGCAGCACGATGTCGGGGCGCGGGTACAGGGGGTTGTGGGGCGGGAGCAGGCGCGGGATCAGGTCGACGACGTTGGCGTAGGCGACGCGCACGCTTTCGTGGTGCACGTGGATGTGGATGGGGGTCGGGTTGGAGGGGGTTGCGGGGAGGAGGGCGGGGAGTGTGGAGGCGATTTCCCAGGAGGAGTTTTGGGGGTATTTGCTTAGGAAGGGCTGGGGGGGTGTTAGTGTGGGTGGGATGGAGTTTGTGGGGTTTGGACTGGAGGAGAAGGGAGGGAGGATAAGGATGATAGGGGAAGGGGGGAAGAAAGGAGAATCGGGACGCTAAACGTAGCAAGAGGAAATTTGAGGAAAATTTTGGCATCTACCCCCCAAAAATCTAGCTCTTAACATGGGCTTACAGCTGCATTAATAACTTTGCTTTTGGAGTCATCTTCGCGGCGCTGCCGTAGAACCAACTGTTTGCAGGAGGCATGATAGGACTTAAGCAGACGGGAGAAATAGTGATCATAGATGTTCTTCAAAGGTTTCGACTGCGGTGCTTGTGGAACGCGAGAGATGCACTCAAGCAGAACAGGAAAGATCATACCCCAAAGCCAGTCACCAGCACGGTGACTGGATCGTTTCCTTTCTCCGGCGGAGGCTGCCTCGCGGCAGACTCCCGAGTTCGGGGCATAGATCCGGACCGATATGACTATCCCGGCATAGATAACTTTGTATCAGATAGCCGTTTGCTTTTGAAGGAATCTGGGAGGAATCAGCCACACGTCCAACATTCGCAGTGCAAGAGATGCCACAGCAAGCTGTCGACGTTCGTCATGACGTCGGATGATATAATATCGTGCATTCGCGTGAGAGAGCGCGAGTGGTCGGAACATGAAACCATCCATGCAGCGAGGATGAGCTGGAAACTTACATGCAAACTAGGACAAGATTAGAGCATATATGAGATTAAGAATTCATCACTGGTGCTGGTCAAGAAAAAGGTTTGAACATACTTTGAAGACGTCGACCGGACGTCGGCCGGCACTCGGCATACCCGATTAGCAGCAGTCGACTAAAAGCGGCCTAGTGCCAAGTCGTGACGTCGCTGGTCAGAGGCTCGTCCCGAGGTCGTTACGAGCAAAGCTCCACCCCGCATCAATCCAAGCACTGCTCAGCTCAGCTTGCAGGTATCGAATTGATATGGAGCAGGTCTTGCAAGAGCCGATGCGTAATGCCTACATCCTTAACCATCGGCTGTGGTCCACGGCCTCCTCTTATGTCTTCAACACCCGGCCACAATGCGCTCGACCTCACATCGACTGTGGAGTGCCTTTCGGCTGCTGCTGCGCGACGCCGAAACACGCTGGATATCATTGCACCGGACTTCCATTTATGACGAATAGGTGAGTAATAGGTGAGCGAGTCTTCAGCTCCATCGCCATGTACAATCCATCGGGGGAGCTGTCCGATGGACGGAAAGCCTCCCCGGCCGACTGCAACATTTCCCCGGGCACCGACAGGCGCAGGACCCGCCGGACTACTGGCTGCGTAGCATCGAGAGCTAATATATACCCCTTCAGATAATCATCATTCTCCGTCCTCGATTGCTCTAAACTGTTTCGCCTGCCCGAAATGTCCTCCACAAACTCGCCCTCGAAGCCCTTCGACATCGCTATAGTCGGCGGTGGGATATCCGGCCTCACCCTCGCAATCGCCCTCCTCCAGCATGGGATCCCCCTCACAATTTACGAAGCTGCGCCGCACTTCGGCGAAATCGGCGCCGGCGTAGCCTTCGGGCCCAATGCCGCCCTCGCCATGAAGCTCATATCCTCCAAGATCCACGCCGCCTTCAATAGTTGCAAGACTACGAACCAGTGGTCCAGCAAACATCGAACGTGGTTCACAGTGCGCGTCGGCGACGCGAGGAAAGCGGATAAGGATGGCTTCGTGAAGGAAGGGACGAAGGTGGGCGACGCGCTGTTTGACGTGGAATTCGGGAGGGACACGGATAGCGGCGGGGTCTACAGAGCGCACTTCCTGGATGAGCTGGTCAAAGAAATCCCCGATGGCGTCGCCAAGTTTGGGAAGAGGTTGGACACCATTAGTCCGGTTGAAGATGGCTCCGGGGATGTGGTATGCCATTTCGCGGATGGCACGAGCGCGAGACATAGCGCAGTAATTGGATGCGACGGGATCAAATCCCGGACGCGAGAATGGCTGCTGGGCAAGGAGGATCCGGCTGCGAGAGCTGTCTTCTCGGGGAAATACGCATACCGCGGGCTGATACCGATGGATAAAGCGGTGGAGATGCTGGGCGAGGAAGTCGCGAAGAACAGCCAGATGTTTTTCGGATATCACGGACATCTGCTCACGTTCCCGATTGAAAAGGGCAATACGATGAATGGTAACGTGCCTCCCTTGCTTCTTAAGACGCATGCTGAAACGTCATAGTCGTCGCTTTCAACTCCTGTGAGCATTGGGACAACCCTCAATGGGTCATCAGTACGACCAAAGAAGAGATGAACGCTGAATACGCCGCCTGGGGTCCGCACGTCCAGAAAATCATCCGCGCCATGCAAAAGCCTGATATCTGGGCGCTCTTCTACCACCCTCCTTGCTCCACCTACTACAAAGGGCGTGTCTGTCTGCTTGGCGATGCGGCGCATGCGACTACGCCTCACCACGGCGCTGGCGCAGGTATGTGCATAGAGGATGTGCTGATACTTAGCACTTTGATGAAGGAAGCAAAGAGCGTAGGGGATCTGGAAAGGTGCTTCAAAGCGTATGACGAGGTGCGGAGGCCGAGGAGTCAGCGGAACGTGACAGGCAGCAAGGAGGCCGGAATGCTCTATGATTTCGAGCTGGAGGGGGACGACTTGGATAGAGTTGAGAAGAACTTCACCTCGCGGATGCGCTGGATTTGGGATATAGATTTGGAGGAGGAGATTGAGAGAGCGAAGAAGATCTATCAGGGTGGGAGCGCGAAGATATAGAGCCATTCCACCGCTGCTCGACATTGGACGACATAGAGGGTATACACTTGATTCCCGCCATATGCGCAGATGAAGTCCTCAGTCTATAACATCGTCCCTCATCGCGAAAATCTCCTTCAGCACATCATCCGTTTTGCTCCCGATAGCATTATGATACATCGCATTCGTCACGAACGGCTTACACCCCCTAATCGTCCTCGCCGTCTCCATGCTCAGGTCAAAATCCACATACATGTCATCCACATACACCGCCGCGTAAACCGGCACCTCGTTCCGCTTCAACTGCTCCTCGTCATACAACCTCGGCCAGTCTGGCTCCTCCGCCAGCGCATACCCCACCGCTTTGAGCTTCTTCAGCTCCGGATAGCAGTCGAACATGAACGGGTAGATCATCTCGCCCGTGAACAGGATGGGGTCGGTGCTGTGGAGCGTTTCGGTATAGTTGAAGGCGGGGAAGCGCGAGAGCAGGCGCTCCGCGGACCAGTTTGGGGCATTGTTGAAGCCTTGGCAGTAGAGTGGTTCGTGCAGGAGGGCGTAGATTACGTTCGAGTCGAAGGACTGCGCGGCTTCGAGGGCGAGGACTGTGGGCCGCGTGAGGTGGCCGAATTGCGTGAGGTCGGTGTCGGCGCGCAGGACGAGCTCGTGCACTTGGTCGAAGCCGCCTGGTAGTTCTTCGTTAGCTTTTTGCGGGCTCTTGCTTCAGATTTGGCGGGATGGAGGGGCCGTGGTCGCAGCTTACCGTGCTTCCCGAAGAATATGCCGAGTTGGAGGAACCGTCGGGCGCTGAGGTAGCCCTCGCCGCCCTGGACGCGGACGGTAGTGTCGCCAAAGCGGCCGAGCAACTTGCACACCCTCCTCACCCTCTCCACATCCTCGGGATATTTCTCATAGTACTTTTCATTTCTTTCTTTCACTCGCCGATACAGCCGCTCGTACACCTCATCCGGGCCATCCCTTAGCGGCGGCAGCCCCCCGAAGACAAACGCCTCCTTCACGCCCTCGGGGAAGAAGCTCAAATACGTGGTGCAGCAGAAGCCGCCGAACGACTGGCCCATGATGCTCCACTTCCTCTTCTCCTCAGGGTAGTCGGCGGTCAGCGCTTTGCGGATGGCTTCGCAGTCTTTGACAATAGAATCTGCGCGGAAGGATTTCATGTACTCCGCCTGGACCTTCTCGTCGCCGCGCAGCTGGAGCGCGGACTGCGAGATGGCGGTTGAGAGACCCGTCCCGCGCTGGTCCAGCATGAGCACTTGGTACCCTTTGTCGAGGATGGTCTGCGTCCAGGCGACGTTCTGCGGGCTGCGGCATTCGAAGCCCGGCCCGCCCTGCAGGTAGACGAGCCATGGGAGCTGGGCTTTCTTGGGGTCTTCTGGGATGTTGGAGGGGGCGTAGTCTGCGGGCTTTTCGGCCTTGCGTGCTGAGCGGGCGAAGAGCTGGATTGTACCTGAGGAGGGGTTGGAATAGTCACGGGGGACTTGGAAGAAGTGCTCTATTATGCGCAGTTTGCCTGGATGGTTTAGCAAGGTCATGATGGAGGGGGTTTGGAGGGAGAGACCGGGCACGAGGTGGCTTCGCTGTTCTAGGATCTTGGCGGCTTGTATCATCTTGCTGGTCATTATTGTACTTAGGTGGGAGAGGTGAGTGTCAGCACCATGTTGGTGAATGTTTACGGTCTTATCGATACGTGGGACTGCTCCGAATCGGATTAGCCTGCTCCGGAAGAAGTCCGGGTCATGCGCAGTATAAAATGCACAAACTTATTCACAACGACTGCAATGTACCGTGCCAGGTCTTCCCAGCGTTTCTTGCGCCTATAATTCAGGGTTGCACTCCGACCGCTCGCAAGTCGACCAGAGTCAATCTTCCATTCAATTCTCCCATACAGGACCCACTTATTGGATTTTCCAACGTTGTGTGGCGAACCTCGAACATCTAGCGGCATTACTTTACAATCCTGCCTGGGCATTAGCATTATATCCCGTGAAGAACGAGTCGCTGCGACAGCCTTTCGCTTCATAAACTATGGCAAAAGATAAGAAGAAGTCCGGGGACAAGAAGGCCGCAAAAGCAGCCAAAGCGGCGAAGCAAGAGAAGAAAGCAGGAAAGAAGGACAAAAAGCAAGCCTCGAAGAACAAGGACATCGATTCTGACACCGAATCTGTGGATCTTGATGCTGTACTGGCGCAGTATGCGAAAGAGCAGGAGCAATATCACGCGATTACAGAAGTTGCATGCGATCCGCCATCAGCAAGGACCTCCGGCACAATCATCGCCAATCCGGCGAACGAGAACGAACTCTTCATATTCGGAGGAGAGTACTTCAACGGCGCAACAGCGCACTTCTTCAACGATCTGTTCGTATACAACGTCAAGAAGGATACGTGGAACAAGGTCACTTCGCCGAACTCACCGTTACCCCGCTCAGGACACGCGTGGTGTAGAGCTGCGAATACGAAGGATATCTATCTTTTCGGCGGCGAGTTCAGCTCCCCGAAGCAAGGGACGTTTTACCACTACAACGACTTCTGGCGACTCGATCCGACTAGTCGCGAATGGACCCGTGTGGAGCAGAAGGGCAAGGCTGCCGGACCGCCGGCGAGGAGTGGGCATCGTATGGTGGGATTCAAGCAGTACATTATCCTCTTCGGTGGATTCCAGGACACATCTGCTACGACGAAATACCTGAACGACCTTTGGATATACGACTGCGTTAACTTTGCGTGGCATACGCCGAAGTTGCAGTCTGCACGCGCAGTGCCCGATGCACGGTCAAGCTTCACGCTACTCCCACATGACCAAGGCGCTGTGCTGTACGGCGGCTATTCTCGCGTGAAGACCGCGGTTGGTGGGAAACAGCAACAGCAAGCGAAGGGCAAGAAGGGTGGAGGAGGTGGAGGCGGAGGCGCTTCCCGTATGGTCCTCAAGCCCAAGGTGCATGAAGACACATGGTTCCTACGCATCACGCCTCCGGCCGCTGACCAACCTTCGGGAAGTCTTCCGACTGTGTCTTGGGAGCGCCGGAAGCGACCGGCGAATCCGCCGAACCCACCTCGTGCGGGCGCAACGATGGCGTTTCACAAGGGTCGTGGTATTATGTTCGGCGGCGTGCATGACGTGGAAGAGAGTGAAGAAGGCATCGATTCCGAGTTCTTCAATCAGCTATTCGTCTGGAATATCGAACGCAACCGCTATATGCCGCTGACTTTACGCCGGCCGAAAGCGAACGCCAATAAGAGGGCCGCACAGCAAGCCAACATCAGTCGCCGTCAACGCGGGAAAGCCGACGAAGAAGAGCTCCTGGCCAACTTAAAGGCCCTGGAGATGAAGGCTGGGGGAAATGTATCTCCGGACTCCGATGAAGGAGAGAAGAATGAGAGCGAGAAGGAAGAAGAGGACGACGAGGCCAGACCAGAAAAGCCTCGTATCTTCGAATTCCCGCATCCGCGCTTCAACGCCGCCCTCGCCGTCCAAGCCGACACGCTCTACATCTACGGCGGCACATTCGAAAAAGGCGACCGCGAATTCACCTTCGACGAGCTCTGGTCCGTCAACCTAAACCACCTCGACGGCGTCACCGAGCTCTTCAAGCGCGACCTCGAAGACTGGCAAGGCAGCGAGGACGAAGCAGATTCCGAAGACGACGACGCCTCCGAAGAAGAAGAAGACTCCGGCGACGAAGAACAAAGCTCGCTCGTCAGCCCCGTCTCCACAGCCCCAACCAGCATCACCGCCTCCCCCATCATGACATCCAAAGAATCCCCCGACGAAGACCCCGGCACCACCGAAGAAATCTCCGCCCTCACAGACACGCTGCCGCACCCGCGCCCCTTCGAGTCTCTGCGCGCCTTCTATGCGCGCACGTCCGAGGCGTGGCAGAACATTGTCGTCGACGAGCTTAGTCGGAGTGCGAGGGGCGTGGAGAAGACGCCGAAGGAGATTAAGAAGGCGGCGTTTGAGAGGGCGGAGGAGAAGTGGTGGGATTGCAGGGAGGAGATTCGCGCGCTGGAGGATGAGCAGGAGGCGGCGGGGATTGGGGAGGTGGTTAGTCTTGTGGATAAGGAGGGTGCGAGTGCGGGGGCGGGGAGGCGGAGATAGTGGGTTTTGGTGTGAGGGGGGATTGGAGCGCTTCGGCCGTCTGAAAAGTGGTTGGGAGCGTCTGGAGTTGGGCCTTAGAAAAGGAGGCGTGAATATTTCCGAAACTAAGAGGCGGAAAAATTCTTTTCGTATACAGTCTAGATGCATCTGCAATGCCAGAAAATACATCCCTAAAGACGTCAAACTCCATGGGTCCCTTAAATCAATCACGCTCCCTTTCACATCATCCCATCCCAAGCCTCCTCCACCCAATTCAACTGCACCGCACTCACGTCCCTAGCCCACGTCTTGTTCGTAAACACAAACGTGCTGAACAAAATCGCCTCGAGCCTGCGCCCGAAAAGCACACTGCTAGGATGAATAGATATCTTCTGATTGCCGATAACCGTTCTGTAGACATTGTCGGGCATCAATCGGGCGGTGTTGTTGATGAAGCCGCGAATGAGGCAGGCGATGATTGCTTCGGTTTTATTCTCCGAGGGCCCAGGGGGATCGGGGGAGGACAGGAGTTTCAGGGCTTGGCATTGCTGGCGGAGTTGTTTGCGGATGTTCTGGGGCGGTGGTCAGTGTGAGCTTGGTTGAGTATGAGGGATCCTGGAGGCTTTCGGGGAGATAAGCATACCATTACGTTCTGCATGGTGCGGTGAGAGACGAAGTGCCTCTCGCACCATGCCTTTCGATCCGTCTGCTCTTCCGCGTACTGCTGCACCGTAGCTAAAAAGGTCATGTGATCGCCCTCACGACGATACAGCTCTCGCCTCGCTTCTTCGGCCGCCTCTTTCCGCTCCTCAGTCACGAGATTCAGGAAGATGCTGCCGTCGATGCTGAGGGCTGATATGATATCGATAACCTCGTGGAGGCAGTCACGCTCCGGTTTCGCGGCTTCGATCAGGATGCGGCCAAGCGCTGGCGTAAGCGGTAGTTTGGCCATCTTCAGACCGATATCACTAATGCAACCCGTTTCTGTCAACGCGCCGAGATTGAGTAGCTGCATCAAGGCCTTCTCGAGAGCTTCTCTCGGCGGTCGATCCAAGAATGGGAAATTCGGCACATCGTCAACACCGCGCGCTTTCATCGTCAGAATGGCCTGGCTGAGATCGCATCGCAGGATTTCAGGCACCGTCCGTTCTTCTAATCCCGTATATTCGCTCTCGGTGTACAAGCGATAGCATTGACCGGGGGCTTCTCGACCTGCTCGACCCTTGCGCTGAATAGCCGCGGATTTCGATATGGGCTTGACAAGCAGCGACTCTAAACCGAGCTTGTTCCGGAATTGCTTGACTTTGGATTTGCCGCAGTCGATCACGTATCGTACACCGGGGACTGTGACGGAGGTTTCGGCGATGTTGGTGGCGAGGATTACCTTGCGCGTTCGGTACGGCGCCGGCTGGAAGATGCGTTGCTGAGCTTGTTGCGGGAGAGCCGCGAAGAGCGGTAGTGGTAGGAGCTGCGCAGGTACGATTAGCCGGCGCATACAGGAGGGTGTTGAAGAGTTCATTCCATTCTGTCAGTGGATGGCCAATTCGGGGACCGGGCCAACAAGAATTGACAGGCTAGGCTGACGCGAAGACATGTGCTCATCCCCTTGGCCAGGCCACCCATTTTGGCCATCGCTACGAAGAATCTCAACCGCCTAGAAAAGACCCCGAGTGTCTTCAGGTGAGCAATGTGTGGTAGACGTACCTTTGGAATCTCTTTGTCCATTCCCTCCGCATAGTCATTGACCAGCTTCTCAAGTCCTTCGATAACCTCTTGTCCAGTAAGGAAAACGAGAATATCACCCGGCAAGGGCTCCTTGTAGTGTATTTGGAAGATAAGTTTGAGCGATGATTCGGTCCAGTCCAACGTCGGCTGCGGTAGATAGATGGTTTTGACAGGATATTGACGACCTTCTACAAAGCAGGTTGATATCTGGTCAGTGGCTAATGGGTTTGGTTCGGCTTTATTCTGTGTGCTAGGGACGTCCAGGGTTCCGTTCGCGCTGCCGGACGGGGAGGGCAATCCGTCGGCAAAGAACCGCACCAATCCTTTTACGTCTGCGGTGGCGCTCATAACAACGACCTTCAGCGGAGCTTTCCGCTTTTTCCCGTCTCTGGCCATATCGGACACAAGGTTTCTCAGGAAACCAAGGATCAAGTCAACGTTCACGCTTCTTTCGTGGACTTCATCGACGATTACTGCGCTATACTGGCTCATGCTCGGATCGCGGAGCATCTCTTGAAGAAGCATACCCTCGGTCAGGAATTTGATCTTCGTATTCGGCCCAGTTGCGTTGTCAAATCTGACGCTGTACCCCACTCTGGCCGCAGGGCTCTGGCTGCCGAATAAGCTTCCCATCTCATCTGCGACGCGCCGTGCTAGGGATATTGCTGCCACTCGACGCGGCTGAGTGATTGCGATCGTCTTTGTACACCAGGGCTCCGAGGCGAGGAACTGCGGCACCTGAGTGGATTTTCCGGAACCGGTCTCACCGGTGAGCACGAGAACGTTGTTTCTACGCAACGCATGGCGGATCGGCTCTGCCTGAGGCCAGATAGGAAGAGCCATACGGACCGGTTGGAGCTCATCCCGCTTTTTGAGCAGGGCTCCAGAGACATGGGGCTGCCACCCGTGGGGCGAGCGAAGTCCGCCAGGCTGGGTTGAACGACCTCCATTTTTTCGCTCCGGCCTCTTCTCTGCTCTTGGTTTGACTTGCTTCGGCGCTGCACTCGACATCACGGGCTTGTGGAATGGCTCGGGGTTGTACGAATCTGCCTCCACCTGGTGAGTGGAAGCGGTTGTGGATAGTTCAGCCCGAGGTGCTTGAGGCCTCTCATCTTTCTTAGGTTTTGGCAGTCTCGGCGCTTCCGATTCCTTCTCCTTTTGTTCTCCCTTGAGTGGGTTCTCGTCTTCTTGGTCTGATGCATCGAACTTCATCAGTTTCCCCGTTCCCTTTTTGATTACGACTCCATTCTCTTCGTTATTAACGGCTGCGCTTTTCCGCTTTCGCTTTTTCCCCCTCTTGAGGTCGATAGAGCTTTCAATGGCAGCCGAGGAGTCTTTCGACACGGTTTTGTGCGGTCCTCCATTTTGCAGCTTGGACATGGTGATAGAGTTGGTTGAGAGAAGCTTTGTGGTACAGCGGTGAACTTTTTCCAACACCGTTATCGATAAGGAGGTGTGCTAACCGTAAGCGGTAAGGTGCACTCCCTACCCTGCAAAACTGCCGCCTCTGGATCGCGGTTCCTGGAGTCCTTCAACCCTCGATCCACGAACCCACATGCTCCGCAAATGTACGCGATGTCGTCCTCGTACCCGGTTGTCGACCGTCCTGGGTCTTCGGCCTCCATTGCCCCGGCGCTGTGGCGCGACTTCGTCGATCTTTCGACCCCGCTGAAGCACGACCGTGAGCTAAAGAATCATCAGCCGGTAATTTATCCATCAATGTAAAGTAGATCGATTCACCTCGCTGGACCGGGACAAGAAGTTGTAGCTATTTGCGGGTCCGAGGGAGGTAGAAAATGAGCTTTTGCCCACTCTAACCATACCTACGAAACTTCACGATGCTGTCTCGACCAGGATCATGGAGCAGAGCATTGCTCCTCGTCGCCGCTGTGGCTCGATTTGGGGATTGTAAAATTGATCGAAACTCCATCGTTCGGCTCTTCAACCTCAAACTGAATCAGTCTGATCCCTACAGTCCTGTCCAAGTGGGCAATGGCAATTTTGCTTTCGGCGTCGATGTTACCGGCCTGCAAACATTCCTTCCGCACAACACTCTGTCGTCATGGGGCTGGCACAACTCTTCCCTCCCTGCTACGCCTCATCAGACTGCAATTACGGACTTCACGGGACTGGACTGGTGGACACACGACCGGCTTGTCAACTATGCACAACCGAACCCTGCCGAAAAGGATATCAGTCAATGGTTGATTTCGAATCCACACAGAATCAACCTCGGGAGGATAGGCCTGTGGTTTGGTGGGCAAAATGTTAGTGAAGAGATGCTTTCGGAAAAGATGCAGGCGCTGGACTTATGGGACGGTGTGGTGACGTCCTTGTTCTTCTTGAACGGAAAAGAGGTCAAAGTACGAACTGTGGCGAGTCTGCAAACCGACACTGTCGCCGTTGAGATTGAGTCAGAGCTATTCAAGAGCGGACAGCTAGGAGTTTTCTTCGACTTTCCGTATGCGAGCGGGAAGAACAAGTTCGATGCGCCCTTCGTAGGAGTGTGGAACGCGACGGCCAACCATACCACCACTCTGAAAACGAAGACCAGCGGGGCCATTATCACTCATACACTCGATGCCACGACTTATGTGGCTGACATCAACTGGGCGAACAAGGCGAGCATCTCCAGGCTAGACAATGCAATGCATCGATACATCTTGAAGCCCGGGACAAGAGAGGACAAGCTTTCCTTTACAACAACATTTGCTCTAAAGGCAGGGAAGAGTGTTGGCTCATTCGATGATGTACTGGACAAGGCTGCGGAATGGTGGAACAATTACTGGAATAGGGGGGCGTTCATTTTGTTGCCCATCGCCTTCAATTCTTCCGCTAGGGAACTCCAGCGACGGATCATCCTGTCGCAATATCTACTCGCCGTCAACGAGGCCGGAAGAGACCCGCCTCAAGAGTCGGGCTTAGTCAACAATGGCTGGTACGGCAAATTCCACATGGAGATGGTCTTCTGGCACCTCATGCACTGGACGCTTTGGGACAAGTGGTCGCTCTATGACCGCAGCATCGGCGTATACGAGCGCTTCCTTCCGACCAGCTTCGAGCGCGCAAAGCATCAAGGCTACGAAGGCGCACGAATTGGGAAGATGAGTGATCCAACAGGGCGATCTGCGCCTGGGGAGATCAACAGCCTCCTCATCTGGCAACAGCCACATCCTATGTACTTCGCCGAGATGGAGTACAGGAAGTACCCTAACAAAAAGACATTGGAGAAGTGGGATGCTATCTTGACCGCAGTAGCAGACTTCATGGTCAGCTACGCTTGGTATAACGAGACTACGAAGGTATACGATCTAGGCCCGCCGATGTATCCAGTCTCTGAGAATACCAACCCCAACCAAACCGTCAATCCTACTTTCGAGCTCGCATACTGGCGCTTTGGACTGGACGTCGCCGAGAAGTGGCAAAAGAGACAGGACAAAGCCGTGCCGTCGAGTTGGCAAACCGTGAGAGACAAGCTCGCAGCTTTTCCGGTAGAGAACGACGTATATGTCCTCTACGAAGGCATCAAAGATATGTGGACCACACCTGAAACTGCAGAAGACCACCCAGGCCTCCTTGGGATTTACGGCTGGCTCCCTCCAGATCCCCGTCTCAATCTTACCATCTTCAATAACACTCTCGGAAAAGTCTATCAGTCGTGGAACTTTACTTACTCGTACGGGTGGGACTTTCCGCTTCTTGCTATAACGGCCGCTCGGGTGGGCGACGCAGACAGAGCGGTGCGTTGGCTTTTGGACCCAGACAACAAGTTCGATGCGGTCGGTATGCCTGTAGGAGGTACGCGGGTTCCGACGCCGTACTTCCCGTCTAGTGCGGGCCTGCTCCTGGCGGTTGGCATGATGGCCGGCGGGTGGGATGGGCTCGAAGGGCCGATATTTCCCCCGAGCTGGGATGTAGAGGTGGAAGGTTTCTCCAAAGCTATGTAGCGCGTGGCGATAAGAACACGGTTCGCGTCTAATTCCTACCTGCTATTCTAACCCGCGCATACATCCGGAGTCTTCATGATAGTCCGCGGCAGGTCTCCGAGGCGGCCTATGTACGTAGTTGGGTTAGCGCATCGGATAGAATCCCTATTACAGCCTAGCCGCCATCTAAACTTCTCCAGCCCCAAGTGATCCAATGAACATACAACCATATGCACCATGCAAACAGCGGGCTCGGCGTATCCTCTCTTTCTCAACATTCTGAGCCGCAATCATTGCGTTACGGTAGCACTAGCGCGTCAGCAATCCCCGGAACTGGGCCATACAAGTGAAAAGTTGGACGGACCTTGCATCATCCCCGCACGATCCCCGCAACATCGCGAGAATTCTCGGACCGTCTGCGCGTAATGACGATGCTTCGGGCTGTCTTCTGTACCAGGAAACGCTCGCAGCTGTAGTTCCTTCCGACGCGGAAACCAGCGCGTAGCCGACGCGGAAGCCGCTATACGTGATGAGGTTTAAAAGTAGCGTAGGCCCCGCTGAAGATGCCGGCATCATCAATCCAAGGCATCCTAACTTCTCCCACCTCTTTATTTTAAGTCAACGACACTTTGACGATGGTAGCATCAAGCTTCTGGCAGCCGTTGACAGCGGCGGCTTGTCTGTTCGGCGCGACTACTGCGTACCGTCAGCGCAGATACATTGATAACTCCTCCGGGACGCCCGAGGTTATCATCCCGGGTGCCTCTTCCTACAATGGCCTGAATCTAGTGCCACAGATGGGATGGGACAATTGGAACGCCTTCGGGTGCGACGTGAATGAGAGCTTGCTGCTCAATACCGCTCAGAAGATGGCCGATTACGGGCTGCGGGATCTAGGGTACAATTACATTGTCCTGGACGACTGCTGGTCGATTGGGAGAAACTCTAGCGGATATCTAGTCGAGAATCGTAAGCATAATCCACTCACGTGTGATGACTCCTCGCTGACAACTACAGACGTCAAGTTTCCGAGCGGAATGAAGGAGGTCGCGGATAGGATACACGGCCTAGGCTTCAAATTCGGAATGTACTCTTCGGCAGGCATCATGACTTGCGGAAGGTATCCGGGATCGCTCGGCTTTGAGCAAAAGGACGCGGACTTGTGGGCCAGCTGGGGTGTGGACTATCTCAAGTATGACAACTGCTTCAACCAAGGCCAATCCGGGACACCGAAGCTGTCGTTCGACCGCTACAACGTCATGTCGCAGGCTCTCAATGAAACTGGCCGGCCTATCGTCTACGCGATGTGCAACTGGGGTAACGATGATCCTTACGACTGGGCTTATGGCATTGCGAACTCCGGACGCATGTCGGGCGACATCTACGACTCGTTTAATCGACCGGACTCGCGCTGTCCATGCACAGAAGCTGTTGGTTGCCCTTGGCCAGGCTTTCACTGCTCCGTTATGAACATCCTGAACAAGATGCCCGCCATACAGTCGCGCACGATGTCTGGCTACTTCAACGATATGGACATGCTGGAGGTCGGTAACGGTGGCCAAAGCGATTCGGAATACGTAGTCCACTTCTCCATGTGGGCCATGATGTCGTCGCCTCTGCTTATCGGCACGAATATCCCGACGCTGTCTCCGGCCAATCTGGCGATTTACTCCAACCCGGCAATCATCGCGCTCAACCAGGACCCATCAGCGGGTGCTGCTATCAGGAAGTGGAGATACTTTGTAGACCCGGACGAGAACGGCGAAGGCGAGATCTCTCTCTGGACGCGGACGCTTGATAACGGCGACACGGTGATGGCGCTGCTCAATGCCGCCAATTCCACCATGATGATGAACGCCACCATGAACGACATCTTCTTGGACCAGCGCACGGCTGGTGCGTATCAGGAGCCGGAGGAGCTCCGCCAGACCTGGGACGTGTACGATTTGTGGGCGAACCGGATGTCGGAGGCAGAAGCTGGTTCCCTCATCAATGGCACCTCGACCGTGAGCCCAAACAGCACTACTAGGTACAATGCTACCGCAACGAGCTACGAAGAGGGGCTCGAGAACAATGCGACGGCATTGATGGGCGTTCATGTCGGTAGTATTGCTCCGAGTGGGACTTTCAGTGCGGAGATTGCGAGGCATTCTGTCGGTGTTTACCGGTTGAGGGCGCAGTCTTCCTCGAGCTTGCGGAAGAGGGATGAGTTGTAATGTATCCAGGTACGACGAATGTCCCGCGCCAGCGGTAGGGAAAACGGTATTTGAACAGAGAGTTTGCGTAATTCTCCTCACTATTGCCGTACTGCACATTCAAGCGAAATTCCCTCCAGAAAAGATGTCGTATCCATCACAGTACCACTGTATCATTAGCAGTAGACCCCTAGTCCCATCTACCTCAAGAACATATACCTAACTCCTCCGGTGCGGCGCCCTTCCAATGCCCACCAAACGTCGACCACGATAACTACTCGGTGCCAGGCTTAGATCGCCAAACCTACTCTACACACGCCGCTCCTTCTTTCCCCATTCCGCAGTCCGTCTTTTCGATCGCGCCTGATATCCTCGATGCGCAAACACCCCCCGATCCGCGAGCCTGGTCGGCTTCGCATCCTTCCTGCCTCGTGTGCTGCATGCAGTCAGCAGAATCCGGGGCTTAATGGTATCTCGTATGCTACAGGCGGGTAGATCCGTCAAGTCGACATCCTGGCTAGCTCGACAACGATTAGACGTCTGCGTGTGAAGGCCGAAGATGACAGACGATTGCCACCAACTGCTGACTGCGCTGCGCCACGCTGCATAAAGGAGGCGGGAAGGTAGGATTGCCATGGCTGAGTGATGACAGGGTAAGCGAATAGGAACTAGCGATGGTTAGCGGGTTACGATATGCGGTTTTGAAACCAGACGTGCGTGGAGCGATTCCGGCGTTATGATGATCTGGGCTGGGTTGGTAAAGGGGGATTGTGCGTGAGAGTGAGGTTTACCTTGGTACGTAGCGTAGGTGATGACGTAGACCGTGTTTTCCGGGAGCAATAATGGTGTATAACTGACTGGCTGGAATGCCGTGCCGTGGTTGCGCAAGAAAGCTAGGCCCCTCATAGCCGCGAGAGGCGGAGTCTTAAAGTCCGCCTGGGATTTTGAGGCCTTTCGACGGGGACAGCGGATGCGCGGGAGGGTCTTCAGGGATAGCTGCGCAAAGCGGGACATGCGCGTGCGTTCGAGTGGTCTGCGGTGTCTGGGGTTGCTGCCAACATCAATACGAACACCTAGACTAAATAGTCTGTACGTCTGCAACACGCTTCTTGAAGCACAAACATTCGACGACATTGTGAGCATAGAGTAGCCTCGTGAAATGGCGGACACCTACTCGGACCACTGGCAACCCTAGAGTCTTTGAACGACTTGAAGGAGTCAAGCAGGCATTATATTCGGCCGTGGCATTAGTCACATAGTTAGCTACATTAATTAATCCCCCGGCCCAGTAAAATTCCCAATAAACACCACCAAAATGGCGCAATACGCCGCGCTCGCAGCAAAAAGCTCGTGCCGCGCCGCCCGCGTCAGCAGGCTCATGGCGGCGCTGAACAGCAGCGTGAACACGATCAGGACGCCAACGGCATTGAGCGTATCCCTGGTGTTGACGAAGTCCGCCGAGTCTGAAGAGGTGGCGTTGGTAGAGGAGGATTCGTGGGTAGAGGTGGAAGTCAGCTGGTACATTGTGACGACGGGGATTACGAGCAGGATGAAGATGATGAGGGTGATGAGGATGTTGACGAGTTTGTCGATGCGCGTGCTGCTGTAGAAGGAGATGTAGGTGTTTGAGGTCTTTTCGCGGAGTTCGGGGGTGCGGAAGTATTTCTGTTTTGCTGTGTTAGCATTGTTTCCCTCGTCCGCACGTTGTTGAAGGGGGCGGATAGTAGAGTACCTGTAGCGGTGGAGTCTTGAGTCGGAAGAACCACTTGAGGAACCGATCGATTTGCCCGATAATAGTCTCCACGCCACCGTCGAAGGACGCCCATTCGCGCCCGTTGCGCAGAGAGACGGTGTCTTCTTTGCTGCGGATCGAGTCCATTTCGGCGTCCATGAGCGGCTTGGTGTTGTGGTGGTAGCGGCGGACGCTGCGGTAATTGCGATCAGATGGCTTTTGGAAGGACTCGAGCGTCCGTGCCTTGATCAATACTTCGTCTGGCGAACGTCAGTATCCCGGATCTGCTTGCTTGATGGTAGTAGGGAGAGCGGACCGTATTCCATTAACTTATCCTTGATTTCGCGGAGAATGACTCTCCGGTTGCGAGCATTACCATCTTGAGATGCTTTCGCGACGTCGATGTCCCGTGACCGTAGACGGTCCGGTTCGTCGTCGAAGTCGTCCCAGTCGATCTCATCGAGCTCCTTCTCTAGCGTCGTGATCTCGTCTTGTAGATCGAGCAGCACGCGGGAGTGGAGGTAGCTGAATGATCGGTACAGAGAGAAGTTTGCTTCGCTGGACTGAAAGGCTGCAAGACGAGGGAAGCCATTGGGCGTGTTTTCGACTGCTGCGGATGAGCGATATGTTGGGCACAGGGATTGATAGAAAGGCTTACGTTTCCGGGTGTTGGTCTCGGCGACAGCCTGAGGGTCTGGTTCGGATTTGAAGGAATTCGTTATTCGTCGCAGAGGATTAGACCGTTTCTTTTCGTTGTCTGGAGCGGTCTCAGTCTTGTGACACTTCTCACTGTGTGCCCAGAGCTTCTTCTTTCGCAGCGACGGACGGCGATAAGAGCATAGTACTAGCCCACATTGCATCGCTTAGAGATGCTGCAGTACCATGCACCGTCACGAAGCCGTGCGATATTTGGGGGGCGGATCGAGGGTGTCTTGGATCACGTACGAGGCTGTGCAGGCGCTTCGTTCACCGAACCCACGTCCAAGGACGACGAACGCGAAGTCGAGCTATCCTCTTCCCCAATCTCAATGATAGCATCCCCTCTTAGCGTATCATCCGTACACGTCGGCGACGCTGGCGATTGCGGTCCCTTCTCCGTCTCATTCACAACCGTATCCCCCGTCATCGAGCGGGCGGGGGCCATTCGCGAGGCTGGGCTGGAGGAAGGGCTATGCGCGACCCGCGCACAACAAAAAGACAAGTAAACGAACGAAAAGCGACGAACTTTTGTGAACCGACGCCGACAGACCGCTTATTAGACCGACATTGGAATTTGAAAGGTGGCTCAAGAGTTCAGCTGAAGTGTGGCGGGTGATCCGCCTCTATGTAGTCTACGCAAAGCAAATGTTCGGTGAGCCATGCATGATCGTCGGGCCCGACCGCCCGCCCTAGCCAAAGAACGCCAGAGACCCAATGAAATTGTGGCTGCCTAGCTGTCCCCTGTGCCACAGGAGGCAGCACAGCCACGGCCAATGTTGCAATTCAGCTACCTCGCCTTCTCCATGCGGAGCTGCTTCTCGCGGATCCACTCGCCGTTCTTGTAGGCCCTGCCGTTGGCGTCGACGAGCTGGTACTCGTAGTAGGCGCCTGAGCTGTGGAGGCGGCCCTTCGCTACTGTGAAGATGCCTTTTCTGCGGGTGCCCTGCTCCAGGAGGGACATGTGCACCGTGTCGCGCTTGTTGAAGCGGCCGGATTGCTGGACGCATTCGGTTAATGGCTTGTTTGATATTGAGGGTGGTGGGCGGAGACACTTACGTCTGTCGGGTTCGGGTCGTTGTACACTGTCGACTTCTCGGTCGCTGCTTGCTCCTGCTCTGGAATCACTTCGTCCGCCGGGAGCTCCGTTTCCTGGGTCTGTACGGAGCGTTACTCGTCAGCCTGTGTGGCAAAGGTCTCATATGACGTTGTGCGACGACGTACCTTGAGATCCTGGACTGGCAGCGTGTCAACTTCGCTGGTGGCCATGGTGTGGAAGCGTATAAAATGCAGGGCGGGAGGGGGATGCGGGTGTGATTTGATAGCCTTGTGTGCAGAGGGACGGTGGACGAGAAGGCTACCGATTTAATATAATACGACCGTGCAACTGCAGGCCTCCCTGTGCTGCCTTGGGATGCAAAGAAAGCGGCCGACTTTGAGGCTGACACCCTGCACAGCCATCGAGATGGTTTTCAATCCTCCCTCGCAAGCACCGCCAGTGGGGCTATCGCATTCCGGCCCCCGGCGCCTTCGTCCGTGAACGCCATTATCAATCTCTATATTTGCAGCCGCCTGTCTCAAAAGCCGGCGCTCTTGAAAGCGGAAAGAGGGGGATCAGAAGGGGATGGAGGAGGGCCAGTTTCGGCCCCCAAACTCCAGATGGCGGGTTAGTCAGCCCGTGATTGGCGGGATCTAGCTCCTTCGGTGAGAGTCGTTCATGGGCGCTGTCCCACCAATATGGGGGCTGAACGGCGGGCTCGCGCGAGCAATATGAGAGCCTCTGCGACCTCCTCCACAGCCTTAAAGCCTTGTGGCCTGCTTCGACAATGGCCCTGTGGTCGCAAGCCTCACAGCGCGTGGTCGACGCCATGGAGACCGACATCTCGCCGCGGACTGCGAACCCCCTGAAGGACAAGGTCTTCCACGCGAACATCCAGATCCAGTCCATTGAAGATGCCCCGACGCGCGAACGAGAGCTCTCTGAGGGCTCTAGACTGGTCGACCAATCCAGCGAAAGCGCCGAAGATGCCGCCAACAGAGAGCGAGCCGCGGAAATGCAGATGTGGTGGGATGAAGCCATTGCGCGGAATATGGACCTCCCAGACGGCTACGTCAAGGTCGCCGTGCTGCTGGTGAAGTGGGCGGACGAGTTGGATGAGCTGAAGACAAGGACAGAGGTGGGTAGCCTCTAGGAGAGTTCTAGCATTCCAATTAAGCTAACGAAAAACCAGGCCGAGGAACTCGAAGCCGTCTTTCGCGACCGGTTCCACTTCCACACCGAGACCGTCGAGCTCAATGTCTCCAGCAAGCCGCAGCACCAGATGAACTGCTACCTCGCCGTCTTCGTAGAAAAGCACGACGGACCGAACAACTTGCTGGTCCTATACTACACAGGACACGGAGTGTACAGGGAGGACCACAAGCACTTGGAGTTGACGGCGAGTCTCAACCCCATGGTGAAGAAGGGGTTCAGCAAGGATGCTCGTCTTAATTGGAACAAAGCGGAGGATATACTCCGCTCGGACGATGTCGAGTGCGATGTCTTGACCATCCTGGACACCTGCTATTCGAGCAATCTGGCAAAGTCGGGCAAAGAGGAGACGAGGACATTCGAGCTCTTGAGTGCCTGTGCTATCGATTCGACAACCGCCGCGCCTGGTGACAATTCCTTCACCCGAGCGCTCATCGATGCCCTAAAAGAGCTCCTCGAAGAATTCCACGACAGACCCTTCACCACATTCCACCTAAACCAACGCATCCTACTCGACAAGCGCCGCCACGATACTCCCTCACAGCTCTGGTTCCGCCTCCAGCACCACGAGCGACACATTCGCCTCGCACCCCTGAAGCCAGAGAAGGACCGTGAGCGGAAGGCTTCCGGGCTTCGGCACCCGCCGCGCGGCTACTTGACGCTACGTTTCGCCCTGCGAGACGAGTCACTGAACCGGGAGCAGATTGAATTCCTGACACGCAACCTGTCCAAAGCGTTCAACAATAAGGCACTTGTCGGCTTACGCAGGATCGACTGGCTGGGCCTCAAGCCGGCTCGAACTACGCACTTCGGACGCGCGGCGCTAGCTATGTTTGCGATTGCGCAGTGGAAGAAGTTCCTGAATAGGAGGCGGGAAGAGCGAGCGTCGCAAAGAAGAGTCGATGAGGTAGAGTTTCCTGCCGATATGGCGGCCGAGGTATCACCAGTGTCTTCTCCGATGCGAAAGCGGACGCGGGACGGCTTCGATGATCTGCCAGAGCCTAAGCGCGAGTATCTTGTTATCCCGCAGCCACCGTCGCCTCCTGTGTCGAACTCTTCTCGAGTGGAGGATACTGGAGGAGGAGGTTCCTAATCATTTGTCCTCTCATTTTGCTGTATTGTAATGTCTGGTTGAATTCGCAAGATACCCGTAGCGGCATGCTACATCGGACTTCGTCGTACACGTATCTAACATTCATCTCTTTTCTTACTGTCCCTTCATATTGTCCACAAGCCGAGGTTTAAGGGGCTTCAGTTCATTTCGCCCCTTTCCTACCTATCAGAGGGGGCGCATGAAGCCATCAGGTGTACCCGTCGCCAGTGCCCAGAGCTTGGAGATCTGGGAACTGCTAGCCTGTGCTCTAGAAACGTATTGAACTTGTGAGATGTTTAGCGTGCATCGGATTCGTCCGGCCGCCCTCATGTTCGCTTCAAGTCCTCTTTCTAATATTTGTCGGGGCAGTCTTTGTGAGATATGAAGTGCCATGAGGCTGAGGGGTGAGTAACGTGGGGCACCGCGAATGTGCCCCCGGTGTCATCAGGCGACCCTATGGGGCCTCCGCGCTCCGCTATCCAGGTATGCGATCCCACAATTTTTCAAATGGCTGCCAATATCACTTTCGAGCACCAGCTCTTGTTTAGCATCGAATCTTCCAACTATGTAGCATTCTTCGAAGAACAGGTGCGAGTTACTATTGACTCCATCGCGCCGCCTTTACTGACTATTGAAGGATCCCGTGTGTCCTCCCGATTTCACGGATGCTGGACTTGTTACGGTCATTCCTACTCCAGACAAAAGCGGCAATATCGTGAAAGACGTTGAGGAGTACGTCCATCGTGCTTCGGAGCATGACGATGTCTTCTGCGCTGCCTTTCTGTCCTCTGTCATCGTGACTGGCGACTCCTGCGAGGGCAAGTTAGAGATTGAAGACTTACCGCAAGCTTGGAGGACCACCAAGATTGCATGCCTCAGCACGAGAGGCTCCACTACGATTCCATTGCCAGGATCGTACGTCTTGAAAGACCAAAGGCTTCGGCAGGTCTTTCGGCTCTACGATGACGATGTCAATGCGTTTTCGATCGCGTTTCGTCATTCAGAAGCGAACAGGTACTACTTTACGACGAGAACGAAGCCCTGTGCTGATGATATCCCCAGACTCTCTCCTCTGAGAGTAGGCGGATCTCGCCATAATGCATGCTGCGTAGCAGTTCCATCTCGTCTCCGATTCCAGCCCTCACCTTCGAAACCTCTCCATGGGACGCGAATCACAGTCAAAGACATTTTCGACATCGAAGGCCTCCGCACTTCCCTTGGCAGCAGAGAGTACCTCAAGCTATACCCGCCAGTGTCAACCACTGCCCCATCCATTCAGAAACTGATAGATCTAGGGTGCCATGTTGTTGGCCTCTCACAGATGTGCTCAACCGTTCTGAAGCAGGACCCTACTCAGTCTATTGAGTTTCTGGCACCCTTCAATCCGCGCGCTGATGGCTGGCAGTCACCGTCAGGAGGGAGCCATGGCCAAGCGTGTGCTGTGGCAAGGTATGACTGGCTTGATATAGCTATCGCAAGTGACTGTGAGTATGTAAATCTCCTTGCTTATCTGGTCTAACATTACTAGCAACTTTTAGTGGGCGCATGCCCGCGCAAGCGGCTGGCTTGTTTTCTCTTCGGCCTAGTATTGGTGCGATCTCGACGCAGGGAATGTGGTCCGGTGTACCGTATGTTGCGTGAGACTATCGCTGTCGCACGGGCTGATTCGACGCAGTCACATGGATACACCCTGCTTCTTTGGCCGAGATCTCTCGAAGTTCCGGGACTTTGCTCGAGCGTGGTACGCGGATAAGCTACAGCACGCGGTAGACAAGGTGGGCTTTGGTAAACCTGCATGAGAAGGCCTTGCATGGCTAAAAGCAAATAGCGTCGCCCATACAGTGTGATATACTTCAGGGACTTCCTTCCCACTGATAACGTCCTACAAATGCAAGCTTTCCACGGCTTGGTACGGGACGTCGAGGGTTACTTCGGCGCGAGGGCGAAGGAGCTATGTATTGCTGACGAGTGGGCCAATTCTCCCCCTGAAGAAGCCAGGGGACGAAAATTGACCGAGTTTATTGGGTCGGAGGTAAGTTCGGACCGTCGATGCCGTCTTTAGCTAAGCTTGTAGGTGGCCACTCGTTCATACGTGTATACGTTCTGGAAGCGCTTCGAGCCATTTTGGAATGAATATCGGTCGGCCTTCAACCGAAAGCCATACGTTCCTCTTCCGACGCACGTAAACACGTGGTAAGTAGCACTATGTTAACCTATGGAGTAAGATAATGAGTAACGTACAAAGGAAAAATGCATGGAGTGTGACACCTGCTCAACACCAAGACGCTTTAGCACGCATCCAAGTCTACAAGCACTGGATATTAAACAGTGTGCTTGGAGGCAACAGCAACACCATTCTTCTCGCCCCTTTAGGTAATGTGCGCCCAGCATATAGAGATGAGTGGCCCGGGTAAGCCATCTTCAATGCACATGATGACGATGCTGACGATGGATAGAGTACAAGGCGGAGACCAGATGCTGTGGTCTCCGCTCATGTTGTCTCCGATATTAGGCGCTCCTGAGTTAATAGTGCCCGGTACTCTTCGACCAACAATTAGGGGAAGCTCAACTAAGTTAAGCAGTTGGCGAGGTCCCTTACGTCTCGAGAATAAGCTCCAGAAAAGAATTTCTACCCGTGTGTGTATCGGTGATGGGCTGGCCTGGTAAGCATTGGTTCTGATCATCTACACTCCATCACACTGCTTACGCTGTCAGGGAGCGATCTAGACCTTATCGACGCGACTCTGAATATCCTCAGGGAGTCAGGAAGGCCGAGCGAGGTTATAACTGGCAGCAGGATGTTCGGGCAATGATGCGGCGAAAATTTTCCATTGTTTCTTACCACTGAAGACGATTCGGGAAACAGACCACTATCAAGAGTGGCCACGTCGGAAGAATTCCATGCTGGGGTGAGCCAACACTTGCTCGATCGTCGGTCTAGCCGAAGGCTCGAAATGCATCATGTAGCTGAGAAGATCCGTTAGGACCGCCACATCATCCTCGGAGAAATCCTCCTGTCTAGGCTTCATCCCGATATCTGCATTTCCTTCTCGAATTTCCCTGACCCGCGCCGCTAACGACCAGGTAGGTTCCTCGATGACGCGTATCTCCTCTCCGTGCATCGCTTTCCAAGATGCAAGCATCCATTCCGGTGGCCGACCTAGAACGTCCATCATTTGATGGAGCATCTTGAGAGATGGATCGTTGAGTGTACCCATAAGATCAAACCCGGAAAGAAACTGGTATATCGCGCAGCCAAACATCCATACATCTGCCACTGAGCTAATGTCACCGGGCGCATTTTGCTCCGGTACGATGTAAGGCCCATTCGTGGCCATTTTGGGATGCTTCTCACCCCAATGGAATGCCAGTCCAAAGTCAGCTATCTTGAACGGGCCTGGGAAGAGATCGCGGTCGACGTCGTGGGTCAATGCGTCTATAACGACGTAGTTGGGGGCGTGCTCGCTCTTCGGCGTGTCGGGGATATCGCTCGTCTTGATCAGCTTCGGTGGGCCGCAGACCGATTCGAATTTGTCTAGCGACCATGGCTGGTCGCTCGGAATGCCGAGGAATAGGTTGGCGGGATGTAAGTCTAGCACCTAAGCCTATGTCCTGTGGAAAATACCGGTGCTGACCTCAACTTACCGTTATGCGTCATCTTTAGGGTATGCATGTAGTGGATGCCATTTCCAAGGTCCAAGACGGCTTTCTTCGCGTGTGCCAGTGGCAGTGGTCGTGTGGCGGCGCCTTGTGCTCGATTCGTTGCTCTAGAGACCGTCTGGCCTTCGAATTCCATGACAAGACAGAAGTGTTGCCCGTTAGGCCCACCGAGCGAAAATGAGTCCATCGGGAAGAGCAAGTTCTTCTTCCCGGGGTGGTTGTCATCGCCGGTTTTGAGATATTCCATCTTCGCCATCAGGTCGTTGCGGTAGGCGTCAGCGGTGATGGCCTTCGAAATAGATACGACCACGCAGGCACCATTGCTGCTGGCATCCGTTGCCAGCCATACAGTTGAATAGGCTCCCCAGCCTAGCTTGTTGACTATCGTGTATTGGCCGTCCTTGAGTTGATCTCCAATGTGAACGGGATGGTAGCCCCCAAGAGAGTAGTCGCTCAGCGGCTCGATCTTTTTGAGCACATCGGACGGTGGTGCGGTTTCCATTGTTGTCGTCTAGATGCGGTAGGTGATGTTGGGCATTGAGCGTGGTAATATATTCACCTAAGCAGGCACGTGTCAGGGTTTCAGCCTTGTGGCCCTTCCACAACTGTCTTGCTTTCCGAAGGACGCTGTCGGGACCACCTGGGCACGCTCTTCACACCTGCCACGACAATATTTTTCAGCTGCGCCCCAAATCACCCGCTCACCGAGAATTTTTGCGCGTCGTGGCATGTGTTACGAGCGAAGCGGTCGTACTACCTTGTTGCCTCCCTGCATTGGGCTCTTGCGTTGGCGAGTCTACGCCTCACCTCTTTGCGGCACACGCGTCAACCTTCAACTTGCTATCTTAATCACAAAACGGCCTCCATCATGATACTCACTCGCGCCATTATCATCCCTTTTGCCCTCTACACCTTGTTCAATTTTACTTCAATGCTCCTCGAAGTGCCCACACTCCGACTTTTCGAGCATGCAATTTGCGTTAGGTCAAACCAGCGCCTGGAGGTTGACGAGGCTGAGTGCAAACCTGCCGGCATTCAGAATATGCTTTCGCTGGTTGTCGGCTGGAAGTTGACGCTGGATGCATGTGCAGGTGAAGTACATCTCATATTCTATTAAACATCTACTGAGGGTTATAGGCCTTTTGACTGCGATGTTCTATGGCTCGGTCGCTGAGCGCCTTGGAGAGAAACTGGTCTTATTGCTCTCGTTAACAGGCTTCGTAGCCATGCAGTTGGTAGACATCGTCATCTGTAAGCGAGTCATCAGCTACCAGATCCGGGCTAATTGAATGAAGGTTCATTTCCGCTTCGTTTCCCAGTTCAGGCCGTCTGGTTTTCGTCCTTCTTCTTACTCATTGGGGGTGGTCAAAGGATCTTCAACTCGATGATTTTCACCCTTGTCTCTAACGCGCTCGACGAAGCAAACAGGTGTGTCTCTACTCCTTCTGTTCTTTGGTACACACGCTCACAGCATGCCCTTCCTAGGACCACCTATCTGTATTGGCTTGCGTTCGGGCCGCACTGCATGAGGTTCATCGCTCCCAGAATTGCCGCGGGTCTCATGGGAGTCGGTTTACTGGAACCTTTTTGGCTGGGTATTGGTGTTATCGCTCTCATGAGTTCCATCATACCGTTGGTGGTCGAGAGTAATCGCACTCGGCCGAGGAAGATATCAAGCAATGACTACCTACCCATTAGCCGATCTGAAGGGCGAGAAAGCGAGACTTTCTCGCGAAGTTCGAGCAGAGAAGGTTCTGAAAACGCCCTCGCACCTCGACCGATCTCCAGGCAAGCCTCAGGCGAGACGCCTTCACGCGATGAACCTCCCAACAATATTCGCCAACGAGTTTCGAAGTTCCTACTGGCAAATTTCTACGACATAACCACGTTCCTGCGCGTCCCCAAAGTGCTGTTCTGCCTTTCAACGGTATTTCTGAAGAGAATTGGGTTCGCGAGCAGCGCCTTCGCCTTTCAATACGTATCGGAAAGGTTTGGGTGGCAGCTACATCAGACCACCTGGCTGAGAGTTGTCTCGGGGGCAGGCGCCATTGCCATCGGAATCGCCGCGCCAACTATTACCACCTACGTTATCCGAACAGGCGCATATCCACCCCTAGTCGACTTGAGCTCAATCCGCGCAGCCCTAACGATACTATGTGTATCCTTCTTTGCGACATGGAAAGCCGCTAGCAGCGCGATGATCATGTTTTGTAATGTCTTCCTTTTAGGCCCCATGGGGCTAGCTACTAACGTGCGTAGCAATGTTCGGGATCGGGTTTGGGGAGGGTCTGGAACCCGCATTACAAGGGTTCATTTCCTTCGCAGCAGAGTCAATCAGCAGCTCGAGAGTGTTCACGACTTATGCGTTCTTCGATGCCGCGGCAGAGCTCACGGCCGGACCGCTGATAGCGCGACTACTGGCTATCGGTAGGACGGAAGACCATCCATCAGATGGAGTTTGTTTCTTGGCATCCTCGGTATATTTCTGAGAACCCCTCCACTAACAGACCATGAACATCAGCTGACGCTCTCAGGGCATCTTTGCATTTCTACTGATGTGGGCGTGCTGCATCAGGGTCTCGCGTGGCCCTTCATGAGTTATTATACATGTGAAATGCTAATAGAGGAATTCGAAACAAATGCACATCTATGGCTTTCAGTCGCTGTCCTTCGTTTCAAATGCATGCTCCTCTTGCTTGGACCTCTTTCCCTTCCTAGCGAAGACGTGGCCTATTTGTGACACATTCCAACTCAAGGACACGAGCAGAAGTAGGACCAGAGGGCCCGAAATGGCGAAGAATATCCAAAGACCGTAAGCGGGCCTGTCCACGAAGGGCCCAAGATTCATTCCAAAGAATGAAGAAACGAAGCTCAGCGGAACAAAAACAAAGGCCAGTCGGGTCAGCTTGGTCACTTCTTTGGCTTGTTCGATCGCCTTGTTGGACTCGACGATACCGGCTCTGCTCATCAGTATGTGAAGTCGCGATTTGCACAAGTCCGACATAATCTCTGTTCGGTTTAATAGACTTCTGAAATCCTGGAGGAGGGTGTGGGTGAATGCTGTACTCTTCTGCCTCAGCGCTGTGTCCGTCGGTCGCGGCCATCCGGCATCTTCTCGAGAGTTGATGGCCATAATACTCCGGCGCAATGACTCTGCATGCCTGTCAAGCAGGCCCTGGAAGAAGATCATGTTCGCTGGCGAGACGTTGCGGTCAGGGATGAGCTCGGCGGCCGTGTCCTCCCGGATCTTGGATTCTATGACATTCAGGAACTGCGCTTCGGAGTAGGCGCAGTTGATGAACAGTTCGTGCAGTGCGTAGAAGGGGTCCTGAGCCATGATTTGTTTGTCCAACCTCTTGCCGTAGCCAAGGTGGATGAGCGATGCTGACTGCTCCATTTCCTTCGTGGGTCGACGGTCGTGGGCGATGGACAGGCTCGCTGCATGCAATGAGGCGAACGGATGCGCTTGTATCCACGGTAGGAATGTCTCTTGGCCCGTTGCCTGGTTCGTCTGCAGTGTCTTCGCCCACGGTCCGGGCTCCTTCGGGCTCAACGACTTGCCGGTGTCGAGCCAAACGACGGCTGCATATCGCATCAGCGCTTGATAGAAGAGGAAGAAGGGAGCATTTACTCACCAGTCCAGCCTTTCTCAGTCTGACCTAGGTATATTGAGACCTGCTGTTCAATCGCAAAATGGTGCTTGTCGAGAAGGTGATAGGAGCGAACGATCGATTCAGAAGGCGACGAGCTCTTGGTGATATTCTTCCCGAGGATATTGAAATATTCTACCATGTCTTTGCCCGCAGAGTCCCTGAGAGAATCCAGCTTTAACTGGCTGATATCGCCCATCGAGCTGGGTAATTCGCCGACGGTCATGTAGCTGAGTTGTATGAGGTTCCGTGACGTCGATATGAGTGACGGCTGAGCGAAGTATCTTTTCCTCGACATGCTAAACACAAAATCAAGATGGCGATAAAAGAACTCTGGATCGACATGGTAGGATGCGCCTGCATACGCGAGCCACATGGGACATGGCTGGCCTCGTAGGAAGAGAATGCTGTTGGCTTCTGTTTCCGCATGTTGGGCGAGCTCCTCTGGCGTCTTCGGCTCGCAGTATTCGGGTGGTCCTCCCGAAGTGTATTTATAAAGCGTTGCGAATGTAGAAGATGGTGTGTAGTCGCGTTTCGCTGAAGAACTGAACGGCTGTTCGAGGATATGCGCCAGCCTCGTAAAGTGGACTCCCGTAAACAACGTGTTACTTCGCTGCTTCGCATAGGCCCCTATCGATGCGATATACTGCTCGGGAGTCCCTTCGTTGTAGGTCAGTTCGAGCTCGTTCTGAGGTTGTTAAACTGAATCGGCGCGGGAGACCCACATCGCTTTGAAGACCCTGAGCGAATTGACGCTGGCCGCCCTTGACGAGCGCTCGGGTTGGGGTTGCCTGGTGCCAAGGTTGCCATATTGTAGGTTTCCTTTCGCGAAAGCTCTGAAATGATATTTTCGCATCATTTGGCAACATTCTTATTACGTTGAGAGTGAGGCTCTTGAGTCGGGCTGGATGCAGGAGGGGTCTGGCACGGGGCGGAGCCGAGCGTAACGCCCTCCGAAACACTAAGGCGAGCGGGCTGCGCTGAGCCACGGCCAGGGGTCGGACGGCATATCGGAGCCCTATTGGCTTATTCACCCCTCCTCCCCAAACCACAATTCGCTGCCAAGGGTGAAGGACGTATTAGGCAGACTCAGAATAAGACAAGAAAAACAAACCCTCCACATGTAGCGAATTACCGGTTAGCAAAAGTCATCGCGACCAGAAGGCTACCAAGTCATTGAAGTCAGCGTGGGACGGCTCGTTGCCTAGAGACGCAGCCTTCCCCGTTATCTCATGATATGACTGCACGCTTTCGTCCCGCAGTCTGTGTGCCCTATCAATGTCGCCGCTGGCTCGAAGGATCTCGCTCTTCAGAAAAGTGGCGCGTGCTTTCTCTGGCCGAAAGATCACACGGTCACTGAAAATCTGCAACGCCTCGTCAATGTGCTCCCTGTGCTACATTAGCCACCATGCAATAGGCTAGGGAAATTCCGCGCCTTGTTGTACGCACCTTGCTTTCTTCCAATGTCCCTTCCGCAAGTAATGTTCGGCCACCTTAACGTGGACGTCGCCCGTTCGGTGGTGACTCTTACCAATGGTGTTCAGGAACTGACGCAAGGCGCGCTCATGAAATGCGAGACTCTCGTCCAGTCGGCCTTGGGAGGCAGTGACGTTTCCGAGCGCATAGAGGAATCGACCGGTTCTGTCGAAGAGTCAGCCGTGGGTCTTGCGGGATACTGTTCATCGCTTACATGAACGACCGACTGTCGTCATGACCGTACACGTCAACACGATGTCGCAAGCCTTCTTCCAAAGTTGCTTGAGCCAGCTCTAGCCTGTCGGTGAGCCAGTATGCCAGGCTGAGATTGATATACGGGAACGAGAACTCAGCCGGGGCAAAATTCGCCTTGCGCTGAGCCACTTCGAGACATAACTTGAAGCAGCGCTCTCCTTCAAACCACATCTTATTCATCATGTAGGCGTTCCCAAGCTCGTTCCAAGAGATGGCTAGCCGATCATCGGACTTTTGGAGCTCTTCGTCGATCTCTACACTCATCATCTCATTGAACTTCTTGAAATGCTTCAGCGTGAATTCCGGTTGGTTGCTTTCTGTGCCGATACAGCCCAGATTGTGATGCGTCTCCGCGAGAATAGCAAGCAGCTGTCTCGCAGCCTCGTTCTTGTGAGAGTCACTGCGTCCAAGTCGTCCTAGAATGGATTGAGTGTTCTCCACTACCGCTTGAGCCTGTTCGATAAAGGACTGCGACTCGGTGAAGTGGCCCGTCTCGTGGTAGTACCTAGTTGGTTAGCATCCAGCCGATTATCCCGGTGTCTCACTTACCATCCAGCGTCGTTCATCAGCTTGCAATATGCAATTCGGATATCCAGAGATTCCAACTTAGTGACGAGGTCAGATCCGAGTCCCTTGAGACGAAGGACGTGAGGAAAGAGTTCCTCGCATTTCCGCCACCTCGCGATTCCATGTCGCCATCCGAACGCTTCGAACGGCCACGCATGTGAGACAAGCTGCAGCGCAGCGGAAAACGTGTCCTGGTAACGTTTCTCGCTCATTTTTGAGCGCGTCGCGTCTTGGACCATCCGATGCACTGAAATATTCTTCTCGGTGCTGTCTTTAGAAACGAGTGACGTCTGAAGAAGCTCTTTTCTTGCCCTCAGATAAGCAAAACTGGCGGTGGGGTAGTCCTCGAGTGAGGTCTGGATCCGCACCTTCAGGGCATCTTCCTGGCTCCCCACCTTCAGGAAATATTCCTGGATAGTGTCTGGATCGAGAAATGCGAGAACGTCCAGTAGCGGCTTTCCGTGTCGGAGGCTTTCAATGGCCCATGCAGTTGAAAGATTTTTGCCGTATGTATCGGACTGTCCCAGCCCCTCATTATAGCCAAGGTACTCCGGGTGCTCTTTGTTTTCGTCCCAGGTCTCAATGAACTCCTCAAAAGTCATGTGGTTGCGGATAATGACGCTCGCCATCTGCGCAATTGCGAGCGGCAGACCTCCTAGTCTGTCACCGATGCCGCGGCCGTCTTCTCTGCGCTTTGTCAGTTGTGCGATCATTCTGCTGGACTCTTCCCGGGTGAATGATTTCAGATCAAGTCCTGTGTCTGCAAGGACATTGGGCTTTTTCGAAAGTGGATCGCGGCTCGTAAGGAGAACGCATCCCGGGCCTTCCAGAGGCCAGAAACCCTCAAGGACCTGGATATCATCAACGTTGTCTAGAACGACTAGCCAGGACGGCTGAGTGCTCGCTCGGTCCTCGTCAGGGACTTCTTCTCTGACTGGATTGGAGAGCCATCCTTTGGTAAGATTTGCAGTAATGACTGGATCCAAGGCATCTAGGGAGTCGGGCGATACCAGGCCCAAGCTGATAGCAATCTGCCCAATTCCATCAGAAATTTTTGACGGCTCGTCTGCATAGATCCAGAAGATTGCGTCAAATGCCCGCGTGCTCTTGCATCGATGCACGTATTCGGCCGCAACTTGAGTTTTACCGATGCCACCGGGTCCACAGAGAGCGAAACTTCGGGCGTTGTTGTCCTCATCGTCGGTCTCTCTTGGAGAGGAAAAGTACTCCTCGACTTTTCCAAGAACATCTTCCCGTCCGTAGAAATCTTTGTTTCGGGCTACCGGAATGGAGTAACATGGGAGCTTCAGCAGTTCGTGATCAAGCCTTGGGTTCGAAGCCATTGGGACAAACTCGAAGCCCAAATCAGAGGACCCTGCTGTGGCAGAAGCCGTGAATGGATCAGGGCCCGAAGTCTGGTTCGAGCTCGATTCAGCCATGTCGTAGCCGCTCTCGTCTAACTCGTCCACTTCGATCGCCGCTATGCCACCAAAGAAGTCAGATCAGGAGCGGCCAAGGAGAGGGCGTTTGAAGGAATGCGTTTACACTCACATAGCGGGGAGTCTCTCGCTATTTTCAACCGCGAGTCTTCGAGTACAGTTTCTATGAACTCATGGATCCTCTTATCACGCGAGGAATTGCAAAGATTTCGGTGGTTCGAATCCACCTCAACAATCTCCTCTCCTCCGCTTCCGGTCTGCGCAAACTCTCTTTCAACGAGCTAAATTCTAGGGATCAGCAGGAATGTTCGTACACAAAGGCTAAGAGCACTCACCATTATCCGTTTGGAGCTGAAGAGCTGCTTCAGCTTTGTCTCTCGCTTTTCACATACAGTCAGAACTGGGCATATGACTCCACCCGAGTCGAAATCCTGAGAGCTTTGTGTGAGCTTCTTAATATTGTCGGCTTCGATGGATTGAGTCTTGAAACCCACCCCCGCGACGTACGGAAGCAACGCAACCTTCTGCCACTTCTCCTTGTCAGGAGATATGGAATGGGGAGTGCCCATTAGAATAGCTCCTGCCAAAGACTTCTTGAAGGGCCTATATTGTTGCTCCGTACGTTCGTACGCGATACGTAGAGTCTAATAACGTTAGCTTGACGCATCTGAAATAGTGCAGTTGGATGGGCTTGACCTCTTTCACGACGAGTCCACCTAGGCTATGGCCAACAAGCAGTATCGGACAGTGCTGAAGCTGGCAAGAAATAAGCTGACCCGAGCCTGAAGTGCGAATGGAAGTGAATGTACGTGTTGGGTCTCCACTAGGGTCAAGATTGATTTTAATAGGATTTGCCCATGATCAAGCAAAGCCTGCCACATCGACCCGTCTGGTTTGCTGATGCCGTGTTCATAAGAGAATAGGCCGATTCCTGGGGCCTTAATGGCGGTCAACCAAAGATTTCCTTCCTCGTCAGTCCATTCGTGCGATGGCTTAGTGCCTACACCGGATACTGCAACGAAGCTAGTGCTTATCAGCGTCATGTACTATGCTGGAAATTGCATCACATGTTCCTGCGAGATACGTACAGGGTTTCGACCTTTGGACTCCGAAACAACTGGCGAAGCGCGTGCTTCGGGGCTTGAACGCCGGACCCTTTCCGACGTGGCATGGCAGAAGAAACAGCGGTAGTGAAGGTTTTCCCACTGGTGCAAAGGCGAACACAAAATATCAGTTTGCTTTGCGGAAACAAACCCTGAGGAAGTGGTGAAGCTGCACCGCTCGGTGGGCTGAAATTGCGCCGCTCTGATGACAGATCCCGGCTCGTAGACTACCCCGCCTCGCCAAACAGAGGTGGGAACCCTGGACCCCTAAGATTAATACATCCTTCGCCGCGCTCAAAATGAAGCTAAAAGGCAATTCGCTTTTCGGCTTTAACGTTGCGTTCAACGTGTTCTCAGGCCAGACAAACATGGGTATGGAGACCGCGCGTTGGACAGGCGGGGAATTGCGAAAGCTACCCCAAGAATTCAGCCTTGGGGATGAGCATTACCTTGCCCTTTGGCCTCGCGTACGTTTTGAATCTGCGAGTGTATCATTTACTCATCCTGACAGCACTTTAACGTCCATGAATTCACCGAATCCTCCCTACTAACTGTCCTTGAGTTTGACAACACTGGTCCCGTCACTCTGGACTGGATCAGGCGCACCATCGACACATTCTCAACCGACGATGTCTTCCGTTTAGAGTTCCTGAGAGCCGTCTTGATCACCCATTCGGGAACATCTGATCTCAATATCACGTCGGACGCTCGTTCCTATCTTCGCAAAAAGGGTGCGCACTTCATCGCAACCCAGGTCGATGCTGGAGACACGCAACCGCCGGATCCTGGGCCCTACATCTATTCTGACCAAAACGTTCACCCGGTATGGAGGCTCTACGAGGATACTCATAACGCATTCCTCCATACGCTGATTCCCGGCGATACTGGGTAAGTCCTGCCCCCTGAGCCGGTCTGGACTAACAGCCTCAAGTGAACCTTTCAAGCTCCGAACGGCCGGGTCGACTCCGCAGACGCTCACTGTCGCAGTGCCTACGAGAATTCGAAGCAAGACAAGGAATGGGAGCAGCACTGGTCTGCCTCTGAATGGCTGGAGGGTCGCGGTCAAGGACAATTTTCAGATTAAGAATGTTCGCATGTCGGCGTGCAATCGAGCGTACTACGAGCTGTATTCCGCAGCTACGAAAACGGCTACTTGCATTGAGAGACTATACAGTGCTGGGGGTGTTGTAGTTGGCACAACGAAGCTGGCTTCATTTGCAGCTACGGAAGAACCTATGGAATGCATTGACTGGCAAGCCCCTTGGAATCCGCGAGCAGACAGGTATCAATCGCCTGCTGGTAGCAGCAGTGGCAGCGGAGCAGCAGTAGCCGCCTATTCTTGGTTGGACATTGCTGTAGGTTCCGATAGTAAGCCAGGCCCTTATCTTCGGTCTCTGTTCCTAGTAGGCTGATGCAGCGCAGCTAGTGGGAGTGGGCGGCGTCCAGGTCATTGGAATGGGTGCTTTGCCATGCGACCTTCCCACGGGCATTTATCTCATGATGGGTTCCTCGCCAGCTTTCCACGATTCGACACGCCAACGTTCTTTGGCCGAGAGCTTGAAAAGTGTAAACAGTTTGCGGAAGCTTGGTACGGTAGGAGCCTGCCATTACAAACCTCAAACGGATCGGTGGGTCTTGAAACCGCATTCCATCATTCAGCTAGGCTAATTTCGCCACAGAAGCCCTTTGCCATCATATATGCGTCTGATTATATGAAGATAATAGGCAACCAACAACAACTAAAGCTGATAGATGAGTTCGTCACGGATCTTGAGGACTCGCTAGGTGTGAAACATGAGCGCGTCTCTTTCGATGAAGCCTGGGAATCAAATCCTCCGTCCGAAGCCAATGGAGAGTCCTTGGAGGAGTATATGAAAGACGCCTCTCGCGACTCATTCTTTTACGTGGACTACCATAACTTCGACCCCTTTCGAGAGGACTACAAGCAGAAGTATGGAAGAGACGCTTACATCAGTCCACCTGTCAGATGGCAATGGTAAAAGGCACCCTCTCGGCCTATATATGTATTCGCCTTGCTTACGGGCCTCAGGGAGCTGTCCTCGAACATCACGAAGGACGCCAACTTGGAAGCTATGAAGAGACTAGAGGTATATAAGGATTGGTTTGCAGGTGTAGTGATGAAGTCCAAGGAGCGTAACGCGCTCGTTCTCATTCCGATCGAGGAGATATCGCCCCGCTATCGAGATGAGCTTCCTACGAAGCATTTCAATCCCATTGGAGTACCGAATCTGTTCCTATCGCCCATCCTCGAAGCACCTGAATTGACGATACCGAGTATGTTCCATCAACCCGCCCCAAAAAGGTGCTCAAAATAACTCACCCTATCCGTAGTTGGCGAGTATGCATTTCAGTCCAAGATTAGCGGTAGGACTGAGAAACTTCCAATCGCTATCTCCATGATAGGCATGCCCGGTAAGTGACTCCTCAGCTAGCTTACGATAATGCTAATATCTCTGCAGGTCAAGATCTCGCACTCTTTGATGTAGCTTTGGACACACTCCGCAAGGCGGGTAGACCGACGCATGTCTTGGCCGGAAACACTCTCTTTCCGGGCCCTTGAACGCTCCAGAGCCCGAACTGACGGCGACCGGCAGGCGATGTCTTTTTGGACCTCACGGGCTCAGCGCAGATGTGGTAATAACGAGGCACGACTCTTTATTTTCAATTTGCTTGCATTTTACTTCCATTGGTATTGCATATATCCTACTTCGAATCAAAACGGTTGTCTCCCAACCGCTGCCTTGTATATGACACCCCTACCCAGAAGGAATGGTATCGTGCGTCATGAGATAGCTAATTGCCGTAGATGTGAATAGCCTCCCCTTTCGCGAAGCCGTATGCGTTCTCCACGTGTGTCCCTTTCGGTGGCGGCCAGTGAGCCTTCCAGGGCTGGGCTCTCGTTTCTGGCTTTGAGGCCATTGAAGCGCTGTTCTCCTGCCCGCTCTGAGACACTGAGACAGATGGTGGATTCATGATGCTCCAGACGTGGGCGAGGCTGTGGGCTATGATAAAGTCAGCTTCGACTTGCGGCATTCATGGTTAACTTTACCTGGAGGTCGATGGTCGAGTGTGCTTGATTTCTTTCGCAATGCAACCGTGCAACTGTGCAATCCGAACCGGTGCTAGCCCCTTCAAAGCTGGTGTATACTCGAGGGTTAATACCTATGTGAGTAGGCGCTTATTTTCCAAGGACGATGGGGTTGGGAGCGGGGAAAGTAAATTGCCAACGTAGCGAGCGATAAGGGCTGGCGAGGAATCATTGGTAGCTCACGCAACACAGTGCGGGGTTGCGTCCTTCACTGACATTGATCATCCCATTTCAAGTCGTGCAAGAGGCTCTGCGGGTTAGACGCGCAGTATTAGTGGCCCGAAAATACCGCAGGTGCAGCAACGTGACCCAAGTGGCTTTGCAAATGACGGCATGTGTGAGGTATTGTGCACCCGACCGGTCACTGTTCGTCGCGCAGAGCCGCATCTTGGAGCGGTTCGACCCGTCTCGCGCCAGCACCATCGCGCAGTAGCTCTACAACCTCCTAACACCTCGGAAAATGCGAGCCCCTGATTGTCCAGGGGAGATTAGCGCCTCTATTCATTTCATGAAGAAGGATGCTCTCCACGAGGTCGAAAAGCCGTATGCATTTCGGTACCCAGTGCCAGGTGCAACCCAAACCAACATGGAAATGGAGAAAGTAGAGCGCATTCCCATCTCCGACATCCGGGGACGAAAACACGAGCATTCTTTCGAGGCAGACGGTTTCGTAGTTCTGGAACTGCATCGAACCTTCGACTACAGCATCTTCTTCGATAACGAAGAACTGCAGGTGTATTTCCGCACCCTAGAGACGTTATTGAAAGAGTTCCTGGGCGCGACTGAGGTGCATGTGTTCCGTCATGGCGTGAGAAAGAGACATCCAGATTTTCCGGTATCCACTGGGACATCCTACGAGTACGATCAACCCACTTCTGTAGCGCACATTGGTCAGTACCGGGTCCGAAATTGCCAGGTTTATTGGGAGATTGATCAAGAGTAGATACAACACCAGAAGAGGCGCAGAATGAGATCCGCAGGCAATACGGAGGCGAGTCCAAAAAGTACCTAGAGAAGCGACGATATCAGTGGATCAAGTACGTCATACTAGTCGCATTACAAATGAAAGCTGATTAGAAGCAGCATCTGGAAGCCACTGAAAGGCCCCTTGAATGACTGGCCTTTGACTTTGTGCTCTTCAGCAAGCGTGGAACAGAAAGATGTCGAGTCTGCCGACCTTCTTTATCCAGACCTAGCGACGGAAAATTATCAGGTATACCATCGAGACAAGTACCAGTGGTATTATTTAAGTGATCACAAAACTTCGGAGGTGCTCGTGTTCAAACAGTCTGATTCGGATCCAGGAGCGTGTTTGGGAGTTCCACATTGTTCGTTCTTCAACCCGCTAGCGTCCCCCGAAGAAGCTCCAAGAGAGAGCATTGAAGTGCGAGCGCTCGCATTCTATGATTGAGTTCGAGGTGTCTTGTTAGAGGAAGTGGCTCTCCTTAGAACGTGGTCGATTTCTGGTCGAGAATCCCAGGTGCTCTGTGTTGTCTTAGAAGCGGCCTCGTGTCGCAAAGTGGCACATACCTTGTGCAGTGTGAGGCAGGAATATAGGACGATCAATGCATGGATGTACATGTAGAGGATTGCTCCAGGAATGTGTATTGAATGTGCTGGTCTTGTGAAATAGGGCATGTGTTCCAGCACTGTCAATGCGCTGGCTATGGCGAGATGTTCGAGCACGAGGGATGAAGTGCAACCCTCGCTCTTGCTATAAGCAACAGAGTGGACCGTATAGACCAGGAGATAGCCAAGCTCAAAAAGAACGGCGGCGTCAGAGGCGTAGTTAGCCACAATGTTCAGAAAGGCGTAGACGTATGCTCTGCGTACCCCAGATTTGAGCGCAAAATGTACGTCTTTCAAATACGAGCGCGCTGTGTCTCGGGACCATCTCTTTACCTGCTTCAGATATTTCGAATCTGGTGATACACCTGCAAAAACCCGCGCCTCATCGCCATTCAAAAACCCAGTCTTCCAGCCGCGCTGAACCATGAACCGCGTGCAGGTGTTATCCTCTCCAGTAACGAGTTTGTAACGTCCAAGCCAGGTCTCGGTTCGGAGCTCGTTGTAATACGCGTCCGATTGCAGGATGGACGTTCTTGCGCCCGTAAGCCCGCCAGCAAGATTCAACACTTGACCGTCGTGGTAGTAAGCTAAAGCGGAGTGCAGAATCCGGCGTCGGACTTGATTCAGCGCGCCGAAAGCTTCCCAACCGCTGAGACGTTTCCCTGGAGCAGGTGTTATTTCCCGTGGAACAGTAACCCCCCCAATAGCAGGATCAGAAAGGAACGTAGCCAGTTGATTCACCAGCATTGGGCCAGGGTACGTGCGATCATCCGTTATGACCAGTAAATCCGTTTTTGTATTTCGGAGACCTTCGATAATCTGCTCCCGAATTGAGGCATGGGGAACCGCCCGGCAATATATGATGCTATCATCCAACGCATCCAGTGTATACTTCAACCTGGTCTCAGCGGCTTTGAAGGTGGTGACGACGATTCTTCCGGGTTCTGCATCCAGCCATTTCTGTAGAGCCGGAAGCAGTCTAGGCTCGTGACCGGTGGTCGCGATGAGGATGGTGACATCTTTAGTAGTATATTTGGGGTTGCTTTTGGTTGTGGGCAGCGATAGACGGAAGTAGGCCCAGTACTGAATGAGGTCGAAAGCGAGACGGAGATATCTCCCAGCTCTGGTGAATAGTTAGCGCCGATAAACTCCTTCGAGCTGCGGGACTCTTACACTATAAGACGATACCAAGAATTCAGGGAAACCACCATCATGATGCTAGTGAAGGGTAACTGAGCGTCGCGAGGAGACAAAAAGGTGGGGTGGGGCAACGCTTCTATTTGTATTAGCGACTGCAGGCACCGCGCTACCTATTGTCCCGTCCGTTGCCTAAGGATCATATGCCATCTTTCCTGGGGAGGACGCCCTCCATGAGTTTCGCCAAACCAGAAACTTTGGCCTAGGCACAGTTGTCTTAGCTAGGCGAGGGCTCATAAAAATCAACAGTGTGTCGGTGAGAAATCCGGGATCCCTGGAACAACAGGGATGGCTAACGGTTGCTGAATTACGGAAGATCAATCCTCATTGGATTTCTAGGTCTCGCACTTGTGATTCTCGAGGGTGATTCCTCAGTGGTGACCAGCCAGGTCAATCTCTCCGAAATTTGCGATGTGGGCGTGCCTCCAGCGGTGGGTGGGTGGGGAGAGGAGCTTCCCAAGAGGCGGTAATCTCGCTAAGTCGCACGGTACTAGGTCTGTTATGCGCAATCATGGTACGTGGCTGCAAGAGAGCCTCTTCTAGATCTTTGACAAGAATGAAGGGGATGATTCTCTTGGAAAAGAGGTTGCTGAAGGCTGAAATGTCGTACTATAAGACCGCTATGAGAGACATCGAAATGAACCTGCCATGACTTCATCTATACCAGCTCTGAAGTATCCTAATTCTCTATTCGAAGATACGGAGATGGCTTAGAGGCGGCAATTCCTTCGATCTAATCCAAGGAGACTACCATATCCACATTGCGAAGATAGTGAGCATGTAATGTATATCAAAACGAAAAGTCTCTCATCGTGGGATGCCCTTACGCCTAAACACCCACATCTATCCAATGCAATGCAATGCAATCCGTGGTATATGTCCCTTGTGTATCCCTGTATCTCGTGAGACCTTTTCGCCACCCCCCAAAAAACCCGGCAAGCGTCGTTACCATGCATATCCAATATCCCTCTGCGATTCCCATTTGTCCTGCATAATTTGCCCCGGGCCTATGTGGAACTCGTCGTGGACGTTTGGCGAATCCGCATGTTCTTTCACATCTGTCACGCGCATGATACGGCCCGTGACCGGGTCCATGATGAACTGGCCAGACTCATGCGCCGAGTCTCGGATGTCTCGCAGAGACGACTCTAGCGCGCCCGACCGCATCGTACCTCCACCCACTGATACTTCATTCAGCTCCATAACACGTCTTGATCCCGCTTTGCCTTCGCTCGCGTCGCGGCCCTCCCCATACCGCTGATATGTCCCACCCTCGCCCACGGAACCGCGCCACAGCCCGAGCCTCGACAGCCAGCGATTTGCCGAGCTGCGCAACATCGGTATACAAGCCGCTATAAGCGAGTGCTGTACCTCGAGGCACGTCAGGAGGCCCTGGAGAATGGCCTGCGCGCTCTTATCCGGGAAGTGGTCTTTCCGCAGCTGGATGACCATTCTGCCGATCGAGAACACGGACGCGACGAGTCCCAGCGCCATGAGCGTCCCTATAACCACTTTCTCGCGTAGCGGCCGGCGCACTTTGCCCAGGAAGGTAAGCGGCACCAGGGAAAGACTGACGTCCGAGCACACGTTGCAGATGCACGTCACGTATACGGTCGCGAGATTCGCTGCCCGGCCCCAGCACTTCCTCGTCTCCTTGTATTTCCCCGTCATATCCCAGATCGCTGCGTACGGTATGCAAGCAAACATATTCGCGACGCCCATGAATCCGATGAGGAAGACGTTGAGGACGATGATCGCGCACACGAAGGCGCGCCAGCGCCGCGCTTGTTGGAATTTGAGCAGCATGCAGGCGATGCTGATTTTGACGAGGCCGGTGGCCCAGGCCCAGAATGGGAGGGCGATTGTTCCGAGCTTGACGGCGTGTTCGATGGAGGAGAGGTCTCGGTAGGGTGGGTGGGTGAAGCCCCAGGCCCAGCTTACGACGTTATAGTGGAGGACCCACATTATGGTCATCAGCACCTGAAGTGAGTCAGTATCCTGTCCATCTACAGTTCTCGGAGTATTCGAATAGACGGTGGGGAGAGGAGATCGGCGTGACCTACGAAGGCTACCGAGACGACGTAGTCATCGATTCCAAACCGCCATGTGGGACGCGCTCTGGTGTAGACCCGTGCGAAGAAGACGAACATTGCTATCAGTTGAAGAATGGGCGTAATTATAAGGTAGCTGGTCGCCAGCACATATTGCTGGTCTGAGACTGGCCGAAGGAATGTCGTAGGCCCCGTGCCGTTTCCGGCTCGAGGAAGTAGGTGTCCATACTCAGTGAAGAGCAGATCCGGTATTCGAGGCATGCTGTCAATGTGGTGGAGCGTGAGCTGTCGGTGTCGGTGGTGGAGACATGAAGTCGCGATAGATTCGGTGGAGAGGTGGGTGGAGGCGCAGCGTATCTAAATATTGAAAGGAATCCTTCAACTATAACATTGCTGCTTTTTCTCGATCTCGACTTCGGCGATCAAAAGCCAGCCGGAAGGGTCCAAGGACTCACATCCTTTTTGTAGGCATGGTGGATATAGGATCGTCATCCCAAGACTGCATTGAGCGCCACCAACCTGTTCGCCCGGGATGCAGGGGTCGCCCACTCCTTTGGGAAGGCCCCTGCGCCCTGTCCGTACAGTCCACCAGTTCATTTGCTATCAAGCATGTCCCGTGCTCAATAAAGTTTACTGAAGGATTGGAAGCGAAACATCTGACCACCTGGGCGGCCCCGGAAGAGCACCCGCGTTCCCCTGTGGCATTTGCGATGCCGAGTCACCCGAATATCCCACCTCCTCTGCGACCAGGCAAATCAGAAACGGGTTCGTGGGAACGCGGCCCGTTCAGCTTTGTCGGAGGATTTTCTAGTTCACGAGCGCCTTCCGTTCCATTGGGTAAATTTCCTTATCCCAGGGCTAAGGTCTAGGGTTCCGCAGCGTCTGTGTTGGATATCACAGGGGGACCGGAGCAACGTTGTTTTGACGCACCAAGCGTGCTATCCTACTATTCGTATTAAGATATGCCTCTTCCGGAAGGAACGAAGGAGAGCTGATGTGTGATGCGACAGCATACCTGTGGAGAAGTGGGAAGATCTACCGTCACCGCCGCGCTGCCGTCATTTCCATAGTCTGACTGGGACCAGCTCAAGACCATGTCTTGGTGATTGCTCAGCTGGAAAACCAGCTGGGCATCTCAGAAGAGTCCAAAGTACTCATAGCGTCTCCATGTCCCACGGGTAAAACGACACTATCACCTAGCTCCCGCGATGATTGCGGGCTTACCCGTCGTCGGTGAAGCTTGCTTGGCTAAGCAGCCGCAGCAGAACAGGTGGGGGCCATAAGGTTTGGCGTTCCTCTCCTTTGTCCGCGGCGACCGCGACACTTTCGAACCTCAAACCCACGTTGCGGCCAGGCTCCCAGTTTGAAATCAAGACCGAGCGATGTAGTATATCCAGATTCAACACCCTCACACATGTCTGCTTTCACAACGCATATCGTAACCAGCTGTCGTCGTCGCGCTCGATCATGTTGAGGGAGACGATGTCGATGGTGGGACTACGTGAAGAAGGCATACATTGCCCCCAGAGGGGTCCGCGTGCGGACTTAGATACAGCTAGGGAAGCATGAGATGCTGCAAATTAGGGATGATGTGGTGCCCTGGAGATTCTGGATAGGAAAAGAGAGCGGGTGGTCGAAGTTGGGGGCCGCTGTATCTGGCAGTAATCAACAGTTATACACGATCCGGCAACGCACTAGGGTCTTCGGAGGGGCAAATATGCGTGGCTCATGCAATGATACAAACATTGACAGGCAAGTGATTGGGATGAATGTGTTTTATGCTACCTGCTTCCTCTCCTTGGAGTACCGTTAGGCAAACCCCGTCTGGTCGGTAGGAAGGGGTATCCGTTCGCCGCATTGGCCGGCGAAGGCTCATTCTCGTTCAGTCTTTTCCACAACTCTCCGATCCCTGCTCTTTTCGCCGGCAACATGCTATACTGCAAACTGTACAGGTTCCGTCGATGTATTGGTGGAACGAACTGGCCTGAGCCGAGGCAGAGAAAGACGCTGGGCGAGAGGTAATGTTTGCGTATCCGGTTCCCAAGCTCGAAGTAGGACTGAAACATTGCGCGAAGCGGGAGGGGTATCGACTGCATCGGATGAGCATGGGCAGCTCCGAAATAAGTGAGAAACGTACCTTGAGGAGAACATAAGACGTCGGTGCTGACAACGCTGCATCCTGGACGGGGAAAGCCAAAGCGTTCATATCTTGCAGCTCAAAGCATATACCACCTAACATGGTCTATTAGTAAAAGCGGTCGCCAAAGGGAGGAACGAATATGTGCATACCGGGCAGTCGTCGCGAGTCCTTAATCCGAAGCATGACTGCGAAGAGTGGAAAGTGGTTTAAACATGCCAGGCCAATCTCTAGCCCGGCCTTTAGACCGATGACTGCAACGCGGGCCGTGGCGAATGTCAGGTAGAACACAAAGACTGTCGGCAACAGAAAGAACAGCAGAGTGAAAAGAATAGTGCCCAGAAGGAGCTGATCTAAGTCGTAGTCGCACGAGTCGATCCGATTGCGCAAAACATTTCGCTTTCGTCCGCGGAAAAGGTGGAACAGCGAAATGATGATAGTGAGCTGCCAATGGAAGATGCGAGCAGATGCAATGTAAAATGAGTAGATGTGCAAGGTGAGCAGTGAAACAAGATCGGAGAAGAGGGAGATGGGCATCGTGGCACCGGCGAAGGCGGAAAAGCCAATGAAATGGACGATACCGGGTAGATGCGGACGGAGAATCGCCATACAGCCTGGCGCTGTTAGCTTAACGCAGGTGGAGGTTCTTGGATGCACTCACCTGCCCAGTGGTCAATGACCCAAAGAAAGAGATCTCCCATAAAGTCAGCTAGCTCCGAGTTGAGTTTCAAGCCACCGGGCCACTCCATAAGCCACGAGATCATCCGCCTCAGCCCTTCGACAGACCACGCGTTGAGGATAACGTCGATTTGGGACGCTAAAAAGCGAGAGTTCTCAATGATGTACGAACCCAGAGCAATGCCAATGATAACGTCGTTCGCTACTAGCCATAGGCTGTTGTAGAAGCGAATGTACTCGGGGTGGTTATTGGTGACGCTTTCCCAGTTTCCTTTCCGCTTGCGCAACGTCATGTATTGAACTGGCCAGTAGCAAAACTGCTGCAGCCGGATGTCGACTTGTTGTGCTGTGGCGGATATATCTTTCAACGCAGGAGCGTCCGGTGACCCCGGCCTCCAATCCAAGATGCGTAGAATCACCTCACCAGCGATACGATGAGCCATCAAGCCAAATATGAACAGCCGGGCTGCTACCGGGTACAGCCAAGTCGTCCAGAAGTAGCAGAGGATGATGTAGACGTAGTCCCAGAGATCGTTGGCAGATTCGACCACTCGTTCGCTCACACTCAGCGCCCGCTTCATTCGCCTTCCGATCAGGCCAATGTTCTTTTGCAGCAAAGCGTTGAGCTCAAACGAGCAATTGATTTGGTGAACGATCATGGGCAGGGACAGCTCCTTGTGTGTAGACGGATGCGACATGACGGTGTGCAACTTGAGCTTTTCCACAAGCATCTCCTTCTTTTTCCGTTCCTCCTCCTCTTCCTCGGCGTCTGCGAAGGCCGAGTCCCATTTCCGGCCGTCTGCTTTGTCACCCAGAGCAAGCGACATGGGAGTGAGCGAGAGATATTGCATGCGCGTCGGGTGCGGTCGATCGTACACAATGACCTGCACCGTCAGATGTGTGTCGGCTGGGCAGTCCAGACGTGGAAAGCAGGTGGCGGTATCGGTATACATGGCGAGGAGGTGCGGATCGAAGGAGTGCGAAGGGCTCTGTGGGTTGAGGCACCCTAGAACGCGCAGCGACGAATGGCCGCATCGCTTGAGCAGTTCCTGGGCATTGTGAGGAGTGTGTCGCAGCAGTGTTCCTACTAGCAGCGCATTCTCGACATTGCGCACCTCGACCTCCTGCAGGATGGCTACCACGAACACATCGAGCTCGGAATTACGAAAGCCCACGATTACGCCGGGAGAATGCCCCTTTGGCGCATCAGAGGGCCAGAATATGCGCATCAGCCCATTATGTGTGACCATGTCACCATAGTGTTTCCCAGCTAGAACGAGCCGCGTCGCTTGAGCTGTTCGCGAGCAGATATGCCGCCGCCTGCCGGTCGTGGATGCTGTCCCGTGTCAGCATTTGTTCCGCCTTTCTGATACTGCTACTGACCGCGTCCGTCTCGTGCGCGGCGATGCGCTCGATGGGCAGAATGAAGAGGAAGAAGAATATCGAAAGGATCGCGAACCCCTTCGCGGCTCTTGTGACGACGCCGTGGTCCCAGGCGAAAATGGCCAGCTCGTACAGGCGGGTAACGAGGTCCCAGCGCGCAGTCGAGTAGCCCGCAACGAAGATTCCGAGCGTGACGATGGAGAAGGCGTGCATTTACAGCGTCATGCCAAGCCGGTACGGGTCCGTTGCCGAGTCAAGCTTTGGATTTGCGCGGGGAGGGCGAGGCTACGGCAGATCAGGGAGTCCAGCGAAGGAGCTGTTCTTGGAGAGCGCTGGATTGAGCAGCGCTGGGAAAGAGCCGGCAGTCGGCCAGCGCATGGTGGAGCGGGCGTGCAGGAAGGGAGTGAAAGGCCCACATGTGCATTGCGGACGTGGAAGCTCCGACTTTCGTTTGCTGCTTGCGCGCTAAGCCTGAGCGAGGCTAGCGCGCCTTCCCTCTCGACGGCAACGAGCTCAACTTCGACGTAAACACAAAGTCGCAGAAAGAAACGCATCCTCACAGAGCACGAGCTGAGTTGTAAGCTGCCATCCGGCGTACTTCCGGTAAGAAACATCTTTCCTCAGTTACGAGAACATTCTCTTTACTATTACAGTTCATGTATTGACCAATCAACGTGCGCAAAGACGCCTTGTTCGAGATGCAGCACTCGAAATGGGCCCCAGCCGCCCAGGATCCGCCGCGGGACTCCGGCGAGGGCTTCAGCAGGCAAAGGTAATGCCAGGAGCATCTGAATTCCACATCTGCCCAGGTGGGCAGCGCATTCACGTCTCGTGATTTCGCGGCGGCAAGATCCTGTAGTTGCCGAATCCGGCAAAGCGCCAACGCGTTCGGCTAGCCTTTCGACTCTCACCGGAGCGGTAGCTCCAGCCTTTCTTCCACCCTTTCACGCCCACGCAGTATTGCTGCTCATGCTGATCTGTCGCTAACTCACTTAGCGCACCGTTTCCCAGCTCTATACAAGTTCGGTTCAATCCGGAAGCGATGGCGATCTGCACCTTCTACCAACGGGGCATGTGCAAATTCGGTGGTAAGCTCCTACAGACGCGCTCCAACGTGGTCAAGCTCACACACCCCAGATCAGTGCAAGAATGAGCACCCAGGAAGCCAACGCGATGCCAACCGCGGCTTCGGCGGCGGGTATGGAGGTTCAAACGCCAACCGCTTTGGCGCCTTCAGCAGAGGTGGCGCCGACAGCTATCGACCTGGACAGCAGCCAACTGGCGCTTTTGGAGGTATTTATCCCATGTGATGACATTGCGCACCCGCGGCATCTGCTTCTATAGTGGCGGTGTGATGAGCGAACAGCATTATCTGACGAATCTCACAGGCGGTCGCGACCCCAGGAACATTCGCTTTCATCTCAGCAGAGAAGACATCAAGGCCGACCTCACGGATCAGCGCCCCACCTATCCGCTCTCATGCTACGGACCTGGCCGAGATGCTCCTCGTCAGCTGATAGAGGGTCCGGTCGAAATCAGCCCGGAGGAGCTTCGATCGCGATACTACTCGTATCGAGCAACCGGCAACGAGGCTGTGGCGGTAGGTATTATCTTTCCAGAGTCCTAGCGTATCTGACAATATGCAGCAACAAGAGGAGGCCCAGCTCCACACAAAAATGGAGCAGCAGGTTAAGGCCATCCTTGATGATCTCAACGGCGCAATCAAGTATGTCGAAGATGGTGCGGATATCCATCCAAACCGGATCGACGTTGCCCAGGGAAAGGTACCAGCTCCGGTGAATGTACCTACTGGGGTCCCAGCTTCAAATCCCTTCTCCAAGGGTCCAGCAAACCCTTTCAGCGGCGGTTCTCAGGCGCAGACCTCCACGTTTGGGCAGTCATCTACGCCGGCGTTTGGACAGGCTTCCGCTCCAGCATTTGGTCGACCCGGCGTGTCCGCTTTCGGGCAGCCGTCCGGCCTCAGCGGTGGTTCGGCATTCGGGAAGCCTTCGATGCCTGGCGCGGGTGCTTTCGGTCAGCCATCTGCCGCAAGTGGTGGTTCCGCGTTTGGGCAACCTTCAGCTTTCGGAAAACCTTCGATGCCAGGCGGCGGTGCGTTCGGACAAACTAGCTCCCTGGGCCAACAGTCTGCATTCGGACAGCCTTCAGCCCCAGGAACAACTTCTGGATTTGGAAAGCCTTCTATACCGGGCCAGACTTCTGCTTTTGGTCAGACGGGTGCCATGGGACAGGCAGGTGCATTCGGGAAACCCGCTTTTGGGCAGACCGGGTTCGGCCAGCCTTCACAACCCGGAGCCGGCGCTTCGCCTTTCGGCCAGCAGCCGCAGGCTAGCCAGCCTCCTCCCTTTGCTCAAGCGCAGCAGGCAAGCCAATCCTCACCATTTGGCCAGCAGCCTCAACAAGCAAACACATTTGGTCAGCCTCAGCAACAGCAGACACAAGCTCCGGCAAACCCGTTCAGTGGGTCTGCTTCATCCCAAGCTCCAGCTTTCAGTCAGACAGGCTTCGGAAAGTCGCCCGCCTTCGCCGCGCCCCAGAACCAGACTCCTCCGGCTCAGCCCGCGAACCCATTCGGTCAGAGGACACAAAGCCCAACCGCGGCGCCTTCACCATTTACCGCAGCACCTCAACAGGCCAATCCGTTCGGTCAAGGCCAGCCTCAGGCCCAGCCCCAGCAAGCTGCTTCCCCGTTCGCGCAACAGGGTCAGCCCGCCGCAGCGCCTGGAGGCGGAAAGCCTATTGATCCCAAAGATAGATTCAAAGAGGGTAGGCCGGAGGAGTACGAGGGAGAGCAAGGCAGGATGTTGGAGGAGGTCTACAGGCGGGTCGGACAGACGGGTCGCTTTAACGACGATGAGGACATTCCGCTGGTGCCGCCAAAATGCGAGTGGATCACGCCGATTCTATAATCTCGGAGAGAGCAAGGGCAAACTGCTCGCTTCATAGGGGAACAAACGGGCGTTAGGGCAGAGAACTTGTACAGCATGGTTTGAATCTTCGAAGGCGCTCAGGGTGGGCATTGGCGCTCAGGAGGCATCATCATGCGGTCCTGGATCCCTGGCTTAGGCTCGACTACGGAATGCGGTACCAGCCTTCATGATCAGTGGAAGCCCAAGAATAGTATGCCACGGCTGTCGAAAGGGCATCGTGAATGGTAAAATACAAGAATAAACATGAAACCCCCAAGGCAGAACGTACTCTCGGGCAGCTTCCTGGAAGGGATAATAAGTACGGCTAGTAAAGATTCGTAAATGGCGAGCCTGACGGGGTTGCTGATGATGTCAAGAGCAAATCGTCATCTCGGCCGCCCCAGAAGGATTTGGTCCTGTGATTGTGTAGCTTGGTCATCTGCTGGAGTCGCTATCCGAGGAGAGACGTGACGAACGTTCTCGGGCGCGAGTCTCCGCTGTCCCTCCCTCCATCCGCCCGCCAACGTCCCACTGCCATCGAAAAAGCCTTTCTTCCATCAAAAATAACGCGCATATCCTAAGAATCATCGTATTCTCTGTTGCCGTATACTAACCGCCGACCGAGAAAAGGCCTACAGCATGTCGGCATCGTGTTCCTTACATAGACGCTCCCCGGCTATTTTTAGCCCAGGATTAGAAACACAGCGCCGCCTTCTCGTGGACGCCACGTGCGACACAAACATCTCCGGGGCCGCGATCCCTCTCGGCATTTCGAGCGTACCACGCACATTACATATTGCGGCGGTGCTGCTGGGCCGAACCGTCCCCAGTCCGGGTAGAGCAATAACCCTAACGGCGGTCGGTGAAACGAAACGAAACACCTCTCCAATCGGCCACGCCCATGAGCTGAGCGATCTAGATCCCGTGCGCGCATCTTTCGTCATCGCGGTGGATGAAAAATAAGCTTAAATCGAAGGCTAACAATAGCAGTGGGGGGTTGTCAGCATCAGCGTTGGCGTCTTTTTCTTTGTCGTTGCGGCTGAGCTGCGCCATGAGGGGGCTACTGTACTGCGCCAGACCGCCGAGATGGTGTAAGATATTTCGATTTCAGCTCTGCTATACCTGTTTCGCCTGTATCAGCGAGATTTCGCTTCTTCTCATTGGCTTTGTTTTTGGGGATTATGGGGTCTTGCTTGCAGAAAGGGACTCGTGTTGCTGATGCGCTTTTCGGCGGCTTGGTGTTGTTCTCCGCACTCTTCATCTCGTGTTCTGCGGTGGAGGCTGAGCGAGGGTATCTTAGGATTACCAAGAACGCAGCGCACACCGCAGCCGTTCCGGGAGCGACCCCATCCGAAGCCATGTGTTCAGCAAGAAGGACATGCTGACGGCGAAGAGGGCGCATACTCTGCTATAAGTATGCCTGGAAATCTGCTCAAATGTTCTCTCTCATCTCACATCAACACCAACACAAGCAACACCAAGCCTTTCCATTTCCGTTTCCTATCTCCTGTTTCCTAGCTTTCCTAGTCGTTAATACACTAGTCGCTACTTCCACCAGCCAGCTATCCAATCACTACCAACCAATCAACCAATCAATTCCTTTAACTCCAACCCCATCAATCAAAATGGTCGCCTACACTTCCCTCGCCGCCGCGGCAGCCTTCTTCTTCGGCCTCACCGCCGCCGCACCCCCCACCGTCCGCTCCACGGGCGTCGTCCACCGCATCTTCGCCGGCAGCACCGTCGAGAACGGCGGTCTGCACTTCGAGCCGCAGAACGTCGTCGCCGAAATCGGCGACCTCATCGAGTTCCACTTCCTGCCCAAGAACCACACCATGGTGCAGTCGTCGTTCGACAAGCCGTGCGAGCCGCTCGCCGGCGGCGCCGGCATCTTCGCCGGCTTCAACTTCGCCACCAAGGAGGGCGAGGCGCCCAACGTGTTCCAGTTCACCGTCAAGGACACCCAGCCCTTCTGGTACTACTGCAGCCAGACAGCCGGCAATCATTGCCAGAGCGGCATGAGCGGCGTTATCAATCAGAACTTCAACAGCGATAAGACGCTCGCGAAGTATAAGGAGATGGCGAAGAATACGGTCACGAAGCAGCCTTCTGCTGACCCGCTGGCTTCGCAGGGTGGGTGGATCGTGCCGAATAAGCCTTTGTAAGCGGTGAGGCCTGGAGTGGCGATGGAGCATGTATGCTTGAGGTTGAGGGTGGATCGTTTTAGCATTGCATTGGTTGGGCTTTTTGTGATTGCATAGCGGTGGCGTTTTTTGCTGTTCTTTCCTTGCTCTTATCTTTCCGCTGCGCTTGAGCAGGTCGGTACTTCGCGGCCACTTGTTGGTTGGTAATTTCTAGAAATATAATATCACACTCCTTCATTCATCACTCAGGCTTCCTCTGTGAAAGTCTTCATCCGCTGCGTGTATCGCTGCAACTACTCCTGCTCTTGCAAGCTCCAGCGCGTTTCTAGCTTTCTTGAAATGGGAAGCTGTGGTAGGCTGGTGGGGTGGAGGGGACGGGTGGAACTCCGGGGATTATGTTGGCATTGAATGGTCTGACCGGCGACGAGCTTGCGACTTCGGACGAAACAATCTCGTCTGACTTCCCAGAAGACTTGACTCGTTTCGTGAGCGCCGCTGTTGGGAGAGTCGACGAACAGTTCCTCGTCATACGGGTACGCTGGATCTCTGTCTACGATAAAATGCGTCGGACGAAGTGTTATGTGAGCATGAAGGATTGGACGACTGGACAACGGTTCGAGAGCGTGCCGTTCCACGCGGTAAGGGCGACGACTAATTGATATCATGGAGGAAATGAAATGACGGGTATGGAGACGCAGCGGCGGGCTGAGTTTGGCGGGGAGAAAGGAAAAAAGAGATATGGCGCACGGGGGAGGAGCATGGGCGAGAGATGATATGCCTTGAATTATGGGGCTGGCCGCGTGAAAAGTTGTAGAGCGTGGGTTGGGCCATTCGCACTGGCTTTAGTGCTTGAGGATATCGTTGGATGTAATAAAGGTGGTTTGAATATGATGGACAAGATCAACATGGGTGTAGTAGCGCCCGAGACGGCGGGGCACTAGCGCGCTTCTACTGGTTGTGGTTCTCGGGTGCCTGCCAAGCGATTCCGTCATCGCCATGATCAGCCCTAGATCAACACCTCAGCCTTAATACTTGCGCGTTCTTCTTCAGCATGTCTTCATCTCTTCATAGAGCGTTTTCATCACAGGACAAAGAGTGCCAAAACCCGTGTTACCCTCCGCGCAATGCACAGCTCACCCCTCGTATTCACCCCCACTTGGCCGACGTCACAGTCAGCAGATTCATTCCGTGGCGGCTCAGCTAGCGAACGGCTACCGGCAGCCAAGTACCCAAATCTAATCATTTCCCAGATCCGCTCCCCAATCAATCGCCGAAGACAAGGCCGTGGGCAATGCATAGCCTTCTCCAAGTAGACTTGCCATGGAATTCTTGCTCGATTCTCATGCCTTGTCGCGAGCATAGCTGACGAACGAGCATGGCTGTACGAATCTAGTTGTTGTCGCCGTGGCTATACACCGTTTAGCTCTCGCCTCTCCGCTACCGAGCCTCAAACGCGTCAACAGCTCCCTAGAATAAATCCTTGGTTTTGTGACCAAGGGTCCCTTCCCGTTCTTTGACTTCTTCTCGTCTCCACCCTCGTTCGTCCCATATATGTGCTAGATCTGCGTTTACAACCTCTCATTATCTCTCTCTGCAACCTTTAATGTTCTTTTTGTTTTTTCTATGTTTGCAACATTCGTTTTCGTTCCAGTATTTCTCTGGTGTGTCATAGGCACCCAAGCTGCTGAGCTCGCTGACTATGTCAAAACCTCCGTGCGTCATTCCGCTTCGAAGGATTGCGAAACACCGACTGACTACAGCAGACCGGCTCTGAAAATGGAGGAAATACATTTCCTGGAGTCAGCCGCCCGTTCGGCATCGTCAAGCTTGGGCCGGACGTCTACACAGGAAATGCCGCTTACTCAGGTTATGCACCGAATGGCGACTTGACCGCCTTCAGCTTGCTTCATTTGAGCGGTACCGGCGGAGCGCCAAAGTATGGGTACGTACGGAGTCCTCACTCTGTCTCTACCTAGCGGTTCTGATCGAGTGCAGCGTCGTATCACAAATGCCCGTGTCTGGCGCCATTTCGAATCCATTACACGGATACAATGCTACCAGAGCTGCTGCCGACGTTACCGAGGTCGGATACTACAAGTCATCCCTGAATAGCAGCGTCGACGTCGAATTGGCTGCCACGGAGCGCGCAGGGATGCTCAGATACACCTTCGCTGAGGACGGTGTCTCAAAAAACGTGATTGTGGACATATCCCATATTCTCCATGCTTATCGTGACCAAGGCTTGAGCCAACGTTACCTTGGCGGTAACATATCGGTCGTCGAGGACGACGGGCTGCTGTCATATAGAGGGCATGGATCGTACGATAACGTATGTTGCTTGGAGGACCAGACCATGAGCGACATCGGAAAGAATGCTGATTTTCGCGCTTAGGGCTGGAATCGATCTCCAAAATGGACAGTGTACTTCTGCGGACAGTTCGATTCTCCTGCTACGTTCAAGACATTTGTCGGCTATGGGACCGATCGAACCACTCTGACTGAGTACTCTACGAGTCCTACGGTGCAATCAACATCTCGTCTGGGAGCTGTCTTTACCTTTGACGAGACTTCTATCACTTCCCGCGTCGGGGTATCCTTTGGTGAGTTCTCGTCCGAGAAGCCCTCTCGCTTTCCAGATTAACTCTGCGAGGGCCTGTTGTCGAAGCCACGTCTAATGGATGTGAATAGTCTCGGAAGAGCAAGCATGTACCAGCCTAAACAATGAGATACCAGCGGGTACTAGTATTGAGACGCTGCGGAACGAAACCCGTGGGGTCTGGAACGACCAGGTCTTGTCTAAAGTCACAACTACCGATACAGATCAGACGAAGCTTGAGCAACTTTACACCGCGCTTTACTTCATGCATCTTTTGCCCATTAATAAAACGGGCGAGAATCCCAACTGGCAGTCGTCGGAGCCTTATTATGACGATATCTTCACTTTATGGGATATCGTAAGTTGCTCCTTAGATGTCGTTCTATTCAATCATTCGCTGACATTCGGACTCAGTTTCGATGCACTACCCCTCTGTTCCATGTCCTGCAGCCTGTCATGTACGAGGAATTCATCCGAGCATTAATTGACATTTGGAGGTTCGACCATTACATGCCAGACGCTAGATCATCGTTCTACAACGGCGCCACACAGGGCGGGTCGAATGCTGATACTGTTCTTGCTGATGCGTTTGTCAAAGGTGTGCGTGGGAAGGTCAACTGGGAGGATGGCTTTGCGGCTATGCTCAAGGATGCGGAAGTCACCCCTCCGGTTCGCAATCTTGATCGCGACCAGGGAGGTTCAACAAAAGATGGAAGAGGAGCCTTGCCGGACTGGCTACAGCATGGTTTTATTACCCCCAAATTCGTGCGGTCCGTTAGTCGGGCTATTGAATAGTGAGTACAGCGGAGGATCCCACGCCTGGTCTTGCTGACCGTGCCCAGTGCCGGAAACGATTTTGGGTTATACCAGGTTGCTTCGGGATTGGGGAACGACTCCGCGGCCGCGAAGTGCCTGCACCGGTCTCGGTATTGGCGAAATCATTACAACACGAACGTTACCTCTCTTGGATTTTCGGGCTTCGTGATGCCACGGAACGAGAGCGGCTTCATAGAGTGGGACCCAATGAGCTGTGGTGGCTGCTACTGGCTGGATTACTGTGAGTAGTCGCTGATCTGTTTACTACCTCTCTGAAAGCTGACGGCGCCACAAGACTACCAAGCCCTGCCTTGGGAGTATACATTTAACCCACATCATGACATCAACACGGTCATCGCCCTCTCCGGGGGACCGGAAGAATTTGTCGAGAAACTGGACATGATCTTCAAGCCCCAGATTCGACAGGCCGGCAATGCGCGCTTCAACAACACGATCCAGAATCCGGGTAACCAGCCCAGCTTTGGCAGCCCTTTCCTGGTAAGTCCATTCTACGCCGGGCCTTAGTCCCTCTAACCTTCAATAAGTTTAACTTCGCCGGGCGCCCCGATAAATCAGTCGAGCGCAGCCGCTACATCGCGAAAACGTATTACTCGCCGACGCCTGGAGGTCTTCCGGGAAACAGTGACGCCGGGGCTATGGAAAGCTGGCTCCTCTGGGTAATGATTGGGCTCTATCCCATCACCGGGCAAACTACATTTTTGATCGGCTCGCCATGGTTCTCCAACCTCACCATCTCGCTAGGCGATGACAAGCACTTACGGATAACGAGTTCGGGAGGCTCAGATGACGCCTACCATGTCCAGAGTCTTACTATCAATGGCGGAAAGTGGACTAAGAGCTGGGTCGCATGGCCAGATGTGTTCGAGAGCGGAGGCGAGATGCATTTCGAGCTCGGAACGGAGCCCGCTATGTGGGCGACTGGAGAGCTCCCTCCGAGTCCAGCAAGCGAATTTGGCACTGAGGCGCGGGATAGCGTACCCTTTGTGGAGCCGCATGATCCACTACCCAGCAGTACTAGGGGGATCACCAATAGTCCGGTTGCGAAGAGCACTCAGGATTCCGTATCAGGCGGCGCTTTGAAGGGAAGGGAGATTGCAGTCATTGTGGTGTTCTCTGTGCTCGGTACTGTTGGACTTGTGGCGCTCGCGTGGTTCATCCTGAGAAGGGCACGGAGAAGGAGGGCCGCCGGTGGGGTGTCGCCATTGCGGGATAGTGATGGAGAGAAGGTAGAAAAGGAGCCCCGAGGCACACCGCCGGTTCTGTCTTCGGATTCGACGTTGAATGTGCACTAACCCCGGAGAGAGCAGAGCAACTATTTTATTAATAAGGAAGCATATTATTTAAATCTTTACTGTTAATGTAAGGTTGGAGCCGTCTAGAAGAGCGAACAAAAGGGGGCAAAGGATTAGTGCATGTGCGCCTCAGGCTGCGCCACAGCTTATCGATAGGACCTGGAATTTCATGGCCCCGCAAAACACAGAAAACACAAAAAGCTGCTCTCGCTCTCCCACCCGACGCGAAGTCGATACCACACGATGCCGCCTTACGAAAGCGACTCCTCCGACGAGGGCGAGGACTACACTGAGACCAACGTGCTCCTCGGTTACGCATCAAAGGAAGCGACTGGCGACACCGTCTCCCACCTCGGAGGCCAGCCGGTGCGCCATCCCCAGACCCACCCTCAATAAGGCCAGCGTGCTAACGCGCTTCACAGACATGGCTCGACGAGAAGACGGCCCCTTCCGGCGCACTCGCCAAATGCAAAGTCTGCAACGGCCTCCTCACGCTGCTCCTCGAGCTCAACGGCGACCTGCCCGAGCACTTCGCCGGCCACGAGAGACGGCTGTATATTTGGAGCTGTAGGCGGAAGACGTGTCGGAGAAAAGCGGGGAGTGTGAGGGGCATACGTGGGGTGCGTGTTGCGAAGGGCGCCGCAAGCAAGGCTGGTGCGAAGGCGGAGAAGACGGCGGTTGGGCGGGAGAACAAGACGCAGCCGCAGCCGCAGCTGGGGGAGTCGCTGTTTGGCGTCAAGAGTAGCGGCGGTGCTGCGCCGCCTGCAAATCCGTTTGCGAACCCGTTTGCGACGAATTCGAGCGGGAAGGGACCCGCGAATCCTTTCTCCTCGGCGCCTACCGTTCAGGTCACGTCCAAAGACGACAAAGATGAAGCATCTACAATCCTCCCAGAGACCTTCGCCTCCAAAGTCCGCCTCTCCTCACCACCGCCGTTGGCACAGCCAGCGCGCCCTCACGAACCCTGGCCGGCAGAGTCGGCCTTTCCTCCCGCGTATCCACACTACCACCTTGACGCCGAATACGAAACACTCGATGCGCCGTCTGCTCCTCAGATACCAGAGAACGCACGCATGGACGTAGATGCGGAGGGCAGTGGAGGAGGCGGAAAGGAGGATAAAGAGGTCTTTGAGAGCTCGCTCGACAAGACATTCCAAAAGTTTGCGGACAGAGTAGGGCAGAACGCGGAGCAGGTGCTGCGATACGAGTTCAAGGGCAAGCCGCTGCTCTACAGCGACACCGACAGCGTTGGCAAGCTTCTTGCGGCGTATTCCGAGCACGGCTCATCTTCAAACACGAAGGTCACCATGTCAGGATCAAGAGGCGGATCAGGCATGCCACGATGTCAGAACTGCGCCGCTGACAGGGTGTTTGAAGCTCAGCTGACGCCGCATGCTATCACTGAGCTGGAGACGGACGAGATGAGCATTGATGGGATGGAATGGGGCACCATCATCCTGGGCGTGTGCAGTAAAGACTGCGGGCCGAGTGATGTCGCGGAAGGCGAGGTAGGATATGTCGAGGAGTGGGTCGGCGTGCAGTGGGAAGAGGTGGCTTCGAAGCGGTGAGGTGCAGTTAAGGTTCGTCATCTTCGACATCTCCAACCATCAGCAACTCATCAGCCGAACCCGGTTCTTGGACCGATTCTTTTCACATCTTGTCTTTCGTTCTTTCCTGTCCATAGGCAGATCTGACTCCTCGCCTCCCCTTGCTCTTCCGAAATATCCGACTCCGATGTGAAGGCAGCTCCGATTCGAAGGCAACGATCAGGCTCACGACGTGCATCAGCACTTTCATTTCTAGGGGCATACTGACATCCAATGGATCATCACCAACGCCGAATGCCCTGCATCTAAGCCGGCCCTAGTTTGTTTGGGTCTAGCGCGTTCTTCAGCTTCACCCATGCCACGCTTTCAGTAGCGCTCATTGGCCGTCCCCAAAATGTCGCTTTCCCCATCGCACATCTCCCGCACTCGCAGACGTCTAGCCCTCCTTCGAACATCTGTAGCACTTTTCAGCACGCTCCGTCGAGGTGGTTTGTGCTTCTGGGCACCTCCTTTCTGGCAATCTTGTGTTTCACCTGTCCGGCTTGTTTCTCTGGAGTAAGCCATTTAGCGCAGTCTGTGGCTGGACCCTTCAACGGCGCTGCACTCGCAAGTGGATGGCTGCGTTGCCCGGCATGCATGCAGCTTGACACGCATGGTATCTGTGCGCATGGTATCTGTGCGTTGAGACGGGCGTAAACACAGACCTTTGATAGTTGGAGTGATGGTCGGTGAATGATGCATAAGACATGCAGCCCAGTTCTTGGTTTGATCACATCTTTTTCGCTTTTTTCCTTGGGTATAGACAAAAGGGCTTTCTGGTTTGTTTATATTCTGTTTTAGCCGCATACACATCTTCTTCCTTTCGTACGGTTTTCTGTTCTCCACCAAGAGCCCCGCATCTTCGATCCCCTCCGATGCGCGCTACATCCCCATTGGTCTTCTCCCTCGCCGCCGCCCTCCCACTCACCCAACCGAGCAAAGCCACCACCACAACAACAACAACAACAACAACAACAACAACAGCATGCCTGCCACCCTCAAACCTCGCATGCACCGAAGCCGCCTTCGGATCCTGCTGCGATCCACCTCTCAATAGCACCACCGCAGTCACATCGGTAAGGCCAGCCGCAGTCGCCTCTGCATGCACATCCAACGCCCTCCAAAACCCCTCCTTCGAATCCGGCATCCTCGACCCATGGACCTGCTACGCCCTGGGCTCCTGGGCATCCCGCGACGTCGTCTCCAGCCCGTCATCCGCGCATTCGGGATCCCACCTCTTCCAGGGCCTGAGCAACAGCACGAACGCGTCTTCCATCACGCTCTCGCAGATGGGCATCAACGTCGCGGCTGGCACCATCGTTGAATGCGGGGCTTGGGTGTATGCGAGCGGGGATATGGGCGCGGAGGGGAGCACAACGTTTGAGGTTTTCCTCGATGCGGTGAGTTGCGGGAGCGTGGAGGTCAAGAGTGGGAATGGAGGAGGGATGGGCGAATGGAAGATGCTGGGGAAGAGCGTCGAGGTTGGGGACGACCAGGGCATGGGGCATATGCTTGCCGTGGTGGTGGTAGCGAATGCGGGGGGTGTGATGGGCGCTGGCGTTGAGGTCGGCGTTGATGATGTGTGGGTTGGGGAGTGCTGAGCGGGTGGGGGATATCTGATGCGGAAGATCGAGTAGGATCCAGGGATGACAGTGTCGGTGGGGTTAAACTGGACACGTTCGAGTCTACGTTCGCCTCTAGCAGTGGAGAAGTTTTAGCAAAATGAAGGATGCTTTTAATGTTTAATAAGATGGATTGCATGCAGTCTTCAGTCTACCATACCTTTGACTCGGGCGTGTATGTTTGATCTTCGGCAGCGGACTAGATTCCCTATGCCATTTGAACCACTTCAAAGCAGTACTCTTGAGATCGTTACTAGTCCACTTTTGCTGGCAGCTTGTATCATCGCATCGCCGTTGGGCTGGGCGTAGCCGAGGAATATACGTGTGTAGGGCTTCTTTGCTTGATTCTACTGTATGCGTTACAGTGGCGAGCGAATTAAGTGAGTGCGTGGCTGGTCGATGGAAGTGCGAACGACCGTCCCTGGCGCTAGCGACGAGACGCGATTTAGGAGAATAGCGGTTGCCTCGTTGAGAAATGTCGAGGAGTATATGGCTTGAGCCGAGCCTATCATAACAGGCTTATCTTGGTAAAAGGCCTTGGTTGGTGTGAGATGGAAGCGATAGTGTTGTGTATGGCTCTATCTAGCTATCTTCGTCCGCGGTAGGTGGATTCGTTAATGTCCGACACGACTGATCAGGTGATGGAAAATGGCGCCGCTTCGTGTTGCCGCGAGGATACCAGGGGAAGATACGAGTGGCAAGCGCGAGCAGCGCGGTGAAGGGAGCATCGAGTCTGCCCCCCGGGTGGTGGCAAAGCGGCTGCAATTGTCTAGACGGCGTTCTCGGTGGCAAGCAAGACAGATAGCAGTTGAACATTTGAATCGGAGGGGATGGGTGGCGTCGGGACCGGATGGACGTCCTACCATGTGGAAGACACGTCGCGTGCTTTCTACCCCACGGCGTAGTCCCGGAGTCCAGAACCCAGCTCCATAAGTTGCACAAAGACGGGAAAGCTGTGGAAGGGAACAAGAACACCGCACGACATGCGACAGCAAACTGCGTGGGACATTTCCATAGTCGTCGAATAAGGAAACTATCGACATCCGATTCGCCACATCCCGTGACGTGCCCCAGCTTGGGTTTCTCCTCGCGGCATAAATATCACGAGAAAGCCGTCATCTAGTAAATCCCAGAGTTCCGTTATCGAAGCACTTTCGAAAAAACAGAAGCACGCGCCGCCAACGCCGCCCTCCGCATTATAAGCCTTGTGTGTATCGTGAAGAGAAGGAAGGTATATGAGATGAGTACGGTGTCGCTGCTGAAGCGCGGGTAACCGGTCGATCGATCGTTCGTTCGTAAAGGTCCTCGTCATGCCATCGTATCGTGTTCGCTGTCGTCCCTCTGTCCTCACAGGGCTGCGATCTTGGAGTCGCCCTTCGGCTGTTTCCGCCGGTCACCACTCGTGTCGCCGTCGACGATGAGGCGCTGGATGGGTCCTAGCGGCGCGCCGTTGCTGAACAGCAGCACCTGCTTGCGGATGACTTCCCACTGGTTTCCACGCACCACACTGCCCGCCGCCGTATGCCGAAGTGACGACGCCGATTCCTTGCGCTCTAGGTCCGTAGCCGCCAGGTCGAGCACAGCTTCCAGCCCCAACTGTGCAGCGCCGACAGACTCCTTCGCATCTCCTGGTATGCCTATGTCGTCTAGCGGCCGGGTGATGACCTCCTCGGGCAGCACGTCCTCCAAGTAGTCGACAATGGCTGTGTTGCGCGCGCCCGGCCCGCAGATGAAAATCTCGTCGACTTTGTGGTCTGGCCCGAAGAGGCCGGTAATCAGCCTGCGGTACTGGCGCGCCATGTTCTCCGCCGTTATGCGCGTGACGGTGGCGATGATGTCGAAGTCGGACATGCCTAGGAAGAGGCACTCGTCGATCAGGCCCTGCGCCTCGTGGTGGCCGAACATTTCGGTCGCGATGTGTAGCGGCGGTGCGCGATTGGTGTAGTCGTGCGTCTCGAGGAAACGGTCAACGACACCCATGTTGACGGTTCCGCGCGCGCCGTAGCTCCCTTCGAGGTCGTGTTCCAGCTGGTTCGACGTCGCATAGCGTACCGCGTAGTCGATGAACATTGTGCCCGGCCCGCAGTCGAGGCTGACAGCGGTGTTGGAGGCGGCGGAGTTGGAAGGAGGCACGATGCTGATGCTCACCGCGTCGTTGACGGTTAGGCAGACGCGGAACTTGGTCGGGTGCTGCAGGAGGAGCATGTCTAGGGAAGCCCCGGGCCCCGGGCCGCGTGTGTTGGCGGATTGTCCTGTCGTTCGATGGGTCGTCACCGTCGTAATGCCTGTTTCTTCCGCGATATGAGTACCCCAAGTTTGTAAGGCCGAGTTTGTATCTGTGGCTTCGGGGCCGGATGGAAGATGCGTTGTAAAAGGAGGAACTATGGCGGCATGCGCGCCTATGAGGTGGATGGAAGCCGGGGCGATGTTGTGGGTCCTGCAAAAGAGGTTGACGGCCGTTGAAAACATCTGACCAAGCATGTTGTGAACCCGGAGAATGGCCTGGGGATTTGCAGGATGTTTGTAGGCCGTGTTGAGGATGGGGAGACGGGCTTGAAGGGGAACGGCAAGCTCTTCGTACTAACACTGACGTTAGCAGATGCCGCTGGCGATCCAGCTACGGAGACATACGTGCAGGAGTGCCATCCGGAGTGGTTCCTCGCGGCTCGTCTGGTAGTAGCGCAGAAGAGCACACCTAACCTCACCTAGCGCAAGCCCAGAGGAAATCCCCAACACAGTGAGGTCTACTGTGCCCCTGACACAATTCCTCTTTTGTCTGGGCTGGCTCTCCATGTCTTCGAAAGTACCCACTGGCGAGTCGTTTCGGGTCCGGGTTCGATGCGCGATAGTGGTCGTCTGTGCCATGCTCTAGACTGCTGCGAAAGCCGGGCTAGGGAGACTCTCAGGCGGACGAGAAAGGCTTCAGATATTGTAAAGACGCTCGGATGGCCGTTTCCCTACATAGCCTCGCAATTGGAGGCCGAAGCCCACGGGTGGAACGACCATGCGTAGGCGCAGGTCGTCGTTTCGGCGCACTGCTTCGTCACGAAATCAACGGATCGACCATCACGTGGGGCTCCTGTATAGCGCCCAAATCTCGACACGAATTCCCTCTTTTGGAATATCGCGCCACATGACAGGGGTGTCGTCGTGGTAGAATAAAGCTTGCTCGACCCCAGCTTCGCAAGAGAAGTAGTAAGCAATCTTTTGCCCATGTGGGCTTTCGAACGACTCCACGATCATCTCGGCCAAATGTGAACGGAAAGGGATGTTAGGAGGAGGGAGAGAGGGAAACAGTCCCGGCCAATCAGGACGCATTTCGAGCAATGGGACACACGAAGTAACCGGCGTTACGACTCTCCATCACAGCCGCAGGCGGCCAAGGCACTGCGGACGGCCGCATTGCACAGGGGATAGATGCCAACTTATCGGTGCGAGCGCTTTGGGCAAGGTACACGAATCCTGACGAGGAAAAGAGTAATGCGGGAGCAGGCTTCGTTGCAGACGGCTTCAAAAGCCGAAGGCCGACACGAGTGAAAGAACGCACTTCGCCATGGTCGAGGACAGGCAGCGGCTTATGCGGCCGAGACAGAGCGTAGCTCAACATCCGATCGGCGACTATTTTCGGACAAGAGTATCCCAATAATGAGAAAATCGATTATTCCTTTCGCTCACGCTACCGAGCGCGACCAGTCAGGCACTTGGGAAATAGGTGGGGATGAATTCTGAAGAGTGGGAGCCTTACCCGCATCCGAACTTAGAAAAACGCGGGTATTAGCGAGGCTGCGGAAGCTACTTGCGAAGAGATATCCTGTCGGAATGCGCGAATAACATCGTGTCAAGATCACGCAGCGCTCTCGTCAATCTTACACTGGAACTGGATCTGCACCAAAACTTGAAATGTAGCTTTTTGGTGAGAAGAGTCCTTGGCGCATCAATGCACAAAGAAACGGGAACTTTGGCCGGTCGGTGGAATAAGCCGAGCTGTACTCAACCTCGTGGAACTCGAACCGAATTGCGCAACTTGAGCTTTTGCTGGGCCTTGGAGCGAGAATAACGGAAGGGTATATGAATGTCGACACCGAGAAACGTATGAAATCTAATGCTGGGGCTTTTTGAAACCGTCCAATCCCCGAGGGGCCTTATCACTGCTCTCATCTATCCACCTCCATCGAGCATGTGCGCCGCGTTGGGCGCGCCGGCGAAAGAGAGCTCGGCCTGGGAACGTGTCGCCACCCGGGCCGATTTAGGAGGGCGGGGGCGGCGTCGAATTCCGACAATCCTGATCACTCCACTCGCTCTGGAAGAAGTCGCCGGAACCGGGACCCGCTTGGTGAAAGAAGCAGCATGCGTCAGCAACGCCATCGAACGATGCTGGAATGCATAGTCCAAGGGCCCGCCTATTCTAGCGCCCATTCCCTCTTCAGCGCGTTGATGATCCACATAGTGGGCCATTTCTGGTCCCTCTCGAGCCGCGCAAGGAGCGCGATAATCTCGTTTCGCTCTTCCACGACCGTCAAGAGTGGGCCCCATATGAATATGGTGTGGCAGAGCGTGATGAGGCAAGGGACGGTTGTTGGAGAACTCGTGCAGGAACCACATATTGCTCGAGCGTGCTCCAAGATCTGCTTCTATTGCTGTCAACACTACAACGACCCTTGGGGCGGGGGCGAACGTACGTCCGTTTCCGAGAGCTTGCTACCCACTCTGCGCATCGCAAACTTTGGCCCCGGTTTGTAAGTGAGCAAGAGAATGCAGGCGAAGTGGAAGAAGCCATACGCGACGACTGCTACCGTGAGAAGTGGGTCATTCGAAGGGAATAAGGAGGCATACTATGCCAGTCGGCCGTAAACCACATTTCGGGGAATACGCTCTTGTCGCTGGGTTTCCCGGACCAGATGGGGTTGAAGCTCGGCGGCCGGTCCTCCTCCCAACGTTGGACGGCGTCCCAGAGCGTCTGCCATTTCTGGGTTCGGGACAGAAGCTCGCGCGGCTCATGGCCGTCGAAGCAGAAGTTTACTACGCAGGCACAATGCCACGTCATTTGGTTTGCCCATGCTGTCTCCAGTCGCAGCATGGCCAGCGGGTGCGAGTCGTGCATGGAAGCAGGGCTCGGGTCCAACTGCAAGGAAAAGTCGATGTTGGGCGGCTGCTGGTTGATGGTCGCATTGTACAGACATTGCCGGACGTAGACCCAGAAGGCGGCCTCGCGCAGCGTTGGTGCTGATGGGTCTACGGTCCGCGTCTGGGAGGCGCGGAGAATGGCAGAGCTCCCCGCCAGATGCTGCTCGTTGTCCGACCCGGAGATGGATGGCACATTGAGCTGCTCGAAGAAGCGCAGGATGACAATGGCGCAGAGCAGATCGTCGTCGTGGGTCGCTGTGTCCAGGTTCAGCCGTTCGATGAGCAGGGCGATGCAGCGCTGGTACGCCTCATCGGCGGTGGCGCTGTCCTCGCAGTGCCGCGCGGCAAAACAGACGATGGAGTGCAGCAGGATCGGGCAGAACTTGACCTGCACTGGGACGCGCAGGGTAAATTGGCGCGCCGGGTCGGTGCCGTCCAGCCAGCGGCCCAGGTGCTCTGCGTAGTGGTGCACGAGCTTGGCCTCACGGCGGGTGATGTGGAGGGGCTCCCTGACGGGCAGTGCGGCAGAAAACTGGGCGGGGATGGAGACGCCGTCACAAGTAGGGTTCGCCGAAGGGGAGCCCAGAAAGGGCGATGCCGACGACTGCTGCAGGCCCGCCGTGGCGGCCCCAGGAGGGTTGAGACTCGTCTCTGTGGTCTGGCCGGCCCGGCTGTTTCTCCGGCGATGCGGCGGTACAGACCAAGACCCTTCTGACTGCGCCACATCGTCCTCATCGTCCTCCTCGACGTCCATAGCGTCGCCATCTTGAGCAGGCCCGCCAGGCGTTGTCTCTGTGCTCGCGGATCCCGCTGCGGACCGGTATCCTCTGAACCGGGAGTGTGCAGACTCCCACTGGCAGGCGCGGCTCTTCTTGGCGCACTGCCCGCACAGAGGGTGCACTTCATCACCTGTCCGACATTAACTAGGGCGGGACAGCGGGCTTGGGGGCTACGTACACTTGACGCGACGGTTCCGGCACGTCAGACTACGGTGGACTGTCAGCGCGATGATCTCCATTAGAGTGGTACGTCGGTGGAGAACTCACCATCCGCTTTTCGAGCGATATTTCCCCATGTCCTCGGGGCCCCCAACTCGTTAGTACGGTTTTGAATGCTACCTCCGCGTATCGAGGCGCTGTCTGTTATTCATAGCAGCGTTTTTGCCGTGCAGGGTAAAGGGTGGTGTCGGGGCGCACACCGGGCGTGACAGCGTGTGTCGTCACTGTTAAATATTAGTGCTGGAAGGAGAAGATCGCATCGAGAGAGTTAAAGTTCGCCTAAGGAACTTCTCTCCGAGCCTCATGCTTATTAACAGCACCGCGCCAGCGGACGACTTCCCACGAGGCGCTCTCCGGCATTACTTCCCGCACTGCACCAGATGCCCTCACTGCCCATGTAACGCCCGTATCGCCGTCCATGGTGTTTCTCGGCTCTTGCCGCTTGCCGATCCAGCATTGTTAGGGCTTGCGGCGCTTCTGGGGCAGTTGACCGAGCGCGGCTGCTTTGGGAGCAGAGCAGCGCAGGCAGAGCCGGGGCAGAAGGGATTCAAGGGAAGTCTATCTAGATAAGCCTATCTAGATAAGTCGATCTAGGTAAAGTCGAGGGTGTCGGGGCCAGCTCAAAGAAGTGGCACGAAGCACATGTTTTCAAGTATCGAATATCCTCTTTGGGTATATTTGGGCCTTCGCCTCATCCCGAGTTCTCGGACTGTTTCGCCTCAGCCCTACTGCGTCATCGGCTTCCAGAGCCGAACCACGCTCGGCTTCCATCCCCGCAACGAAGGGCTGTCCACATCCAATAAGTGTCTCCTGACAGCTGTGGGTGCGCACGATGCCAAGTGGGTGGAACTGGGACACTGCGATGTCTTGTCGGATAGCAGCTCCGGTTGGTTGTAAAATTCTCCGATACTACAGGGTTCTCCGCCACAGGCTCGGCTCTAGCCGGACTCGTTTCGAGAAACGCATGCTAACAGATACAAAGGGTCATGCGCGATGGAGATGGGACACTTATGTAATCCTTGGCTGCCTCATCAGAATCGCTCCGCCATCTAACTAAAGCCAGAAAATCGCATAAATTGCTGCAATAATCAATATTTCTAGCCTGCGGAAGATGGCAGAGCGATACAGAGTTATCTTGTAAAGATATTACCGCTGTAGTGTAGCGTACAGTCCATCACCGTATCGGCCGTATGTCCCATATCCATCGCGCATGACCCTTTGTAGCTTATCGCAATTATAGAAACTATAAACTACTAAGTTTTATATACCGCTAACTTTATTATAATACTTTAAGATAGTGCGACCTGCCTCTTAAATTCCGCCGTCAGCCTGCAGACATCGTGTAACATACGGGCACAGCTTAGCCTTAACAGCAAGCTACACCGTACTTGCTAACTCTGCTTCCGATCCGGATCTACCATCTCACAGGTTCTCCTTCGAAACACTCATCCACATCCCTTCACAGCTTGAATACCTGACCCCTTCCCCATCCTTTACTTCGACGTCTAAGTACACCTTCCTCCCTTTGATGTCATTGAGGCTTGCCGTCACTAACACGATCTGAGGCGTCGCTAACGGCTTTAGGAACCGCACATTCATGCCCGCAGTGAACATCGCAACCCCGTGCATGTTCAGTACGTTCGATGGTATCTTCTCTTTGTGTATTGCTTCGACTTCGGTGTAGAAGCGATGGTTAATATAGATGAGAGAGCCCATCGCTTCATCGATCAACGTGGATATGAGCCCGCCGTGTGCGGTCCCGTTGTAGCCATTCGTTCCAGGACGGAGGTCGAGCATTAATGTTGAGGAGTGAATCAGGAGACGGAGACCGGATGAGGTTGGAGAGGGCGAAATGGTAGTGGGGGAGAATGGGTCTTGGTAGAAACCGATTGCATGGGGAATTAAGTCGTTGTTTCTGAGATTGACGCGGAAGAATTGGTCTTTGGTTGGGAGAGCGCCATTGGCGTCCGGTTCGAGGCGGCACGTGGGCGTGTATAGAACAATGCCGGGCGTTTCGAGAAGCGCCGCGCACCAAGGAACTGATTGGAAGTAGTCCATTGTCGAGGATCCGTAGTTTGTTCTAGGTGTCTCTTGTTGAGTTACACAAGCTCCGTCCCTCGAGGACACAAGAAGGTATTAGGCATTATGTTAACATACCTTCATTATCGGAGCCGAAGATTTGGCATACACGCAAACACAAAGTACCGAGGGCCCGCGGTTGTCAGCACCATGATGGATTGATCAGTATTCACGGCTTTTGCCGAGGCTCGCGACGCTCTGCCGCGGAGGTCATTCTACGACAAAGGCCCATATACGTTTAGATCCGGTCCCGACCAGTTTTACAGGCCAGGCACGGCTTCGGAAGCCTACGAACGCAATCTACATTCGTGTTCTTACCATGTGCTTTCCTATAGATAAACTAGGCTAAGGGTGTCTACTCGAATACATACAATACGCCTACACTGTTACTTAACTAATCCTAACGATATTTCTTATCAACTAGTTTATGACACTTCCTAAATTACCCTTCCACGTGCTCTCGTCAAGCACTCCTGGGCTGCGTCTACGATACGGTTTTGCTTTTGCCGCATTTGATCCTCCTACACTTGACGGGAAACGGCTCTCCTCGCAATTTCTATCGCGATGTCCCTCAGCGCTTTCATATATCTCTCTATAACGCGCCTTGGCGTCGTGCGGTATTTTCAAGGTTGTTACGCAGGTGTACAGTGGCGGCCGTCGCGGCGGCACGCTGCCCCCATCGCCCACGAACTTTGTTCCGGATTCACTATTTTTGTAACACTGAAGTGCTTTCCAGCCATCCTCGAATCGCCGAGTTTGGTAGGATATAAAGAACGGAACAGTATGTCATAGTCCTTCCTGTCCCAGTAATCCAGTCGAAAATCGTATTTTGCATCGGCTGCAGGTGGGTAGTGTAGCTCAGATTTTTGGTTTAGATCGTTTTCATACCTTTGATGTTCCTTGACATCCGAAGGGATAGAGGGAAGGGGTTCAGTTGGCGGTAGGCCAGGACAAACAGGCACATCTGGGGTGCTCATGTGGAGTCTGATACCAGCTGACAATGGTCAACGCGGAAGCACACCGGGTGGGGATCTGCCTCGATATGTTTCTTAATGAGATTGACGCAGCAAAGTGAAATAAAGCTGGGAAGCGATTGCGACTGAAGTATAGTCTCTGTCGAGTCACTGCTGGGTGCGTGGAGCAAGACCAAGTCGCCCTGTTTCATAGGTGGCAATAAATTCGATCTCAAACAGGAAGTTTCCTAAGGGCAGACATAAGCGATATCAAACTGCTCGAGTGTGTAATTTACCAGCTTGTTTCATCTGGGATAACGTCAGAGCAGGAACAGCGAACAGTGGCCCAATCAAATTTCGACCGACTACCGAGGCAAGGTCGGTCGCGTCACTGAAAGCGAACAATGGAACACGATTTCATTGGGTCGAAACCGCAAGGTTGGTGCCATAGAGTAAAGACTGACTTCGCACGTTCAACCTGTAAAATTTCTGCCTTGGTGATTAGCTGTGATTTGATTGGTTCATTGCTCCCGATCGGGCCCATTATTGGCACATGTGAGAATGGATCCCGAACATCCAATCGGTTTGTCCCGAACGAAATTCAGCCGTCGCGATACCGGGAAACGTGGTGCAATCCATGTGGAGGCTTTCCCAATCTCCGTTTCGTGAATTCAGAAACCCGCCGACTCGGTAACAGCGTGTATATAACTCGGGCTATCTGAACCCTATTCTCTTTTGAAGAACACTGCAATCTATTTCCACTCAGCCTTCATCATGACTCCAAAAGCATTCCAGCCCCCGAGTTCGCCAATCTCACTAGTATGCGTGCGAGCTTTTATCGCGAAGAATTTTGTCTTCGTGGGTGTTGCAGTTGCATACCTTGCCCTTGTTCGTTGGTTGCGTTACAAGCGTACCAACAGGATTGCATCTCCCTTTGCAGATGGGAAAAGGCCGTTATCGGGCATGACTACGCAAGAAGCGTTCGAAATCATGACCCAGCTGCAATCCCTTGAGTTCCCTTATGCGATGAACAAGGCGCGAAGTGTTGCTCTTTTGAAGGTATGTGGTAGTACTCCAGTCCTTGTGGTATTCCGCTAACTTGGTTATGTAGGCGGGCGGGATACCCACGATGTCAAAGCTCTTCGCTGTCACTGGTCAAAACAACGTCAGGAATGCGGGAAGGCGAGCTGTTGATACGGAGATTCTTCTGCGCGAATCACAAACTCAGCCGCGGAATTCCGAGCGTTACATGGACGCCGTTGCACGAATGAACTACCTCCACGCTCGATATCGTAAAGCGGGAAAGATCCTCGACATGGACCTTCTGCACACTTTGGGCGACGGAGCGTTGGAGATCTTACACGTCATAGACAACGAAGAGTGGCGGAAACTCAGCGATGTCGAAAAGTGCGCCGTAGGGATCTTTCATCGCAATCTTGGCGAAGACTTGGAGATCCCATTTACTCCATTGAAAAGCTTCCAGTCAGGATGGCAGGATGGGTTGCATTTTGTGACTGATCTGATCGAATGGACGAAAGAATACGAGAAAGAGGTTGCGAAGCCGACGGCAACAGGAGATCAGTATGTGAGAGTCTATGTTGATTCAGCCAGCAAGAATATGGGCAAGGGAGTCACGGCACTCCTTAGACAGGTCATTGGTTCGGATCTGGATGATACGATGAGGACAAGCCTCTGCATCGAAGCTCCTGGCCTGTTCGTGTCTGCTCTCCTGTTCATCATCAGGAACACCCGCAAGACGCTCCTCCGCTACCTCGCGCTACCCCGCCCAGAGTTTTTCGCCTATCAATCCGTCGCGTCTACTCCAAATGCCGAGGGCTTGTACAACTTCAGTCATGGAGGTTTCCAACCTTGGTATGTTCAACCTGGCTTCTTGTCGATTTGGAGTCCTAGCGCGGTGCTTCTGAGGATGTTTGGCGCTAGGAAACCCGGCAGCGAAGGCGACAGGTATAAGCCAACAGGGTATGACTTGAAGACAATCGGACCGCCACCGCAGGAGGGCAAGGGTCTTGAGGAGATGAGGGCGACAGTCGAGTTTATGATGGGTCGGGGAGCAGGTGAATGTCCGTTTGCGGGTATGAAGCGGCGTAAGGAGTTTGTTGTGGCGAAAGAGTAAAGATAATCATGCAAAGAAGTTAATGATGTCGCAGGCCAGGCAAGGCCTTGGAGACCCACGGGCAAGATCCGTCTTGATAAATCCTGCCGCGCGCTTCCTTTAGGTAAGCACGGTCAAGGTTATCAATAGAACACACCACACCCAAACTTCGTTTTGGTTGCTCAACCGTAACAAACACCTTTAGCGCATAAAGCGTGACGCATGACAATCAGCAGCGGAAGACCAAGAGTAACGGACAAAGGTAGATAGTCAAGAACGGACAAAATTTGGTCTATTTGTGAAGTTGCCTGCCAAAAGTTCATCGCTTTTGTGAGCTGGCCATACGGTTCGGATTAGACATGAGCAAAGCTGATTTTGGGGAGTTTTCGCGCTATTTGTAAGCAACATGCAACTGTGGCAGGTACCCACTACTTAGGTAGTATAGTAGGGACGTTAGAGAGAAGGCTTATAACTATGTATTAGTGCAATCGAACAAGAATAGGGAGCTAGAGAAAAACAGAGATAGGGACGTAGCCGTGGTAGACGGGCATGGCTAAGATGTGGAGTTAGAGTTGGATATTAATGCTAGCATACCCAGGGCCGCTGAGAGTCTGTCTAAGTAGTCGTCCGCACTCGCGACCAAGCCTCTGCCTCCGCGGCTCATTAGTCTTTCTCTTCTCGCTCCTGCTCTCGATAGTGTGAGTGAATGCAGGTGAATTCAGTCTCCCGCCCTTCTCCAAAAGTCACTGTCATTGTCAATGTCATAATCATCATCACAATCGCCACCATCATCATCATAACCCGAATAATAATCTTCAAGGTCACTAAATGACTCGTCGAAGCCAGACTCTTCCACATATTCCGTTGTACTTATTGTCCATCCGTGACTCTTCATTTCCCTCCTCATATGATCACTTGGGCCATCCTCGTACACCTCGACAATGATCTCTTGTAGGGACGAAATGGCTCTGAAGCGAGTATTGACCAGCTTTAACGCCTCACCAACGACCCTGAAGTTGTCTAGCGCATCGAGCCTGAGCTCCATGGCATATGTGCTGGAGAGGGACGTCGTAAGCGTGCTCAGGTTGGCGCAGTCGCTCTGGATCTTCGCGAGGATGCGAAGGCTGTCGTCCTCGAAGGTGACATCATTGGGTTCCAGGTAGCCGAAATCCGGAAAATCGATACGGATGTGTCGGATGTAGTCTGCGTTGTTGCGGCCGATTTGCTCGAGGAACGAGGCTACGTGCTCAGGGGTGCACAAGGTGAAATCGAAGCGATTCTGGGCATAAAGCAGCGAGCTAGCTTCGCTGTGGACCGCCTTGTTCGCGAGAAGCAGGCCCGGAGTAAGCACTCGGACTTGCGAGCGCCCAAGCCAAGGGTGTGTGGGGCACGCAACGGGTGTTTGGAGCACTAAGAGTTGTTCATATATGTCGTTGCGGACTTCGCTGGGGAGGCTGAGGAAATTTGTCGGCATGTCAGCGGACGTGAGCCGTTGATGCTGTAAAATTCAGCAAACGCTTCTCTACAAGTTATAGATTCCAGACCTTGCGTGTAGAGGATCGAATAATATCAGTTATCTTCTCGAATAGTTGTCGGTAACGAGTACGTTGGCGGTGGTCGGGTGTTCTGGCAGGGTGCGGGCGAAAAATTTTTGCTGCGGGGAATTCTGGGTCACCCAAAAGAAGTGAGATCATAGATAACAACACGTGCATAATAAGTTACCTACCTAGGTAACGCTGTTCTGGGGCTCGTCAGCAGACTCAACAACTGCCCCACAAAACCGCGCCACGCAGCCGCTATCAGAGGGTAGGTTCAGTTTTGAACCTGCATCCTATTGGCCCGGAGAACCAGACGGGGGAACGTTATTGGGACCCTTTAGAGACTCCGGCTAGGCTTTGCCTTCTTCGTTCGTTTTGGATCCTAAGATTGTGAAAAGGTTATACAAATACGCTCTGAGAATCAAGCCTTCAGCCAATTACGAGATCCACTATTAACCACTATATGTCGACTCAAAGGAGGTATCCTCTCCAACCACAATCCTATACGCAACCTTTGCATATTCCTCCGCCCGCCTTGAGTCCTCCCAAGCCCCTGTGGCCTGAAAGGCAGTCCTCGCATGCAGGAATGCTTCTACGAGGTGATCTAGCACCAAACCCCACTTCACAACTCTGAAGCTTGCAGAGGAAGAGTCCGCGCCAACGATAATAAAGCCCAGCGCCGTCAGAACCTTACCGACAGATTCCAGTCCTTTGATCATGTCGTTCCGTGCAATATAGACGCGTACCAGCAGCAATCGTGGGTCCCAGAGTAAGAGGCGGGGCACCTCATCCGCGGGTCGCGTGTATGTGTTATCCAAAGCCTTGAGCAGACGCTCAACTTTACCCGTATTTATGCCGGAATCGCATACTCGCTTCATTCTTTCCAACAATTTCCGTCTCTCTGCGACAACAGTAGCCTTTGTCTCCTTAGCGTCTTGACAGATGGCGCAGTCACAGACAAACTCCCAGGTTTTGAGCATTTCCTGCGAATTCTTCAGACGGGTTCCGTCGGGGCTCTGGTACCAGAATGTGATTTCTGTGTCAGGCTCCAGGTCTTGGGTTGCGCGCACGATCATCATGTCGCCAATGAAGGAGCGGCGAGCGTTGCTGGTACAACTGTGGTTGATGTATGAGGCTTGGGTCCATATACCACATGAATGATAGGCAGTTGGCTCTTTGGCATTGTTGGCTAGAAGATCTTTATGAGTGATCAAGCTGGAGAGGGGGCAGCCAAAGACGTTGAAGGACATGATCCGTTCAACGAGAAACCTAGTTGTGCGTATACAGTTAGTATAGGTGATATTCTCTGTGATGTTTTGTAAATGAGGACTTACGTGTCAACTATTGGCTTTCCATCCACTGCAGGCGTGTGCACCGCTTCGTAGGTTCCATGATATAGAGTGGTGAATGCTGGAGCGACAGATGGGTTGCGATAGAGCTTCTGCACGATAATTCTGATGAGGTCGGCCTGGCCACCCATGAATCCTTGGTTTGTTTCAGGATTCATCAAGAGGGTGACTTTTGAGTTACTCTCATCACTCTCGGTTGCGTAAGCATGACTGAAGGCTTTCTCGCACATGAGCAAGTCTCCTGCCTTTACGGCCTTCGTCAAGAACAACCCGCGGCCCTTGTTCTGCGTCTTTCTTATTTCGACAGGCCCGATGTACGTGGCGTGATCCAACTGAGGCGGTCGACACTTCTTAGCCTCTGCTTGAAGTAGCTTGAAATTATAGTCTCCGGTATTTTGCTCTGAGTATCGACTTCGAGCGCGATCAAGTACCGCTAACGCTTGTTTGTTGTTTGGAAAGTTGGTGCGCAGTAATCCAAGCACTTCGCAACACTCGCTAAACCGACCGAGGAAGTACAGTGCCTCAGCTGCCCGAAACAGCGCCTTCTCCGTAGGGTTGGGGCCGAAGTCAGGGAAACCCGTATCAGAGAGTGCAGCATCGAACTGCTTGGTTTTGAGAAAAGCAAGCGATCTGTTACGTTTGATAATCTCGATCTCGGTTGCCGTGGCTGGTTGCGAAAGGGCATCCGAATACCTGTTCAGGCGGCTTAGCGCGCGTTGATGCCTCTCAGATGAGCTATGCTTACTCCGTAATCGCCTGCCAGTATTTCCCCTCTCCCATAGCAGAGTTGCCGTTGATCTTCAATGACTGGGCAGAGCATTCTGCTTCGAGAACTCGACGGCGCCATGTTTCAGGTATCCTGGAATCGTCCTCTTTGACATGAATGACGTCGGAGAGATGATCCACACGTAGGCCGTACCCGCCAGATGCCATAACTTTGAAATAGGGCTCCTTAACTAGTAAGATCGTACCAACATTGACGATGTCGCCGGCTTCACGGATATCTTCCTCTTCCTGCTGATATAGTTGTAGCATAATGACATCAGCACGATCATCTTCACCCAAAACCATAATCCCTGTCATCCGGCTAGGCGGCGTAATAGCTCGCAGTAGGAGATATGTGCCTCGGTGGTGTGTCTCAAGCTGAAGATCCCGGATCGTGATGCGACTTAACTCAGCCAGAGGCGCAGTACATGGTGGGTATGGTGGCGGGATAAATGACGAATGAATCATGTGTCCTTGATCGTGTGTGCCTCTTGCCATAAGGGCCATCATGAATTTAAGATACGTCTGCTCTCTAGGCTCCCAATCGCGAGGACGCTGACCTTTGCGCTTTTTGGCCTTTTGCAAAGTCTGCTTCTGAGTTTGAATCTGCTGGGAATACTGGTCGGTAACGTTGTGAACATCCATTGTGAGCTGGCGGCGGCGGCGGCGGCGATGGTGACACTCTCTGTCGTTGAAGAGAATTCGAGCTGCGATTACAATTACAAGAGGCGGTCGGCGCGTTTAGATTATAAATAGGACTACCCTTCCCTTATAGAGATGTTCGCCATGGCGGGGAATGGCTGCTACAGCCACTTCACCGGTATTTGTGTGGTTACACAAAGCTGCACGAAGGCGCCGTAGATGGTCGAAAATGGTAGCATGCATCATGCGTGGCATCGTGTCGGTTTGCTACTGGTTGGCGGATTGAGCATGAGGCCAAGATAAATACTCGAATTGCAACTAGAATGGACCACTCGCTGCCATTCATATACTGGACAAAACCATTGCCGTGGAAGCCCGCATAGGCGTGCGCTAACAAACCACTTCGGCCTTTGAAGTGACACGTCCCGGAGACACACAACACCATACACGCTTGGCGATTGACTCTATGAACCCCGACGCTGCTGTCAGGTTCTCGCGATGCAGAGAGTGTCGCGGCCTAGCTTCAGTCTGACGAGGCTGAGAGCGAAGGTTGCGCTTCTGCAGTTGCCAAGGCCTAGTGGTGGCCAGGCCAGTAGAGAGGTTCAGCTGGGGCGCGGCTAAGTCTATCCGACGCGTATCGTCGCCGTGACCTCTAAGCGCTCTAACTAAGGCAAAATATTTTGCATATGTTATTTCGTTCCCTGCTTCTAGACACACACTCTCTAGCCTATACCGTTCCTCTACGAAACTACGTTCCCTACAACAAAAACAGGCATCTCGTTCGTAAAATTCTTCACATCCCCCGTAAGCTCCGCCATTTCTTCCTGGTCCCCAGTGGCCTCCTCCCAAGCCTGTATATCCTTCCAATGCATAGTGACCGTATACGCGAATTCAGAGTCAGGCTTTGGCACGACCATGTAGCCGTCCGTCATGCCATGCGGCTCCCAGAGCTTTTTCGCAAGGGGAAAGTGGTGCGAGAGGTAGTAGGAGAGGTTGAAATGGAGATTGGGCGTGCGCTTGTAGAGGACGGTGACGATGACGCCGGGCTTTGCGGGGGTGGTGGTCATCTTGTTGGTTGGGTGGGAGGGTTGAAGGGCAGTTCGGTGCGGTGGTAGGACTGGGGTAAGGGCGTGTTCGTGTTGAGTGATGTGTGAATGACAATGAGAGGGCGGGTTCTCGAGGGCCTTTTATGGAGAGTTGGGCTTCTAGCGGCTGTTGACGGACGAAAGGTATGTGCGGTCAATATGGCCGTCTGTGGACGCCGTCATCTCGTCCGAGTGGAATTCCGCTGGAGGATTCGGGGAGGCTTGAGACGACCAACGATGAAATACCCTAATTAGTTAGCGCCAGCCCCCAGAAGCGCAACACATACCAATGTCAGCCTGAAGCATGACACTTTCGCTTTGTCGTAGGGAAGAATCACTACCCGCCGTAGATATTCGATTGTGTGCATATTGCATTGGGCGTTGTTGCAGTTCGCGCTGCGGTCCACGTTTGGAGCGCCGATTCCACTTTTAGATAGTACGCGACACAAACAATAGCCCACGACAAGCTCCGACCCCGCAACCTCGGCGCATCTTCTAAATTTGTTGTTTGTTTACAGATCCATGGGTAGGCTAATAGAGGCTTACCTATTACACGAGCCTCGTATCGCATCCTACTCTCCCATCACGCCTGTGGGAACTGCTCGCACTGTGAAGTCACGGACAACATCCGATTTTGCGAGAATGGCAACTTTGCGGGATTAAAGGGCTATGGTGGGATGGCGGAGTATCCTCTGCTGGAGAACATTTCGAACTAAACAGAATGGTACCTAGAACGCCATGTATTCAACGTCGTCGAGCTGGAAGAGTGCAATGCATCGTCGATCGCGGTTGGCATAGAATCCGCCTTTTGCTGCAGCATTGATATCGGGCCGTTGAGGCGCGCGTAAGATGACTTTCATTTCCCCATCAGAGTCTGTGGGAAGCAGATATGCTCCGCTCATCTTGTCCACTCCTGTTAAATAGGAAATGACGGTAAAGGTTGCTCCGAGAGGCTTCGCTAGTACCAGGGTCCCGTTAAGCCCCTCTCTCGCAACGAAGACGCTGCGATCGAGGCGCGCAGTGGGGCATATAGCCCAAGCGTGTTTGAGATACTCAACCTCCGGCGCTAGTTTGATCGAGGGAACTGAAGTGACGGGCTTATGTTTTCCTGGGTTGGCCATATCGAGGCTCATCAAAAGATTGTAATCATCAACCATTTCTTTCTGTCGCTTCGCCACCTCCTCGGGATCCTCCTGGGGCTCGTAAGGCAGCAGTTTGTTGGCGTCGTGAAAAGAGATGGTGACGAGTTGGAACTTCTGGAGCTCTGCATGCGCCATGGCTTGAAGGTTCGGACGAGCAACGTCTCGAAGATCTCGAAAAGTGGCGAGCAAGCTGATCTCCTCCCAGTACCCGGTCTGAATCCTTGAAAGTTCTTCGCAAACCGCGTCGATGTTGTCAGCTGGAATAATAGTGTCGATTCGAGCACCTATTACTCTCCTAAGTGCAACGCCGTTCCCTTCCAATCGACATTCAGGTTTCTCGTCCAAGGATGTGCGAAGATGCTGTGCAAAGTCGGAGACCCCGGTAAAGCTTGGTGCTCCGAAAGTGAGCGCTCGGTTTGTCGAATTCCTCATAGGTTGGTCCATTGCGTAGGTGTAGAAGTCTAGATCCATCTCGGCGGAAGCCCCCGCAATGTTTGCCTGGAAGTTGTAGATCTTGACTCCTCGGCCACGTATCGCATCCACAACTTTCTTGAGAGCTACATGAACATGGTCGTTATTCTGATAGTCGTAAGCTACGTTGCACATGGAGGCCCAGCAGGCGACTAAATCGGCCGGGAAACGTGCTTTACGCTCGGACAGATTGAACGCATTCAGCATTAGATGCAGCCGAGTACGGAATCGTTGTTCTGAAGTGCGCTCCTTGCCTGGTACGAGTTAGCGTAGCTGGGAGGATGGGGGAAATTCCTAGTACCTGCAAGACGAAGGCGGAGCTGATTGTGCATGCCCGTAAATGGAAATATATTGTCAACGAAAACCTCATTCCAATCAACTTCTTCTGAAGAACAGAATACATCTTCTTGTGGGAAAAGCCCCATGAGGTCCTCGACGAAGGCCGGAACATCCGCGACCTTCATGCGGCATTTCACTGCCGCTGATGCCATCGACTGGAATGTCTTGAGATGCATGGAAAGTCTGACCGCCGCGCGAATGACGCAAGTTTTCACGTTGGGGAGAAGTGCCATCGCACCCTCGTCAGACTGTCGGTTCTCGCATGCGACATCAACGTCCTTCGCCAGTGCCCATTCTTGAAACGTCCACGCACGTCGAAAATAGGTGCTGCTATGGACACCACGCTTGTGGTCTTCGAAGCTAGCGAGGAAGAATTCTACGACCGTTTGGTGAGAGGCATTGAACGTATCCCAGGTTATCTTCTCGAAGTCTAGTAAGCCCATGCCATCTTGCTCAAGAGCGGCGTTCATCATAACGCGGAGGTTGGTAAAACAATCCTGATCAGCAGCTGGAAGCAAGACCAGCACAGTCTCTGCGCGGTCGTAAATTTGCCCCATTGCAGCTATCTGGATTTGTTTATCCGAATGGCTATCCTGGTCGATTGACAGTGCATCCAACCACACTCCATCACAATCGTTCTTCGTTGCAGCAAGCGAAAGAAGAGTGCTGAATCGATCTGGGCCCGCCATTGGAATATCCTTTCGTTCACCGCATCTACAATAGATGCCGAGATTTTTCACCTCGCCCCAGACGTAGGACACTGCTTTGTATTTCACGTCGGTCGGTATTCCAGTCAAGATCGTTGCGGCGAACTCTCTTGTTCGGAAGACGAATCTTCCCGTGCATGCCCGGCACGCTTCAGCGAAGAAGCCAGCAAATGCCGAATCAGTCTGGGATAGGGGGCCAGCGATGCGTAGCGCGCGAGACTTCGAAGGGCTGATGGTAATCGGCTCCGACTTTCCATTCGACGTGTCCATCTTTCCCAGACACTCCCTCTGCCACACCGTCATAGGAGTACCTTCTGTCCGGTGGCGTTCTACGCGTCTGTACGCATTTTCCAATTCCCTACTAGTCTGCATCCTATATATTAGATATTGCGATGCTTTCGAGGGGTGGGAGGATTGTGCGCAAAGTTCGTCTATGGAGCTCCCGGAAGGGTTAATAAGATACGCTGCAGAAGGGGATCAGTCTCTGGAGCGACACTATCGCATAGTATGAAGACGAAGATGTATAGGCCTCAGAAGACTCACAGAAGTAATTTTCGCTCACGAAGTGTCTCCAGGAGGATATTAGAAGTAGTAACTGACCGTGGGGACTCCGCAAAGGAGCGAAAAGTTGAAGCGAACTCTCGGTCGATGCATTTCAGCCTTGCTGCTGCTGCCTAGCCTCAGAGAAATCCAGAACGATCGGTGGCCGATCGCTGCAAGCCACGTTTCAGTATGGGTTGAGTTTGTTTTTATTGTGGCGTAACCGAGGGACTGGCAAAACTCCAGCTCTTTCGTTATCCCATCTCTCAACGCCGATCGAGTCCGAGAACTGTGCCTTACAAGGTTATAAAAGAGCACCGAACTACGACGTGGGCTTAAGAGGGCATATTAGCCCCCGGTGACGCCCCCGGCCATCGACACAGTATTATAGGATAACCCTGGAAACAACAATGCGTGAAAGCAGCCCTTCGATAACAAAATACGCTACCTGGCGGCTGGTCGGGGACATTGAGGAAGATAATGATGGGCAACTCTTCGGGGAAACGCGGAACCAATCCGGATTTACGATAAACCCTCTAGCTCCGTGCCAAGCCACTAAACGCCGTCAGCAGCGACGTCGCGTTTGCACATTCATCTCGTCCATTCGGACGAATTATTGCTACCACCATCGAACGGGATAATGAAGATGTGGAGCTTCAGGATTCCGACCCCCCTAGGGCACCTCGCGCGATCTGCGGCCTGTCGGACCTGACTGCTTATCATTATCCGGGATCGCCACCCGGTGGAAAAGTCACTTCTCTTGCTCCTCAAAGCCGCATCATTACGTCCACAATGCTCAACACCTTCTCTGCGGAACCGGAAATATCGCCTCGGCAGTATGAGCTGGAAGACCCATCCATCGTCAAACCCCGACCGAAGCGACACCAAGTCGCGCGGGCCTGCGTCTGGTGTCGTACATACCGGATCAAGTGCGATGCTAGCTATCCGTGCCGTAATTGTAAGGCGAAGGGGCGTAGATGCTACGCTGAGAAAGGGAAGGACGACGTGCGAACTTTCTCACACGCCATGAAGTGGGTCCATCGCCCGCTGGTCCCTTGATACACAGCCCTTAACACACGCTCAGGGTGGTCGATCGTCTGAAAGATCGAGTAAAAGAACTCGAAGAGAAGCTACAGAGCTTGAGCCTGGAGGCCCTCCAAAATAAGCAGTCAGTAGACGAAGCACAACCGACACCGCCCTCTGCCTCTCTTCCTGTGAACCTTGACCCGTTGGCCGAGCATGGAGGGAACAAGAAGTATTACAACTGGGATTTCGTGTCTACGGGGACTACTCGCGCGACTCAGCAATGCTATGGCCCGTCCTCATCGTTCTACTTCATCGGCCAGATGACCACCTATCTGGATGCGGCGGATCATCAGCAGCATCAGGGTATGGGACGTTCTGATTGCTTCCGTGGATCCTTTTTGAGCTGTTCCGGCGACCTAGAGTGCATAGTATTCAAAGAGCGTTTCAGAGGCCAAGGCCAACCATTTGCGGAACACGACCTGTCTCGATCGCAGGAAGAGCTCTTTCTGAACTTGTACTGGCAAATCTACCATGACATCTATCCTATATTGAACAAGGAAGAATTCAACGCCCACTACGCCGCCCTATGGGACACGACAAAAGCCCTAAGGCAACCATCAGCGCTAGTCGACATCGTCCTCGCGCTATGCATGCAATGGGAAGCAGGTTCGAACATCGCCATCTTGTATCCTGAACGGTCTAGCACAGGAGACGCTACTATGGCAGGCCACTGGTTTCACCGTCGATGCCAGTACCTGCTCACGGACGAGCTGGAAGAGCCTTCAATCAGGACCTTCCAGTGCTACCTGCTCTCCGTGCTTTGGCTATCTACCGCTTCTTTGCACAACATGGCGCACAGTGTCTTGGCCGCAGGCATCCGAACTGGCATCATTCTCGGATTGCACATTGACCCACCTGACTCTTTGCCCACAGGTGAGCGCGAGTTCCGAAAGCGGCTTTGGTGGACGATGTACGTACTAGAGATGAAGTTTGCCATGGAGCTTGGACGACCCCTCGCCGTCAACTTTTCCCAGGTCACTTGCGGTCTACCCGGAGACTGCGAGCTAGTACCAGATCATGATGAACAAGCTTCTCGCCCGCCATCGTTCAACACTCAGTTCTTAAAGCTGTTTCTGTCGACTAGAGCGATTTACATCACGTTTTATTCCAAGTGCGGGGAGGTACTCGGAAAGTCTGGACATAAGACGCTATATCATGACCAGGAGAACCTGGAAATATGCGCAAAATTCCTCTCAAAGAAGATCAGCTACCTACAGGCCTGGCTGCAACAGGTCCCCGGGGCCCTTAGACCTAAGCGAAGAAACCGCGGACAGTCCTTCTCTACGGATCGCTCGGAGCTCGATATCTCATCGTCAGCCGATGACAAGATTGCCCGGCAAAGTCTATATCTTGAGCTGCTCTATCACGACCTATCCATGAGCTTGTACCGGCCCTTCATTGCCTTCTCCAAATCTACGAGGTTGGCGGGCTCGGAGACTGAGAAGCATGCCATTTCCAGCGTCAACCACGCTATCACCATTACCAGCATCATTCACCAAGTACTCAATGAGAAGAATTACCTCAATGGCTGGCACGAAACCTTCCGGTGGCAATGGAATGCGGCGCTCTCACTCATCGGGTTTATCTTGGCGTTCCCTGGGGGCCCAAATACCTCCAGCGCTCGGAAAGCATTAGGCACGGTACTCTCAACCTTTCAACTCCTATCCAAGAATATGCCAAGTGCTGCGAGAGCCGCGACTCTTATTCGGGATCTGGCTGCGAGAACCGATGTGCTCATCTCTAGCGCCGAAGCTTCCCTTCTTGGCAGCACGATGAGAATGCCATCCATAGCCTCATCGAGCGACCTCAGTACTCCAGAAATAGATGGGCTGGAATTCGGAGTCGACGTGCTAGTAGACCCAACCGTTATATCGAAATTGGGCGGGGATGAAAGGCAATTTCAGAACACCTTAGCCAGTTCTTCCGGCTTCGCGTTCACATCGGATTCCTTCAGCGGTCTCGGGGATATCGACATGGACGATGAGACGATGTTAGAGTTTCTGGACTTTGGCACGTTAGGCGATCTCTGAAAGCCACCTCGTCGAGCAAACCGTCCTGTAAGGCGAGGTGGCTTCCGGATCCGCTAGGTATCTCGCCGCTGATCACGGTTCGTCCCGAGCGAAGGAATGATTCACCGTAGCTCAATTTGTCTCTACTCTTTTGGAATGGCGACTTCCAAGACTATTGGCGACCGCTAGGCACTATTTCCCCGCACTATTCAGCCGGTCACGTGGACGCTGCTTCGGCTACGTACCTAGGCACCCCTTGGGCACCTTCTGCCTCCAGGGATAGGGTCATCGAGACCTGCCAATTTTTTTCTCCTTGTGTTGCTCTTCGTGCTTCTGATTGCTTTATGGATCATAACCTGGGTACGTTGTTCGCTACATCCCGGATCATAGCCACCTTGGCGTAGTGGAGTGACAACACGAAGTCGCGTGACCCCGCGCAGCATCGCTCATCCATTAATAGCTCTCCGCATGCACACGGCCTCTCGTTTAGCTATAGTGTGTCGATCACCCGCAAAACCCTTTCCCATTCAGGGTCTCACGATGTCAGATGCCTATACTCCATCGGGGTGTCCAAGGTAGTACCAAAACAGGAGCTCACGAGTCGTTATATTTCTCTCACGTATGAAAAACCCAGACAAAGACAGACTCTACTCCTAAGCGCGCCACAATATTACCCCTCTGTCTACACGAGCGCTGGCTGTTTTTCGCCGCATTGGAGAAGCTCTGGCGCTCGTGACGATATCATTCGCTCAACATGATTGGCATCTTCGCCCTCGGGAGGCTGGAGTCAATAGTCTGCCTGGGCATGTGCTATCTTTACTTCGGTGCCATCGACCATTGAGCTGAAAGGCCTTCTGGTCCTCCGGGCTCCCTCGGGATATCCTGATCGTGTTCTATCCCATCTAAGCATAAAACGACCCACCGCTCTTCCCACTTGATCTCAGAATCGTCTTCAAGATCGAAATCCATAAGATACCGAACAACACAACCATACGAAATATCAACCTCGACCGAACGCACCCTCAATCACATCAACCATGAAGCTGGGTCTCATTCTCGCTCTCGCGACTCTCGCGCTCGCCCATCCCCCACCACCTGCTCAGTGCCCGCAGTGCAAGCCGCTGCCTCCCGACAACCAGTGCCACATTACGACGTCGTGCACGTTCAACTGGGGCCATACGGGACCCGGTGCGGCGCCGTACTACTGCGCTTGCCGCCACGGCTACCGCGCAACCGGCTACGATCCGAAGGATACCAGCATTCAATGGCGTCTGCCGTGGTATGCGGGCCCGAATGGCCAGCCGAGCCAGGAGGGACGCGTCTTCGTCAAGCCTGGTGTGAATTGCGATACGCTTTGCGATAAGTGGTATGACGGTGCGAAGGGGTGCCAGGAGGTTCAGCTGAGGTCAAATTGTATGTAGGGGTTGAGAAGAGAGGGATGGGGTCGTGAGGAGGAATAATGGGGTTGGTTATTTGAAAGGAGACGTCGGATAGAGCAAATTTGGGGTTTCCGTCTCGTAACGCGAAAGATGGAGAAGGAGGTATGAGCGTTGGACTTGCCCAGAGTGGATAGCTGTCGCTCCTTCGGTTCATTCTTAGTTGGTTGATTCTTTACCGTATCTGGAAGCCTGGCTGGGGCATTTTGCTTCGAATGTTCGCACCTGGTATGTTTCAGGTTTCTTATGAGAAATACTTTGTAGTCAAAAGCTTGCTCAATTTCGATACTATCCCTTCACTGCAGCTCACTCATGCTCCCCGCGAAAGATATTAGGATGCACCGCTATCCCGAAGCGATGACCAAAGTGCGCTTCATCGCGCCGCTGCGTCTCGCCCATACAGCGCGCCCCACCACTCACTCTCGAACCCCGCCGTGACTTATTTGTTGACGGCACGGCGTTAGAAAGAGTGGTAGTCTCATCTACGTAAGTTAGCGATGCAGCTCCTTTCAGCCATAGGCCCTGGTTCGGCAAATTACAAGGAGATTAAGCCGCCTATCCCATTCAAGGAATGCCATCAACACCCAAATGCGGCAAATGCGCTTTAGGACGAAAGTGATTGCCGAAGGGAGAATGTACCCGTGCCCAGTATATTAGATGTTGCTGAGAGATATGCACCTTGCACCGGCGCAACTACCGACCTCGCACGTGACGGTGCGAGCATTCCGGGTCTACTTCTACGCCATGGGTATAGATAATGGGACTGATTTCAAATAAGTCGCCGTGGTATCGCGTCGTGCGGTTTACTTGGATGTGACTTACTTTTTTTTGTCACGACGTCTCTGGAGTTGCTCGTTCAAATCCCATAGAGTCCGCGACTCGTTCCACATCACAATGAAGTGGTTTCCTCTCCTCCTCCAAGCCGGGCTCGCTCAGGCCGCTATCCGCTTCGGTTGTTCAACAGTCTCTGTGCAACGCCTCGATCCGCTCGTTGAACCTGGCCGCATCCCCTCGTCGCACGTCCACCAGATCGTTGGTGGGGATGCTTTCAATGCGACGATGACGGGAGATATTGGCGAGAAGGGGAGTTGCACTACGTGTGCTTACACTGAGGGTTAGTGAGCTGTGCTTGGTTTTGGGAGTATGGATGGGTGTATGGGTTAAGAAGTACTAACGAGAAGTAGATTTTAGCAACTATTGGACGGCTGTGATGTACTTCAGGCATGAGAACGGGAGCTACAAGAGGGTACCGCAGTATCCAAATGCACAATTGGGGTACGAGGGGCAGAACGCGACGGATATCAAGGGCGGGATGACGATCTACTATACGCAGAAGGACTTTGATACGAATGGGGATCAGTACATCACTGCTTTTCAACCCGTAAGTCGCGCGTGTTCCTGTCGGATACACTGATAAGAAGTCAGCGTGGCTTTCTCAGCTGGTTAAGAAACATAGCTTCAACTAACTCGCGCCTAGGGCTTCCGCATGACAGTCGGCAGTCCCACCATTGACACGCTCGATGGCTCAAAACCCGGCCTCCGATACACCTGCCTCCAAACAATCCTAACCCGCGGCTTCGAGACCCCTGACTTCCCCGACAAGCCCTGCCCCGCGGGCATCATGGCGATCCACCACTTCCCCGCCTGCTGGGACGGCAAGAACCTCGACAGTCCGGACCACCAATCCCACATGTACAGCACCACCAAGGGCGGTTTCCGCGAAGCTGGGCCCTGCCCCGCCTCCCACCCTGTCCGCATGCCGCAGCTCGCGTACGAAACGATGTGGAATACTACGGCGTTCAAGGATATGTGGCCGAAGGATGGCTCGCAGCCGTTTCTGTGGAGTTATATGGATAGTAAGGGATACGGGACGCATGCAGATTACGTGTTTGGGTGGAAGGGGGACAGTTTGCAGAGGGCGATGAATGACAGTTGTATGTTCCATAAGTGTGGGAGTCCGGGGATGCAGGGTGTGCTGAAGACGCAGACGGTGGCGGAGATGAATAAGTGTGCGGTGCAGAATACGGTAGAAGAGAATACGGAGGGGTGGCTGGATGAGCTACCAGGGCAGAAGATGGGAATGGCCTTTAGGGCGTGAGGTTTGGGTGGTGGAGAGGGTGAGGACCTGGTGGGTAGAAAGTCCTGCGCCGCTGCGTAAGTGCTTGGATAGACGGGTAATGCTGTGTGTTTACAATTCGAAATCTAACACTCGTTCTTGACATTGGACACTATCTGGCCCTCGCGATGGTCGTCGACGCATATTCATTGGCTGGGTGGAGGAATGGTACTAGATCAAAGCTACGCCCGGATTAGTCCTGTGGCAAATGCGAGGTGCATATATAGAAAGTACTTGCACATAGTGATCGATCCCGGGTGCACTAGGATTCAATGTGGACCAGCCGCATACTCTTCCCAAGGCCGTACACTCGCTCGGAGTGCGCCGGCACGAAAACGCGTCCACGCGTGTTCGCACCGGGTTTGGAGCACCCGCCTATCGCATTAAGTCCAATTGCAGATAAGAGGACGTTATTGCCCGTGATACGCGTTGAATTGTGGCGAGGGCCATTTTGGTGGGATGCTGGCACGGATGGTAGGTAGTGTTGCAAAAGACCTCGGGAGCGATGAATTGATTACGTGCTCCGTGCGCGCAGCTCCTGCCACATAGGTAGAAAATTCCAGGGGTCAAAACGAAGCATCCTCAACCCACAACCTTCTACGATCCCACCATCAAGGCCGACGACACAGGCAGCTTCGAGAGCGTCGCGTTCACAAGAGAGCCTTCTTCGAAGAATCCTGCTTCGTGAGAGATGCAATGAGGATCCTTTGGGGTGGGCCGGGATTTTGAGTCACGTCCTTTCCGAGGATCACCTGTGGATGAGAGAAGAGACCCAAGATTAAGAAGAATCCTGAATATCTCCGAGTTCAATCTAAGCACTCGGCATCCAAAGTCACGTGAACAGGAACGTACCTAAGTATTTCGCGAAATCCCACGCAACGCGGAAGGCCCCCTGGACATCAAATCAAATCATCGACGGGTCTTCCCGTCTTTTCTACATCTCAGAGCGTTACACCGCAGGTCCATAACTACAGGCACAGACCTCAGCTTCTCTCGGGTCCTTCTGAGAAAGAGAGGCAAGTCTAGCCGAACAGCTCACCGGTCGCGTACCGTCACGGCACCCCACGACTTGCAAACACGAAAGGCTGCTTCAGCTACCCCGCGATTGGGGTGCTGTTTTACCTTCCGTTGCCTTATCGAAGGCGGTCTAGATCTTTGAATAGCAACGAATAGTATATCCGGGCCATGATACGTCGCTGCAGAGGGCGGTCCAGCTGTGCCACCGCCTACGATACGCGGGACTCGAATTCGGTTCCCCTCACCCAAGAACGCGGCGTCGCATCCTCCGGAAACAACACAGCATATCAGCACGCAAATGCCATCGGCATCCTGTCAAAATATCATCTGATGCGTAGCCTTCCGCATGCGGGTGCAGCTCGTGCATCAAAGCTGCACGGCTGCGCCCAGCTTGGAGGCTGACATGCGTTGGGCTACTCCGACGTGTCACCGACAAGGCATCCACGCGGCGTCACAACAGCGGTGACACCCCGGGGCTGTTACACCAAGCTTGATGACGGCCACGTTTCCGTTGGGATCCAACCCGGATACTGAATGCGATGTCCTGGATAGCGGCCGGGTAGCGACGCGCCGTTGGGGTGGTCATGGCATGGCAGGGCCGGGCACGCTAAACCAGCTAGCGCCTAACCCCAACTGGAAGGATCACCGTCTTACCTCACTCTCTCCTCCTTTCTACCGTTTACATAGCGCGCCCTTACTCTTCGTCCGCCGCGCACAATCGACACCCATCTGCGCTCTCCACACTCTGATCCCGCCTTCATCGGAGAGATGGCCGGTCTATCCACCGACGCACCATTGTCGCTCATCCCAACGCCCCACAAAGAGACTGGCAAGGTGAGACAGCGTCCAGGTTGACATTAGACTTCAGGCTGACGAATAACAGAGCGATGAATTCACCATGGATGCATCGCACATGGCCCTCGTCCATAACGTGATCATTCGCGGCTACAATAGCATCTATCAGCAGGCGCCACGCATCCATCAGCATGATGTGCGCGACTTCATTGGCTACTGCCTCGCATGGAATGACATGGTTCTCAACCACCACCACAGCGAGGAGACGATTCTATTTCCGCTGCTCGAGCAGGGAGCCGGTGTTCCAGGCCTAATGGACACCGACAAGGACGAGCATGGTACTGCCAGTCCCGTTCCATGCACCCCATAGGACGGGCTGCTAATCTAACGCAGAGGCCTTCTACGGAGGCATGGGCGAGTTTGCGAAATATCTCGACAAATGTCTGAAAGCGGACGACCCCTCGAAGGCCTTCGACGGAAAGCGTGTCGTCGCTCTCATGAACGCCTTCGGACCCGCTCTCCACTCACACCTCTCCAATGAGCCGCGACATCTCGCATCACTATCCAAGTACCCAAACATCGACACAGCCACGATCCGCGCCAAGACAGAGAAGGACACCATGGATCGCACCAGCCCGGTGTATCTCCTGCCGATGCTGTGGTTCAATCTGGATGCGGAGTTCGAGGACGGCCGCTGGGCAGACTTCCCCGGGCTATCGTGGCCGTTGAAATGGGTCATGGTGAATCTGTTCGGGTGGTGGAGAAGTAACTGGTGGCGCTTCGGAAGCGTCGGTCGGGATGGGAAGCGCGTGCAGCTCTTGGCGCTTCGAGAAGGCTACTAGAGGTGCGCTCGTGCAAAGAATGCCGGCAGCCTAGTTCTTACTTGCACCACTTATGGAACATCTTAGGATGGGTCCAATGACCTGTGCGAGTTTCTGTACGTTCTGAAGATAGAATACCCGTCAGAGATCGCCTTGATTCAGAGTGCGATACTGGTTCATCCTGCAAACCTGCTTCGCGCAATGATAGTCGCACGCATGTAAGGTCTTGGCCCATAGATCTGGACAAGCGCCGCTGGCTGCATGCCCCGCGCCCGGGCTGGGCTGAGGTGTGCTGAGCGCTAGCTAAGTTCAGCTGTATGTAAGACTAAGCTAAACGGAAATGGGGCATTTGCCGAACAGCGGCTTACTAGGCATACAAGAACAGCTGGTAGATCTTCCCGCATTCGGGTCAATAATCGTGTTCTCAACCCTGGGTTCGGTCACCGGCGCACTGTCACCGTGCTAGGAAATGCCTGCCAATTAGACAACTACTGTCGCTGATCGATCTCACACGCTACCAGCCTTCCAGAAACCGAGCCTCAAATCCGAACCCGTGTAGGGGTGCTAGGTCGCCCGGCGCACTGCCATTCGCACGCCTTTGCGTTGGGGATCCGCTTACCTCCCAGTATCGCCTGACATATACAGCTCCTCGTCCACTCGACTCGTCCTTCGAGCCTGTGTATCCCACACCCTTCACCTTACAGCTTCGTCAAGGGTACTTTGGTCGCACGACATGGATCTCCCCCCAAACGAGAATCGTGGGCCCGCAGCAATTGCTGTCTTCTGGACTCTTACCGGTATTGCGGGACTGTTTGTGGGGGGGCGATTCTATGCGCGATGGATTATTCGCGGGATAGGTGTTGATGACTGGATGATACTGTTTACTATGGTGAGTTGCGAGCCTCTCATTCACTAGAAAGACGGTTTTAGAGTTCCTAGTAGCTAACGCGAGGCCTTCTTAGCTACTCTTCGTAATCACCAGCAGCATGGTCACCAACATCGCGCGGCACGAGGGCTTCAGACACCTCATATACGTGCCGATAGAAAACGCGGTGCCCGTCGCGCGCAGTATGCTACTCGCCCAAGTGTTCAACATCTGCGCGTTCGGGACCAGCAAATTCGCCGTGGGGTACCAGCTCCTGCGCGTTCTGCAACGGACGTCCCACTGGCGCAAGGCTTTCATCTGGACGCTGATCACACTTACTCTGATCTATAATGTCATCGAGGCCGTGCTTACTATGTTTCAATGTACTCCTGCGAAGGCGGCTTGGGATCCTATGGTGAAGGGGAAGTGCTGGAGCATGAACACGAAACTTGCGAATATCTACGCAGGTGGAGGTATGTTTTGCGAGAATGGGATCTTCAACAGATCTTGCATACTAACAGTGTTTGCGACTAGTGTATAATGTCGTCACGGATGTTATTCTGGCAGTCATGCCGCTTCCTGTCGTATGGAAGCTCAACATCGGCAAGCAAGATCGAATTAGACTATGCTTGCTGCTGAGCCTCGGTCTTCTGTAAGCCTACCCCTATATCCCCTCCCGCAACCACCGTCTATCCAAGCATGCCTTTACTGACCGCAATCCTTTTAGCGCTGCAATCTGCGGCTCCATCAAACTCAGCTACGCCCACACCCTCCGTAACATCCAAGACCTCACCTGTGCGTTGTCCCCTTCTCTCCCCTCCATCCTCCCACCCATGCATGCATACTAATACCAGATCGCAGGGGGGACCTACGAACTCGACGTCTGGTCCGGCGCCGAGCTCTTCGTCATCGTTGTCTGCTGCAGCATCCCGCCGCTCAACGTCTTCTGGCAGCGCATCAAGCGCGGCAGCCTCTACTCGCGCGGCAGCGCCATTCTGTCTGGAAGCAGCCAGAACAGCAGCGGCGGCGGCAACCCAAAGTCGAAGCGGCACTCCGCGTATGTGCAGGTTACGGGGCCATCGAATGCGGAGAAGGCAACGGATGAGGAGGCCAAGGTCAGCATGGGATCGAGCAGTCGTTCTCGTTCTACTACTGAGAATAGCGCGTCTGAGTTGGAGAGGGGTAATTTGGGCAGGAGTTTGGGGAGGATTGAGGCGGTTACTGAGATTACGATTTCGAGCAAGCCGAGCAATGGGAGTATGAGATAGGTTGCTGCTTTTTTCGTGGTAATGGGGCGTATGGTGGACCTGGGAGGTTATTGTATGCAGCGTATTTGGATTATGATATTAATATATAATCGTTCGAGCTAGTGCCGAGAAATTCAGGCACTTGGTTCACACTCTACCCTTCTGGCTTCGTTAACTTGCCTACTATTGTACATGAAGCGGAAATGAGTTAAAAGACGTTCAAAGTTTCTACATTGGCGAGATATGAGCTAAAGGGCCACGGAATTTGACAGAAGCAGCTACGCCTAAGCCACTATGCACAACCTCTCCAGCCTAGCAAGTCCAAAACCCAAACCCACACATGCACCTCTCTATGCCCCTCAAACCACTCCTCACCTACGCCAACCGTACATCCATAACGCTCTCATAGCTGACCTCATTATACGGCCACGTCTTCACCAGCCGCATGCCCACATCCTCAATAATCTTCCTCCACATCTTCTCGCTCCTCTCCGTGCTCGCAAACGCGGCCATCATGGTCAGATCCATGGCCGCGGCATACGCATTCACCCCGCTCTCCGGCAGCACCATCTCGTCGATCAGCAGGACAGAATCCGAGCTCATCGCGGCCTTGACGTTCAGCAGCAGCTGGCGCACTTTGTGGTCTGGATGGTTGTGCAGCACGCCGCGGAGGAAGTAAAACTTTGCGCCTGTTCGCGACAAGGTTAGCGGTGGAAGGTGAAAGGGTGGGCAGGGGAGGAATGGAGGCTTACCAGTGATAGGCTGCGGCTCAAAGAAGTTGTGCACGCAATTCTCCACCCCCGGCGTATCCAACGCCTTGTCAATACTATGCGGCAAATCCTGCAACACCACCCTTCCCTTTACCCCCGGATATTTCTCCTTAAACTGCCTGCACTGGTGTCCAATCCCGCCGCCCATATTAACATACACCGCCTTGTCTTCCCCAGCATCCCAGCCCTCTACCTCTTTCTCCACGGGATACACACTCAGCCAGCTGAGCTTCGGCTCCCGCCGAAACGCCATGTAGTCGTTGAAATACTTGAGTTCCTCAGGATGGCTCGCAAACCAGGCGAACGCATGCTGGTCCGTGGAGTACGCCTGCTGGAAGGCGGTAGCGAGCTCGGCGGTGGGGTTTGCGTACTGAGTGCAGGCGAGAAAAGACGGGAGGGCTTGGTACTGGGGGCCGATGGTTTGGAAACAGTGCGAGATGCCGGCGAGGCTGACGGGCTCGGCGAGATTGCGGGTCGTTTTGTTCGCGGCGTAGTGGTGTGCGTCGATTTGACGGACGGCACTGATGGCGGCGAGGTAGCTGAGGTAGCGGCCTGTGGGGTGTTAGGAGTTTTAGGAACTTGAGCTCGCGCATTCTCTTTCAAACGTCTGCTCTGGATATACGAACTTAGGAATAACTCCTCCGCACCGGTCTTGCGCGCGATCTCATCAATGGCTACCTCGCCCTCTCGCTCGGCTAGGAAGCGAAACAGCCCAATGTCGAACCCAATCTTCACAGCGGCAGTTTGAAGATGCTATATACGTCTCAGCTTCAAATCGGAACACCCGAGAGTCATGTGATGGGTAGTATGAAAGGGATCTCGGGAGAAGCCGTAGCGTAACGTACCAAATATCCAAACCGATGAACGGTATCATTCGAATCCTCCAACTCGTACGCCAGCTCGTGCAAGCTCACTATCAACTTTCTCCTACCCTCCTCCCCCACCGTCGCGGCTAGCTTCTTAACCTGCTCAACCGACGCGTCCATATGTTCTACTTCAGTTTCGTTTTTCGAAAGTCGAAGTCGAAGTTGGAAAAGTGTCTTCAAAGTCGCAGTGAAAGCTCAAGCAGAGTATTTCCGCCCTGTGTAGCCTACTTACTCCTCGAGCGGGCCTGCTAGATCCAGAGGTAGAGGTATAGCGCCGGACTTTGTTTGGGGCTGAGATGGATGGTGGGGCACTACCGTCAGCTTCCAAGAGCAGCGAACAGCACAGCTTCAGCTCAGCGCTTACAGTGAGCACTATCGCTAAGTGGGCATCCCTCGTATATGCATGGGTGGGCGGAACGTGCAGTTAAGGCTGCAGATGCACCCCGGTCGTCGAGTCCGGTGTAAGCGATAGTCCTCACGTGTGAGATCGTTTCGGGAGAGCTATGCATTCCCTGCGCATACGCGCGCCAGTATCGCACCTCTCGTTCTTATCGAGCACTGATGAGCCAGTAAAATGATGCTTGAAAATCCGCATTAGGCGATACCGATAGGTAAGAAGGACATTCAGACGCCTCGCTCCTCCAACGCCCTGTTCAACACCCGCGCAAACCCGACGACATATTCCTTCCCAATCATAGTATAGTGCGCGCCTCCCACTTCGTGGAACCGAGGCTCCGTCCTACAGAAATGCTTCCACTTGCTGAGATGGTTCTCCAACCAGTCTTCTCGCGACTTCGCCGCGACTCTCAGCGGCCGGGCGTGGAAGACGTCGATCAGCCCTACACTGCCCGAGGGCTCATAGTCGACGGCTAGACTCTGCAAGCTAAACGCCAACTGCGCCCAGTTCGCCAACTTGCGCTCATCTAATCCGAGCTCTGCCATGCGCGCTTCGTCTGCTACTTCGAGCACGGTAGCCATTGCGGACTCTCGGGGTAGTTCTCTAAAACTGTCTTCAATGTCGTCAGCGAATTGCTCGGTGGTGAGGCCCAGGAAGTATGCAAGGTGAAGGAGACACATGTTCCAACTGAGCTGCCGCATGCGCTGCTTGATGTGCGGTGGGAGATTGAAGCTTCCGAGGAACTTCACTTCCTCGCCATCGGCTTCCAGTCGCTTGGCCAACTCGAAAGCAACCATAGATCCATAACTGTAGCCAGCTAGGGCATACGGACCCGTGGGCTGCTTTCGCCTGATTGCCTCGTAATAGGTGCCAATCATATCGGCGAGGTCCGTGAAGTGCGGTTCGCCGTCGAAGCCTCGCGCGCGGAGGGCATAGACTGGCCGATCGGATATTAGGTTCGCAAGACCGAGGAAGACCAAGACCTCCCCCACACCGGGATGCACAAGCCAGAGGGGAGCCTTGCTGCCATGGCTCCGCAGCGTCACCACGGGGTTGTAGCCCGATGCAATGTTCAGCTCGTCCAGGGCTTCGGAGAGAGTACGAGCGGTAGGGTTGTTCATGAGCGTGATCAGTGGGACATCCAGGCAAAGTCGAGTTTCGATGCGGCGCTTGAGGCTGATGAGTGCCATTGAGGTGATGCCCATTTCGAAGATAGACGTGAGAGGTCCCATGGTGCCCGACGGAATATCAAAAGCCTCTTCAAAGTCATCTAGAAGACGGCGTTCAGCTTCGGTAGCAGGCGTGGAGGTGCCGTTCAATATTGAAGGAGATATTAAACTCCTGTGGTGTTCTAGCTCGGATGCAAAGTGCCCATTTTCGAACATAGTTCGCAGTTTCGCTCGAGAAAGCTTCCCAAGAGTTGTCCTCGGAAGCTTAGTCTCGTCCACTACCGCGAAAACGACGGGCTGCGTGCCTGTGGCAGCGATGCTTACACTAGCGATAATATCCCTGATGTGGAGCGCGTCATCGGATATGAGCGGGCTCTTCATCGGAACATATACGACAGCAATCTGCTCAGTACTCGCCCCGGACGCTCGGACCGGGAACACCGTACCGCAAGAAACATGGCCAGCCAAAGCGTGCTCAAGTGATGTCTGCAGACCCGCTGGGCTGATCTTCACTCCGTTGATGTTCATCGTGTCGTCGGCTCTTCCGAGGAGGTTTAGGTTGCCTGCGGGATCGATGCTCGCTTTATCTCCGGTCCTGAACCATCCTCCGGGTCGAAAGGCCTGTGCGGTAGCTTTCTCATTGCGATAGTAGCCACGAAATACGACGTCTCCACGGACCTCGAGGCTGCCAGGCTCGTCGGGTGAAGCTAGTCTAACTCCGTCGTCCACCGTGGCAACCGTCACCCTCATTTCAATTCCTCTCATACACCTTCCAAGAGAGGCAAATGCCCGTTGGTGTTTTATGTCGTATTCCGGACAGTTGAGGCTGAAAATTGCTCCAGCGCATGTCTCCGTCATTCCGAAACCGGGAGTTATGACACTTGAAGGAGCGCCGTGCTCCGAAAAGAGGGTCGAAGCCGCGATGCATGTCTGTACATCATTTGCCTCGCCGCCAGATGCCATCACTCTCAAGTGGTGTAAATCCCAGCGTCCGGGATCATTATCCCCTTTCCGTGTCTGCGAGACCAGTTTGGCAAGGAAGAAGTTTGGTGCAAAGGAGCGAGTCACCTGGTGCCGACTGAGGAGATCGAGGAAGGTCAACGGCGAGGAGACGATATCGGCTGCGTGGACGTGGACCTGGTCAACGCCCAGGTGCATTGCTTGAAGGTGGATCTCGACAAGACTGGCCACATGATCAAGCCCAATCCAGTTCAAGAATGGCTTTTCCTCTGAGAGCTGCCTGACGGAAGCCTTTCCGGCGATGGCTGCGAGTATCTGTACATGATCGAGTTGGACGGCCTTTGCGTTCCCAGTGCTGCCTGAGGTTAACATCAACATCGCGAGTCCGGTGTTGGGCGTTGGCGGCGGGGTTTGGAGGTCCGGAGAAACTGGTGTCGAAAGCAAGGATTCCACTGTATACAGCCTCATGTTGTGATCGCAGTCGAACAGCTTCACAGCCTTGGCTCGCGTAATACATATTGGAGACTCTAGAAGCGAAGAGAGACCTTGGATGTGCTTCCTTCGATGGTCCTCTACATTGCTGAACGGTGAAGAAGGGACGGCGAGAGCGTTCGCGAGGAGTGTCGCCCAGAACCACAGAATGGTATCCCAGTGGTTGTCAAGATGCAGTAGTACTGGCGCTCCAGGTTTGAGGCCGGGCAAACGTAGAAGCACTTGACTGGCCCGGAGTGCTTGGGCGTACAAACTTTCGTAGCTTACCCTAATGGGAGTTGATGTGTTTCCAAGGGGGTAGACGATAAGGCTTCGTTGTGGATATGATACGGAGGCTTCGCGCAGGAGATCTTGAAGACTTGCTGGGGAGAGGAAAGAACCCATCTTCCCTAGTCTGAGGGGCGCACTTTGGTCGCGAGCGGAAGGTACCGGGAGCGGGATAGTGAAATAATAAAGCAAAACGAAGGGAACGAGAAGTTTTGCGTGGTAAAATTAGCGTTAAGGGACGACAGCCGTGTCAGGCGGTATAATTCTCGACGGTGCGCCAACGACGTAGAGCCTTTGCAATACCTCCCGCACTCCATTATCTCTTTCGACCCCCACAGCTGGATACCCTCCCTTAGCTGAGCTCTGCATCCTCGGACTCCTTAATTCGATACACCGTGTTGCCTTCTGATAGCCCATAGTCTAGCCAAGCGCCGGTGAACGCATGCTGACTGGCTGATAACGTCGACCTCGTATCCGCGCGATTATGCTGTGTGGCACAGCCCCTGCTGACAGCCGACCTGGTTTTGGGGTTGCACAGCGTTAAACGATATGTAGCCGAGACATGATGTCAGCCTATAGTATAAGCTTCCTTCGAGGTTTTCGCATCATCTTTTACTAATTGAGGTCACTTTACCGAGCCAGCTTTCGAAGCATAGCCTGGCGCGGGAACGGGCCGACGTCTGATTGTAGATTTTGACATGCAAGCTAGCATCCGGCATTGCCGTCACTGATGCTCCTGGTGGAACTTGCGTTGGCGCAATTGTTGCTCTTGATTTCTCAGCAGTGCTCTTTTGTCGTCCCAGCGTATACGTACCTCGAGCGAAAACTCGCGCGGCGCCTTCTACTGTTAGCAATGACCCTCAATCCGCGAATCGTTGAGCTAGCAGCCACAATAAGCGACTCTGTCGCGAAACTGCAACAGGTCCTTTCGCAAGAAGATGTCCCCTCTCCCTCATTCGCCGCTCCATACACCCCACTCCCATCGGGCGCGCTAACCCACCAAGACGCTGCATTGGACGCTGCGTCAGAGCTCTACGACCTCCTGCTCGATCCGCTCAGCCTGTTGTTCCAATATGGCGGCGTAAGCATCCATGAACTTCGTTGGCATTTCGGAGCTGATCCAGTGATAGCATAACAACATGGCTACCTTGCAGGCGATCAGTCGCCTCAATATTGCGAGTCTGGTCCCGCTCAACGGCTGTGTTTCGTATGAGGAGATCGCTCGGGCGGCGGGCATGAACGCGTCGGTGATTCAACGCTTGCTTCGACATGGAATGACGAGGCATATCTTCTGCGAACCTGAGCCGGGAATGGTGGGACACACGACTGCGTCTAGATTCCTGCTTGAACCGCATATGAGTGAGTGGATGAGTGTGGGTAGCGAGGAGATGTGGCCAGCCGCATGCAAGGTACTTTCTCGTTGCTTACCTGGTAACCAAAGTTAACAGGCGGCCGTAGATGGTAGATGCCTTCCAAAAGTGGCCGGACTCTCAGGAACCAAATGAAACGGTGAGAAGCTCGTCGGACTATGCACTTGTAGATTGTTCGCGGCTGATGAAACAAGGCATACGCTCTTGCGAATGGAACCACCGAATCAGCATACCAGATTATCGGAAAAGACCCCGTTCGCGCGAGTCGGTTCGCTGGCGCTATGAATGCGTACACTTCTGGACCTGGATTTGATGTGTCACACATACTCGACCATTACGACTGGGCTTCGCTCGGTTCAGCGCAGGTTGTAGACATCGGTGGCGCAAGAGGACATGTAGCCATGGCGCTAGCCGAGCGTTTCGAGGGCCTCAGTATTGTCGTGCAGGATATGGAAAAAGTGGTAGAGGGTGCTGACGAACAGGTTCCTGCAACGCTCAAGGACCGCGTAAGTTTCGCCGCGCATGACCTTTTTGCTCCGCAGGACTTGAAAGCGAATGTGTTCTACCTGCGATGGATCTTGCATAATTGGTCCGATAAATATTGCGTTCGCATCCTTAGGTCGCTGATTCCAGCACTGCGGCCTGATACCAGGATTCTTATCCAAGACGGTATCATGCCGGAGCCGGGTACTGTGGCAAGATGGAAAGAGAAAGACTTGAGGTAAGCGGTCAGAAGGCGTTCCCGGCAGAAGGGTGCTGACGAGCGCGAAAATTAGGTCAGCCGACCTGAATATGGCTGCGATCTTCAATGCTCGTGAGAGGTCCATGGCGGAGTGGAGATCGTTGCTCAGAGAAGCAGATGATCGTTTTGAGTTGAGAGACGTAGTTCTCCCTCCCGGCTCAGCTCTGGCAAACATTGATGTGCGCTGGAATGACGGGCGCGATCAGGAGACGGTTGTGAAGGCTCATTAGAGCCACGGCAGGCAACGTGCGCCGATGAAGGGTGGCAATGTCCCTAGCTAGTATCGTGCCTGCACAACGGTGCTTCGTCTGAAACCTTTGGAAGAAACACACTTGTGCCCGCGCATAATTGACAAATGGTGATTTGTGCAAGTACCTCGGGTCAGAATGGACTGAACCGAACAAAACTCCTCACCTACAGCTACTTTTCTGCTTCATCCGCATTCACGACCTTCATCCATGCAGGCCTATCCTCTTCAAAAACAGAATGCCCTGGCTCGGGCAATTGATCGAACAACCCAGCCTTCAGGATGATCTTTGGAAAGCCAGGGACCAGCGATGCCACAGGGCTACGTCCGTAAGTACAATGTCCGCACTCTCAGCATACAAGTGACTAACCTTCCACAGTTGCCGCAGAACTGCCGCGTGATGGCATTTCCGCTCTTGGTGTTTGCATCCGTGTAATTCTTCAACGCGCCGCTGGGATCCTGGATGTCGACTTCCGAATGGTCGAGCATGAAGACGATGGAGCACATGCTGGAACCCGCTCGTTTGCAGTTGGAGCTGGACGCGTGAGTCGTCTGCATAGCAACGTAATCAGATAGCCATACCAGTAGCAGATGCCGGACTTCACAGGCAGTGCCGGGATTGAGACCTTGATGCTGTTGCAGTTGCAGTGTCCTTCGGCCACCATGATGACTCGGCTGCGAGCGATGAGCGTTGGCGTACTAAGACTCGTGGAGGCTTCGTCAGACTGGTCTGGACGGAAATGAGCGCACCGAGAGCTGTGGTATGTATCGAGGCGCTAGACGAGCGGTCTGTTGCGAACCTAAGCTTTGGTTGAGGTCGGATCGGGATGGAGGAAGAGTTAGATTACGAGGATTCTGGCGCGGAAGGAATAAGGAAGGCGCAACCTCGGTCGCTCTCATAATCCTCGGCATTTGAGCAACTCCAAACTGTGGATTACCAACTCTCCGCGTGTCTGAGTGGTGGCCTTAACGACTCCACACCTTCTCCGGGAATGGTGCGGGACGACTTTTTATCTCCATATCTCCGAAGACTGACAAACGAAGCAACACGTCAGAGCCAGGCACTCCAGGCCTGATGGTCCGCATTTTGACGACCGAGGAGAGAAACATCGCAAGATTCCCTAGGTAGACTGGATGGAAGACGAGAGAAAGGGGGAGCCTTAAGTAGGGCGAGGTTAGTGTAGGCTTGTCTGGATCGGGCCTAGCGCGCCACGCGGGTACTCTGCGGGGAAAATCGCGTCCTCTTTCCACGTGGGCAGAACAACCACAACACAACTGCGCCGACGTGACGTATTGCCTCGAATCTCCTGCGCATATTAAAGCCGTATTGGATCTCTTCACCTTCTCCATACCTCCTCTTCCGCGAAAGCGATCTGAACGGTACTCTGAAGGACCCAAATCTCTGTCGCACGACACTTTCCACAATAACTCCACAATGGTAACCACCATCTCTCCCCTCCTGTCTCTCCCCCTAACACACCCATAGACGCGCGACTCCACATTCACGCACCTCCACCTCCACCATTCCCACCACGCCGACCACCTCGAAGACTTTACCAACCGCACCTCCTCGACCCTCGCGCCCGAAGAAATATACATCCCTCCGCACCTGCAGCCCCTCAACCCCGAAGACGAAGACGACGTCGTGCCCGACCAGCACGCCGCCTTCGGCATACAGCGCGCGACGCAGGGCAAGCGCGAGATCAGCTGGCGGGATCTCGGGCTGGAGGAGCTGGTGCGCAGGGCGCCGGGGGAGCGGATGGGCGAGTTGGACACGACGGGCGCGAGAGAAGGGACGGGCGTGGGTGGGCATGTGGCGAGGACGGCGGGGCGGGAGGAGCCGGTGCGGTTGGCCCTGCGGAGGAGGCCCGGCGCTGCTGCTGGGGGTGCGGGCGCGGGGATGGCGAGCGCGGCCGGTCAGACACATGGCGGGGGTGGGGGCGCTGGGAATGGGCTGCCGCGGTGAAGGGTCGCCCGAGGAGAGTAAGCATTAATGATATTGGGATTGCAGTGAGGGTGGATAGGACTGCACGTCCCGCCCGTCCAACTAAGGGCGCTATTGCCACATAGAAGATCCCCAGGGTAGACCAATCAGTCTAATGATGAGAGCAAAGTGTGTGGCGGCAGAGGAGAACATGGGAGAGTCGACGACACGGTCTGGCTTCGAGAAGTCCAGTCTAGCGCTATGAAGATTACATTCCAGTGCTACGAAGGGTTCAGTCTAGTTGCTACAGAGAGTCCAATCTGGCGTCACGATCGACTTGGAAACACACAGGAGAGGCAAGCCACATGAAAAGAAGCATAAAGAAACAAATGACAATCTCACACCATCTCCGCCATGAACTCCACGCTACAACAGATACCCGAACCGATTCCCGGACCACGAGACGAGAGCCCGATGTCTGCTCCATGTCCTGTTAAACGTAAGCCGCCATCACCAGTAAGCGCAAACAAAAGTCGACATACCAGCTCCACTCCCCACAGCCACTGTCCCGTAAAAGCACCGGCCTACCACTAGTACCCCGCCGGATACCCACACCGACCAATCTTCTTCCCCTTCTCGCACTCCTTCCACCGGCGTCTATACCCACTGCAGCCACCATCGTCGACATAATGGTTCACATAGCTCATGTCAGGCCTCTTATAGTTCGTGCCCCTGTGGAAGTCATCCGCATTCGCGGCCCAGAGCTTACACGTATTATCGTCGAGCCAGCGGTCGTCACGGTGCTGGTTCTCCTCATAGAACCTGATGTACAAGTTGCACGCGCGCAAGTTGTGCGCATAGTTGCCTTTGTTCTTCTCCTGCTGATGGGAGCCGCCACCGGGCGGCGCGACGGCGCGATGCTTAACCTTGCACATGTTGACGAGGTAGGCGGCGGGCGCTTGCTGTGCCGGCGCCATGAGCGGGCCGTGCAGGCAGTTGTATAGCATGGCATACTCGTGCTTCTTCTGGCGGCCCTGCCAGTTGGACGCGCTCCAGAAGAGCTCGGACTCGTTGCCGTACCTGTTGCCGCAGGTGCAGGCGAAGGAGCCCTGGTCCTTGACGTAGTTGCTGGTCGGCGAGACGCTGTGGTAGTCGCTCATGCAGATGGGGATCACGGGCGAGTTGTCCTTGAGATGGTGCGCGAACGGGTCCAGGTTGAAGGAGCCTGGGAGGTACACCTCGGGTCGGCGGTGCACGTAGGCGTCATACGAGTTCCGCACGATTGCTGTCTCGGTGAGGTTCCAGGGCGCACGCTCGGCGTCTAGGTTGTGCTTGCTGGAGTCCAGGCCGTAGAGGCCGTCGAAGCGCTGCTCGGTTACGTCGTAGCAGCCTGCGCGGCAGACTACGTCGCCGAATTCGTGGACTGCGGTTCCCCAGCCGCGACTGTGATGACCGCCCCCCGGACCATTCCGAGTGCATTTGTTGAAGCAGTTTTCGTCCGCATACGCCTTCGACACCAGGCTGTCCTTGAGACCCTCAAACACCTCCCTGCCGTAGAAGTCCTGGTTGGGCTCGAGGCGGAACACGTTAACCAACGCTGAATACGAGTGGAAGCGGTTCGCCAGGTGTCCCACAAACGGAGCGGTAGCGCCTGCGACCCAGCCGTTCACATTGTCCATATCCGAGACGGACCGCGCGAGCCTGGCATCGATAGTGTCGCACACTTCGCGGAGAATTTCGTGGCAGGCCTCGCGATTCATTGTCCGGTCGCCCGTGTACTCATCGATGCCGCACGCTTGGTTCTTGATGTCGTTGCGGAAGTACTCCTTGCTCATCGAGACCGTGTATAGATCGTTTTGTTGATCGACCGACCAGCCGCTGGAACGTCTCCGGTCCTGATGGGGAGCCGCAAGGCCGAGGGCTCCCAGCGCCTTCACATTGCCCAGGATCTCATGTTGCACTGCGGCGTGAGAGTTGACTTGTTGGCATGTACTGCGCTTCTGGTGTCTCTTGCCCTGCGAGACTTTTGAATTAGGGCGAGGTGCGTTTCCGGCCTGCCAGCGCAGCTCTGGGACTTCCTTGTTCATAGCTCCTTTTGAATCAACGCCGGCAAAGGACGCCCCGCTAAGGATATCCTGCCACGGGAGGTTCTCAATATGGGGCTTGATGTGGAAGTTGACAGCAGTAGGTTTCGATGGCAAGGTGACATTCCTGTCGCGAAATTGAGCATCCGACTTGCACAGGTTTCTGTAGTCCTCCTGGATGGCCAGTCCATTGCGCTTGAGAAAGTCCATCGCCTCCGCGAAGTTCATTGTTTGACCGTTCTTCTTCCGCAGCCGTACAGAGATTCGTGAGCCGAGGTCCCAGAACGGGCTCAGCTTTGCGTTAGGCGAGCGGTCGTTCCCATTGAGGGGATAGAGAGAGAACAAAGCAGAGGTCCTGACCGCCATCTGGCCCGGGGTTGACGTTGCTCCAGTTCTTCTTATCCCCAGTACGGCTTCCGAAGAGCTAGTCGCAAACAATGTGGTGTCGCGGATGGTGATTTGATTGTAAAGGCTTGAGCCATCCGCTGACGCGCGAGCCAGGTCCTTGGTTGGAAACCATTCCGTCTGCAAGAAGGTGCCGCTAGGTGTTTTGAGCGACCTCCCGCGGCAGCCAACGCAGCCATGCCTGCTGTTAGTCCCCCTCCTGCCACGGAGCCGGAAATGTACGGAGTGTACAAATGCGTTATTACGGATTTTAAAGCTTCCCACGCGCTTTTGACCGTACAACTCATTTGGCGCTAGATACTCCAGTCAACCTTCGTCGTGTGCGGTGGCAGAGAAGGCGATTTGAATTGCGGATTCAGTCTTGCGTTGTATCTCACCTGGGGCGGGCGTGCGTACATTCTCATAGGGGGGTTGGCATAGCGATCGGGATTGCTGCTAAGTCTAGGAGGGCGTAATCGCGACGGGCGGAGGCTTTGGGATAATTTGGATGCTGCTTCGGATGCCGCTTTGGAGCCAAATTCGGCCGCTTCGACAATGGGATCGAGATCGCCCTCGAGGTTCTCGAAAATCCCGCCGTAGTAGACGGTCCGCCCTATGCCATCGAGCTGCAGTTTGGTGCCGACTTGTGTGGCCATGTTAGCCCCCAATTCGCTGGAGATCTCACCTGTGACTTCGCTCGCTACTTCAACTGCCGTCCCAGCAAGGGTCTCAGGGGCAACGTCTGCGGCGACATTGCCCACTAGAACGCTCGTCACATCCTCGACGATTGACTCAGTAGCAATTTCAGCAGCGGCAGCACCGGCCTCGATGCCTGCCTCTACACCGGCTTCAACGCCAGCTTCGACACCGGCTTCAACAGCGGCTTCAACACCAGCCTCGACGGCAGCCTCGATAGCCACTTCACCCAGGAGCTCGGCACTAAAAACAAGTGTCCAGGCTGCTTCACCTAGTGTAATGACTGTAGCGATGGCGGCAAGGATGGCCAGAATGATAGCAACGATCTGTTGGGCGCAAAGATGCTGCTTGTGGTGGGTAGCCTCGTGGAAGAATACTCGAGAGAATTCGTCGCATTTCCTAGACGCAAGAGCACAGTTAGACCACATTCGACATAGCTAGAGTGGGGGTAGACAAGGTTCTTACCCATCCAATCTGTCCTTAGCGGTGCGCACGATCTTGCGAGTAACGTCCGTTCGAGCATAGGTCGCTCGGGCAATTTCCAGCGCCATGGCGACGTTGCGTGCTTTAAGACGCTCGTTCGGAAACTGCTCACGGATGTACCCGGGCGACGGCATGTTTACGCATCCTCCATCGGCGTTCGAGCAGCGCATGCCTTTCCAGCCAAGGACGTCCTCTGCGAAGAGGGTCGGTATCGTCAAGCGAGGTTGGGATTTCTTAGCTTGAAGGAAACGTGCGTGCGTGTGGATGTCGCGCGACCAGTCATCAAGGAAGCCGATTAAATCCGACTCGTAGAAATGGCGCTCTGTTGGGTGGTGGAACAAGTCTTGGGCGATGCCGCGGACGATGGTGTGTTCGTGGCTAGTGAGAGGTGAACAAGTTAGCATAGCGTAGCAAGAACACGGTAAAGATGCTCTGGCCTTTGTATTTCTGATCCGGAGGTCCTTCGAAGAGCAACCCCTCCTCAGATACCAAACTACAATAGTATCGGCAAGACACAGGGCCGTGATAAAGCAAGAAGGGAAACAACATGAATACGTACGCGGCAGTGGTATTTCCTTTAGCATCGAATCCATCCTTGGGTAGAGTTACCATGGGAATCGTGTCGATACCAGCGTCGGCGTCAATATCCCAGTCCTACGGCCAGCTCCTCCTTCCTTTAGAACGACCACGGATCCAGTACGCAAAATCCCCTGGATTGGCAATGGCTTCCTGGGCAAAAGTGAAATAGGTGAAAACCTGGAGAAAGAGCAGAAGGTTGAACAGCTTGGTGGAGCGGATCCGACTAGGCATGGGGAGGGATGCCATCTTAGACATACAAGACTCGAGTGCAAGAAACTGTAAGGACGGGTGAAGATGGAAGTGGAAGAGATGGTGCGGGAAGGAGAATTTATAGCGACTAAACGTCTCTTCTCAATTCGCCTCTGTGCACGTTGGGGATCCTACTTAGGTATGAGATGTTCTCGCGCGGGATATGATGCGCGCAAGGCTTCGGTTCCACAGTTGAAGAAATGCTAGCGCATTCTACGTGCGCCATCCACATTATTCCATGGTACACTAGGCGAGAATTTTCTGCTGGTACTACCGCGCAGCCTGGGTGCACAACCGGTATTTGCTGAGATTCCGTCCACCCGCCACGACCTACATGCTCTCCCGCCAGAGCCGGCCTCTTACGGTAGCAAGTTCTCCGGATTAGGGGGCTTGGCACAGTTAACTATACGTGCGGTGGTATGCACATGCGAAGGCCTCCCAAGATAGCTGACGTGCGTTATTCTATCTAGAGATTTCTACACTGTAAGAGAATTTCCCCTGCCCCTCTCTCCCACCCTTTCCACCGCTCTCTCCGCCGCCTCCTACGCCACCCTCTGCGCTAGCCTTCTCTCGGCCTCTCGCCCGGCACTGGATTTGTTAGGTCAGCTTCTTGATGCCCCCCTAGTATAGGAGGGACCTTTGCCGTAGTTGTAGGCACTATCATGCCTCGTACGTTATTGCCTTAAGGCATTCAAGTTACCTGCTCCAGTAAAACATAAGGCTCTCCAAAACCGTACCAGGGTCCTCATGTTCCAGTCTATCCAGTTCAGGTCTTTCCTTCAAGAATGCTACCGCCTCTTCCTTCAGTCGTCTTCCTTCTGATTCTCCTTCTGCGCCCTTCTTTTCAATAAGTGTCCCCAAGCTCCATTTGCCACGTGCAATGAATAAGCCTGCCATCGGATTGCGAGCCTGAGTATGGCCTTCCCAAATCTTCAAGTATTGGCGGAAACATTTTCTGTGCTGAGTTAGCCGTTAATCCTCCGAGGCCCGTTAAGAGTTATCATGGGGCTTACTCCGCTTCCTTTGTGTCGCCGTCCGAGTATTCTGAAATCGCGAAAAGAGATCCCATTTTGTGCCAGGAGTCTGCCGTCACCGGATGCTTCTGCCCGAGGTGGCTCGCATATGCCTTCAGGACATTTTGATGAAGCTCCACAGCCTCATGCCACCGCCTCTTCTTTATCATCCAGTTTCCAAGCGTGTAATCCGCTGCCTCCGGTGCTGTATTAGGTGCCTTGCGGGCTTCATCGAGCACCTTCTTCGCCTCGTCTAGTTTACCACTCCAGAGATAGCAACCCCCAAGATTCTGCAGTAGGTTCCCCATGCTGCATTCCCGTTCCATCTTGAGGCGTTTGCAGCAGGCAATGGCCTCGAGGTGGAACCCTTCCCCTTCGTCGAAGCACTCTACAGCCGCGTGAGTGATTCCGAGGTTGGAAAGGATTCTGATATAGAGAGGAGTTTTGAGTAGGCTTGGGTTGCTCTTGGCTGCTCTCTCAATATGCTCACGGGATTGGACAATTTCGGCCACCGCTTGTCTTGGACGACTCGTTTCGCAGCACAGGCGGCAGTGCACAAAGTACAGAAGAGCAAGGATCTCATGATCAGGGTTGGACATATGTTGGAGTAGTTCCTGTGCATTCTCGAATGCCTCGTCACCAAGGGCGAACTGCGATGACTCAAAACCGTAGCTGTAGCAGTAGATTAGCGAACGATGAGCGCACAAAGAGGGAAGAGTGCTCACTTCAGGACTTTCACCATGAGTTTGAGAAGGATGACTGCCTCTTTCTCCGTAACTGCATGCTTGCACCGATGGTATACACTTTGCACATGGCTCAGTATCCTCTCTATTGGCTTCCAGTGGCTTGGGCTACGGATATGCTCGAGATCGATTTCAGGCGAAAACTTGTGTATCAGGCTGACCGCGAAATGCAGGATGTTTTGAAGCCTCATTCCATCCTTCTTCAACTTCCGAAAAGTGGTCTCCTGAAATAGGCGATGGATGCTGAGGCTACCGCTAGCTTGATCATGGTCCACGAGAGATTGGTTGGCTAGATCCTCTTGTGCATCTAATACACGAAGTGGGTCCTTGAGAAATTCGCCATGCGGATGTTCGATGTCTGCCACTTCAAATATCTCCATGGGGACTGAGTCTGGATCAAGAAGGGAGAGTGTATCCAAGATAGTCCGTGCATCGTCAGACAAGGCGCTTGACGACATGGTCCAGACATCCGCCACCGTTTTGTCGTACTCGGCAATCTGGTAACCGTCAATCTCCTCAAATCGGGACTGATATAGCCGCTTGAACTGCGATGGAGAACATTTCTTGTGGACCATGAATGAGCCTGCTTGGCGCAGAGCCAAAGGAAGACCGCCGAAGTATCGAGACAATGACTCAATCGCGTCGCAGTCATCAGTGGTCAATGGATGCCTATCCTTCAGTATAGAAATCAGAAACTCCGTTCCTGTATCTTCGCTAAACGCTTTGAGATGAATGCCATGCTGTGCCAAATTGACTTCTTGCGCGGTAGGGTTCCGGCTGGTGATGATGATGGAGCCGTGGATGGACGAAGGCCAGAACGAGGGTAGGAAGGAGGGATCGTCGGCATTGTCGAAGACAATGAGGAACGGCTTCTCTAATTTAAGGTAAGGTATGAACGCCCACAAGCTTTCTCGTCGATACTCACCAAGGTGATTGATCCAGTGAAGGGCTGCGTCGCGCGCTTCAGCTTCATTGGTTTTAACGCCTAGCTTTCGGGCGAGCTGAATAAATTGCGTCTCCAGCTTTGCCGCTGTGTCCGAGTGGAACCATAGCATGACAGCATACTCTCCAGTCTCGAAATGTCGATACATATACTCCTTCGCGATGGAAGACTTCCCACAACCACCAAATCCATGTATGACAACGCCGGTCGTTCGAGGAGGATTGCCGAAGGCACCAGCACGAAAAAGCGAGGTAAGCTCATCCATGCATTCTTCTCGCCCGAAGAAGGAATTGTTTCGGGGGCAGTTCTGGACGAATCGGAACGGAAATATGTTAGAAGAACTGTTTGGTAGCGCCGCAGTGTCCTTGAGAATCGTGAGGATACTGTCGCCTCGCTTCTGCGCCGCCTCTAAACCTGCCGTCTGAATTTGCCATTTAAGGTCCTTAGTCTGGTGCTTGATTTTTGCCTCGCATGTGGAGAATCGGCTCTCGAGGCCCGGAGAGACTAGGATCTTGATCGAGTTCACTTCAAGTAAAGCTGGTTAGCTGTGAGACTTTTCATCACGCTTACGGAACGAACTGCTGAGGCACTCACCACATGGCCACCTTCGAAAGAAGAGAATCGACTCAACAATGAAAAAGAGATATTCCGAGCAAGTCTTTTCAATGCACTCCGCAAGTTCCGTGTAGTCAGAGGCAGGGAATAGTTTCAACCAGCGGTCGAATAGAGGGAGGTAGCCGCAAAGTGCTTCTAGTTGGTCCAATATCTTTTCATGCATAAAAATGGTGCGTGTTGTGACCTGTGCGTTAGGTTAGTGACACCTTATAAGGAGGAATCCATATCTAATGAATATGTAGGTAATCCAAATTTGCAGAGTCGTTCAGCTTACCGCGAGCAGGACCCGGATCCCTCCCCAAATTGCGCCGGCAGCGAACGGCCCGCCACTCCCTATTGCCACATCTACAGCTTTACCAAACGATAGTATATGCCCGGCGATCAGGTTGATGCGGTCGATGAATCGTTGAAATAGAGCTTTCTTGTATTTCTTCTGGAGCGGTTCGAAAATCTTCCGTAGTGTTTCCTTATCCAGGGTAATATCAAGGGGTAATGGGTTGCAGAAAACCTTGTCGGCTGGCTTTAATCTGGCCAGATGAGTGCTGAGCACACTGTGCCAAATGGATGTGAGTCCGCTTGCCCGTGGGACGGTTGACTGGCTGATTACGGCGTTGGTAGCTTTGGAAACCTCGGTTGCCGGCTTTTTCAACCGGGTAGCTTTGGGGCCGTTCCGCGAGGCTATTGTAGAAGGGGTGTTCACCAGAGTGAGAGCATCACTCTCACAAGATGGTGTCCGACATATCATGATGGAGAACAACTTTAGAAGGGAATGAAGTTCCGATCGCTGGCGCAGCATACCTGCGCAAGCTACCTAGGTATAACAGAACGAATTTCCCACGGCTGCATATGCCCAGAAAGCTGTGAAAAGGGGGCTGCCAATGGATCTATCATAACGAAGCAGTGTGCATGGATATTGGTCGTCTCTGACAGATATAATCACGCCCTTCCCAGCCAGAGATCACAGCAGGAGCGTACGTATTTCTATTGGAAAGCCCTGTTCTGGCATATCAGGATTTTAGAGTGTCACACTGGGTGGGTGGCGTTACGGAGAATGAAAACCAAAAGACGGGCACGGGAGATAGCAAGCGGAGTCCGACAAAGAGACCGATAGAGAATGGTATGGCTGCCAACTACTATCCTTGTAAGTGAGACGGCTTCACAGCATGAAGCGCCGTGGTATGTGTGCCAGGTGACGGGCAGCATCCGGTTACCCGACCAGGTGGCAAAGGTCCCATGTTGTAAATAGTGCGTTTTGGGTCGCTCACAGAAGCGACACCGTGCTTATTCGTGTCCCCATTCCGTCGCACACAGGTGTGCAATGAAGTGTTACGTAAACTTATCGTATATATGGGTATTACCGACTTGCATACAAAAGTGAACACTGTTAGTGGACGGATAAAGCGATCTGCAGAGGCGTCAGTGGGGGAGAGTGCCAATCTGCAAGGGAGGGTAGGCTGGGTGGGTAAAAGACCTGATAGGATGCCCTCTGTTCCACTCGCTGCGCATAAGTGCTCAGCTCCCCCAACGCCGTACCGCGCAACTCAGAAGACCGTCCCAAATCGCTTTCGCACCCAAAGCCTGACCACGACGAGCACTCCCCCCAGAATGGCCATTACGCAAATTCGTGCCACTACGGCTATTGCGAAGTACACGCCCTCGCCATTTCCGGTCCCGACTTCATCACAGCAGCCTGCTGATACTTCATAGGTCGCAAGCCAGAGCCGTTAGCAACGTTGCACAGTCGAAGGGTCAGCCATGGAGGGCGTTTTGGCCCCCCAAGGCTGAAAATTACAGCGCAGCAGAACGTGCAAGCATGCCTTGGCTCACATGGAAATACAATCCGAAGAAACCAACCGATCGACCGTGGAGGGATTGGATGTTGGAGAACCAAAAGACTGTTGCCAGACGCGGCGGGCTTTAACGTGCAGATGGGTAGGTCTGCGACGCCAGGTTCTGTGGCGTCTCTGTGCGAAGTTCATCAGGGTTTCTACCAAGCTAGCTGCCTCTCGTTTCCTCTCTGAATGGAAAGCTGTTTACATTATCATATTACAAATAAGCGGTGACCTGTGTGTCTATGAAAGAAGGCTCAAAATCCAATCGTTTCATACCCATCTCGCCACTTCCATCCAAATATTACTATAGTAAAGACTTGAATGGCGATGATATCATCTCAATACCTAGCCCAGAGATATTCACCGAAGGAGGAAGACCGAAAAGTAATTCACTCATGACTCTACCACTTCCCAGCGAGAGTGTCATGCCGTCACTATGATGTCCCGTGTTTACGAAAATGCCACCGATGGTGGACGGGCATGAAAGCGCGGGGCGCTCTGAGGGGCTACCCGGGTGTTTGAGTTGAGTAGTTATCATAGTTGAGCTATGAATGCCCAGAAGACTCCAATCAACCTTCGTAATGATTGGGTGATTTGGAATAGCCAAAGGTCGATAACAGCGCCCAGGCTCCAGAATTTCCAGCTCTTGATCTGAAGGGACCTTGGTGTACTGCTTCACCAAGTTCACCATCGCGTTTATCTCGCGAGGTTGCGCCTCAACGGCGTCGGCAGAATCAGGGAGTTCTTTTGGAACAGCGCCGTATCCGCCGATGTATAGAGTACCACCAGGAAAGCTAGTGATGTCGAGCCCCTTGCCGGTTTGGATAATATTGTTAAGAAAAACTTGCTCACTGCCCTTTTTATCATCGTCTGGATGCCAGCCCGGAGTCCGAATTCGAAAATGGTTGCCCGCTGAGCCCGTAGCGTTCATTGGCAACTTTATCTTTGCACCTGGAAAGAGCCTGGAGAAGACTCTGACTGACCAGGGCCCGGCAGCAATGACGATGCTCCTGCAACGTATATTCCAACGGGTGCCCACTGGACCTTGTACGCTGAGAGTCGAGAAGCGTGGCGCTCCGTCGGGAGGTTGCACAGCTGTTGCGGTCGCGTTGAAATAGAAGCGTACGCCGAGACTCTTGCACTGCTCGAACAAGAATTTGCAGAACGAGGCCGGGTCCCTTGATTGTTAGCGCATAGTTAGATGAAACTCAGATGCAGGCTTACAGATGAGCTCCATTAGGAGGTCCGGCAAGTCGCTGAACAGTCCAGCCGTCCGCCGGCTTGATCCAACTTGGGAGAGCAGTAAGAGGCTGCTCTATCGGGGGCGCTGGGCCCCAGTCGTCTGGAGGTTTTGGGGTACCGGAGAAATTTTCGGGAGTGACACGATAGACGACTTGGTCACTGAAGGCAAACTCGTCCTTTCCGTCGTGGCGAGCAGCGATCTCTTGAAACAGGCGATATGACAGCGCACCCAAGGGAGCTGTCTCCGGACCGAAGCCAAAGTCGCCGAGGCCGCCGGTTGCCTGGCCTGACGCCCCGGGACTGATATGCTTCGAGGGCTCGATGACGACAATCCGCGGCGGCACGTGATTGTGCAGGAGTTGCTGGGCTTCCGCAAAGGCCAATGAAAGCTGGTAGGCCGTCGCCAGCCCGATTACGCCAGCTCCAAGGATGACGGTGTCGGTGGGGCTAGACTCTCCATTGTCGACACGTGAGGAGCGCTTGGGGGTAGACCAAAGGGGCCCCATAGTGAATGGGCGGAGCAAGTAGAACGCCGCACATGCCGCGACCAAGACAGGACATACTTTGAGCGCGAGGCGTCTCGCTAGCATCTGCGACCGTGTGTGGAGTTTGTCAAATGCGCGGCTGATAGAGCCTGTTTTGTATAGCCCCAGGCGGATGCCGAGGGGCCACTACTCTTGGAATGCGTTTTATTTGCCAGACGTTCGGGCAGCCGCTTCGGCTCGGCTATTTGGCGGACCAGTCAGCCTGGCTGCACCATGTTGATTGCTTACGTGACACGCGTCCCCACGCAGAATCATCAGTTGTTCGTCCTTCACTTCTTGGCAGCCACGCCACCTCCTGATTTGCCAGCCTCGCGCGCAAACCTGGAAACCCATAGCAAGGTTACCGCTTACCGTACACAAGCGGCGAGGATGTGGACCTAGGTAATCCTCGCCCCGCTCGACAGCCCAAGGGCGCGCCTAGCTCTCCACCTTCTCTGACCATGCATCTCTCGTCGCGCCTTTGCAGGCTCGCAGCCAAGGCACGCGCTTTCGCACTCCGTCCGCCAACCTTCGCGTATATTTTCCTCCTTATCGTCTTCCTGGAACTGGAGGAAAGTGTGCAAAGGGCGCCCACGATACGTCTGCTGGAAAATGCGATCTGTCTGCAGCATTACCACCGCCAGGCTGGCCATGATGGCATCGAGGAGCGCATGTGCAAGATCCCACCCATTCAATCGAGACTTGCCCATATCCGCGGCTTCCTGAGCCTCTTTGATGCCTTGCCGGGTACCTTGTCCCAGTGGAAGGCATCGCGATCATTTCTCACCCGTAGCAGTTGTGTTTTTCGCGTCCTTCTTCGGCTCCCTTGCAGATCGAATAGGACGGCGCTTCCCCTTCGCCCTCGCCGCCTGCGGCATCGTTTGTCAAATGGCTTGGATATATATGGCTTGTATGGCAGTCACTTGCTATGCGCGTGCTTTGTGCGCGGCTGCTGACGCGATTTCGAAGGCAGCCTGTGGTATCGAGTCCCAGTCGAAACAGTGTGGATCTCTTCGCTTTTCCGACTCATCGGAGGCGGTCCTAATCTTGCTATCGCACTATGCCTCACTATGGCCTCGGACCTTTCGACGGACGAAAACAGGTTCGTCTAGTAGCTCTTGTCATGCCCAAGCCCACCATCCAGAGTCTCTAACCGTCACCATAGGAGCAAATCCTTCTACCGCGTGTTCACGGCTTCCTTGGTAACCGATATGATCGGCCCTACTATCGCGTATGCGACGCTCCGACATTCGCTATGGCTCCCGTATCTGGTCTGCAGCATTTCGCTGCTATGTACCTTTCCCGTATTGATACGCATGCCGGAGACGCTCGCAAAACGCTCCGACAGAGAGGATGGAGAGGCGCAGGGCCCACTAGAACGGACTGGTCTTACCGCCTACTTCAAGTTCCTTCGGGACTGGCGAATCTTGGTGGGCGTTGTGACCGTCTTCTTAGCCCAGTTCCGTCAGAACACCATCGAAGTTCTTCTTCCCTATGCATCCGTACGCTTCAATCTGGAACTCGGCGAGGTAACTAATCCGCGAGCTACATCGAATTTGACTAATGTGCGACAGACCGCTACGATGCTCTCCGTGGTCTCTGCTGTCAACATTTTCGTCTTTCTAATTCTACTCCCCTGGGCGACTACATTTCTGCAGCAAAAGGTTGGACTGTCGGCCCATTTAGTGAACATATACACGGCGCGCACAAGTAGTGCTATGCTGGCTGTCGGGGCCGCCATGCTTGCCGCGGCTCCAAACGTAGCTCTCGTCGTCTTCGGTAAGATTTAGATCCTACCTCTCCGACCAGCAGACTAACAGTCGCATAGCTCTTGTGATTTATGCCACGGGATTTGGGGTAAGGCTCTCCATCCTTGCCGTTGTGACGGCCTTTGTGAGCTCTACGACGGAGACCGCTAGGCTGTATACGTTGGTTGCAACGACGGATGCCATCGCGCATATGATTGCAAGCCCACTGCTTCAATACATATGGGGTAGAGCCCTTCAGATTGGAGGCCAATGGCTGATCCTCCCCTTCATTGTGCTCATGGTAAGTCATTCCGCCCAAGCTGGGCCATGCTAATACTAAGTCCAGGGTATTTTCATCCTGGCATTTCTCACTTCGTGTCTCCTGCGAGAGCAAGGAGTAAATCAGTCCGAGACCACCTGCAACGATGATGAAGAGCCTCTCCTTGCACAAGATGGAGCAGCCCTCGAGGCGGAGCACTCTCTCGCGTTTGTCACGTAAAGGGTTTTAATGGGGTTGGAGCAGAGCCTCATCTTAAATTACCGTGTTTCACCAGCTGGCGCACGGCGTCGCTTGGTGCCAGGTGGGCTGTCAGGCTACGCATCAGGTGATGAAACACGATCCACGGGTACCGGTATAAACGAATTTCACAGTACGGTACCGTATTTCCCCACTCAACGCACAGACCCCACTCAACGCACAGTTTGAGGATGGCCATCACCACTACTTTTGAAGCTGTACAGCCCTATATAGATCTAATTAT